ATTGAAACAAACACACACACACACACACACACACAGAACACAGATTTGGGTCTCGATTTCCAGAGAGTTCCTGTAATAGATTTTCTCCCCTAACTCGGTAGTAGTGTCGATATATTCTTTGAGAATATTGTTCATAAGTTAACTTTTGGGGGGGGGGGGCAAACCATCTCCAGACACACTCTATTTCTCTTAAAACATTGAAACAAAACATACTTCGGAATTATTGGCGTCAGTACAGATATAACACAACGATACTGATTGTTTCAAGTGTATGAGTGACAAATTATTATTGTTTATACATACGTAGACTCTCTGTTTACTTAGGGAGGCTCGAGGGACTGTTACCATACAGCGCCTCCTTGATGGTTCCTGTCCCGTCCATCACGATATTCGACTTGAACACAAAATCTTAAACCAATATTCAAATTATTGAAAACAAGATGGAGAGGTTTCTCTTGGACATGGAGGCATAACATAATGTTGGTCGCAAATCCTGCAAACTTTGGGTGTGGTAAACAGAATTTTTTGTTCAAATGCTTAATTTTGAATCGCCTTACTGTGTGTGAACCAGTGTTAAGTTAAAATAATAATTATATCTGTTCAGCAAAATTGTCCTACAGGTTCACACTTGAAACTATGCAGTTATGCAGTCCATCTTAAATATAGACAATGTAAGCACTAGCTCTACGGTGTACTGTACTTAGGCCATGGGAGCATTCATTTAGTGTTTCCAGTGTGTTTAGTTTGCCTCTATTAATTATGAATCCGATGAACCGACAAAAATTTTTGTGTGACGATTTTTTTACTTGATGATTGCCTATTAGGCTGATAATTTATCTATTACTTAATTGTTTTAAGCTGGTAGTCGGGGTGTAGTAGAAGATTAGTTGTGGTGGATGGACTTGGCTACTTGACACTGGTCACAACCGGATCGCGGCTCCCTCACAATTCACACTAAGAACACTTTACCTTGTTCACAGCTTTCCTCATTCTATGATTCATATCAATAGGTTATTTAAAATCTTTACTTTTTGCATATTCTTTTCAATAAATACGTTTTTTTTTTAATTAATATGACGAGGAAAGAAGACAGAATTACGGGTGTGTTGGTCTTCAGTATAATAAAAACCGATGCGGGAGATGTCTTCGAGTTGGTTTTAGAACAGGCGAGTGCCAGGGCAGCCAGAGCGACACCCTTAGAGGTGGAGACAAGTTGGATCGGGGGTGGCCGTGTTAACGTCGTCCCTACTCCCGATCCCCACAAGTGACACGCCAGCCGTGTTGGTGTTAGCAGTGGTGTGACGCTCTTACTGTTTTGCCGACTCCCTAGTGTTAACAAGTTGCCAAAATATTCTGTGAAAATTCTTTGTTTAAAAACGGGAGTTCCCTGGGACATTGTACGTGTCTAGTAAACGATACAAACATTTTTTTTTTTGCTGAAACTACGAAGAATTTGGACTTCTCGAGGGAAATTTTTTTTAATAGTATTCCATCCACTAATTTAAGTGTTGTGAAGAAGGCTGACATACTGAGGCGGGATGGTTCGTACGTTAAGTTTCCCCCTCCCTCCCACCCTCTCGTACTGCTGGTGGTGCTGTTAGACAGTTAACAAGCTCACTTAACCTACTGTATGACACGCACGCAGCTGGTGGCCAAAATATCGTCAGTTGTTGTGTAAAACTATAACACTTAGATGTTATTTCTCATGTCCAGTTTAGTGGTAAATTTTACGTACGAATCACTAGGAATTGAGTCCCATTTTGTTTTACCGAGATGTTCCAAAATATCTTACGAGTGTGTGTGTGTGTGTGTGTGTCAAACAAGTGTATACAGCCGTGCCTGAGTATCGTACACGTATGTATGTGTAACGGGAACGTTTGTGCTTCGTGGACGGGCACGTTTGTGTAGTCAGTACCCGAGTGTAGTTGCTAACACGTATTGGAGCTGTGCACCGAAGGAAAAGTGGCGTGCACGTGTAGGTAACGTGCAAGTGTGCGGGACGTGTTTGAATGTCAAGCTTGCGGATGTGTTTGCCATGCATGTTCGCTTAGTGTCGTACACTTGGGGATGGCGCTCATCCTGAAGTGGAGTTAAGGGTGAACCCAAAGTCAACTGTTGTGTGTCCCCGGTCATGTAAGGTGTTGCGCACGTGTGTGGGTGTCGTGCACGTATTTGTAGATGTCGATGCACGTGTGTAGGAGTAGTGCATGTATGTGTAAATGTGCACGTGTTGGTGTCGTGCACTCGTGTTTAGGTGTCGTGCATGTGTTGGTGTCGTGCACGTGTGTAGGTGTCGTGCATGTGTTGGTGTCGTGCACGTGTGTAGGTGTCGTGCACGTGTGTAGGTGTCGTGCATGTGTGTAGGTGACGAGAATATGTTGGTGTTGTGCACGTGTTTTGGTGTGCACGTGTTTTGGTGTCGTGCACGTGTTTTGGTGTCGTGCATGTCCATGGGTGAGGTGCTGGTATGGGGTGGTCTCTTTGTGTGGGATGGCCTACAGGAGTAGATGGCGTGCAGGTGTGGATGGCGTGCAGGTGTGGATGGCTTGCAGGTGTAGGGTGACGTGCAGGTGTAAATGGCGTGCAGGTGTGGGGTGGCGTGCAAGTGTGGGGTAGCGTGCAGTTGTGAGGTGGTGTGCAAGTATGGATGCGTAGGTGTGGATGACGTGCAGGTGTGGGCTGGCGTGCAGGTATAGGTGGCGTGCAGGCTTGGGGTGGCGTGCACGTGTGGGTGTCGTACGCGTATGGCTGGTGTGTAAGTGTGGGTGTCATACACATCTTGCTGCCGTGCACGTGTGGGTGTCGTATGCATGTGGCTGGCATGTACATCTGAGTGTCGTACACGTGTGGGTGTCGTACACGCGTGGGTGTAGTACACGTGTGGGTGTCGTACACGTGTGGGTGTCGTACACGTGTGGGTGTCGTACACGTGTGGGTGTCGTACACGTGTGGGTGTTGTACACGTGTGGGTGTCGTACACGTGTGGGTGTTGTACACTTGTGGATGGTATGCGTAGTTAAGTGATTCCGGACGTCTTTGACTAACACAACCCAACTGGCCTTGCTGCCCTGTGTACTTGTTGGTATGTGTAAACCCTCCTGCCTACACCCACACCCTCCTGCCTACACCCACACCCTCCTGCCTACACCCACACCCTCCTGCCTACACCCACACCCTCCTGCCTACACCCACACCCTCCTGCCTACACCCACACCCTCCTGCCTACACCCACACCCTCCTGCCTACACCCACCCTCCTGCCTACACCCACACCCTCCTGTTTACAACTACACCCTCTTCATTGCACCCATAGCTTCCCAACACCATCATCAGTCACGGGTGTTGATAATAAATGTGGTGAGTATATAAGGAGTGTAGCACACCCGGTATACCAACTGAGAAGGTGTAGGCGACCTGCCAGATACTCGGTAAATGCCTTTAACACCCGGCAAGAGTACCCTGGCTGCCAACACTCAAATAATGACTTACACAGTCCCCCCGCCCACACCCAGTCTAGTGTGTAGAGGCTGTATAGTGTGTTATCAGAATGTGTGAGGGTGATGTAGTGTGTTGTGTGTGAGGGTGTAGTGTGTTATCTGAGTGTGTGAGGGTGTAGTGTGTTGTGTGAGGGTGTTGTGTGTTATGTGACTGTGTGAGGGTGTAGTGTGTTGTGTGAGGGTGTAGTGTGTTATGTGAGGGTGTAGTGTGTTATGTGAGGGTGTAGTGTGTTGTGTGACTGTGTGAGGGTGTAGTTATCTGAGTGTGTAGTGTGGGGGGGTGAGTGGACCGTCTGGGAGAGTGTGGGAGATGAGTGGACCGTCTGGGAGAGTGTGGGGGAGGTGGTGGACCGTCTGGGAGAGTGTGGGAGGTGAGTGGACCGTCTGGGACAGTGTGGGAGATGAGTGGACCGTCTGGGAGAGTGTGTGAGGTGGTGGACGTCTGGGAGGTGTGGGGGAGTGGACCGTCTGGGACAGTGTGGGAGATGAGTGGACCGTCTGGGAGGTGTGTGAGGTGAGTGGACCGTCTGGGGAGGTGTGTGGTGAGTGGACCGTCTGGGAGAGTGTGGGGAGGTGGTGGACCGTCTGGGAGGTGTGGGGAGGTGAGTGGACCGTCTGGGATTGTGTGGGAGATGAGTGGACCGTCTGGGGAGTGTGGGTGGTGAGTGGACCGTCTGGGATTGTGGGGAGATGGGTGGACCGTCTGGGGAGTGTGGGTGGTGAGGGACCGTCTGGGAGTGTGGGTGGTGAGTGGACCGTCTGGGATTGTGTGGGAGATGGAGTGGACCGTCTGGGAGGTGTGGGAGGGAGTGGACCGTCTGGGACAGGGTGTGGAGTGGACCGTCTGGGGAGTGTGTGAGAGAGTGGACCGTCTGGGAGAGTGTGTGGGGTGGTGGACCGTCTGGGAGAGTGTGGGGTGAGTGGACCGTCTGGGAGTGTGAGGTGAGTGGACCGTCTGGGAGAGTGTGTGAGGTGAGTGGACCGTCTCTGGGAGTGTGAGAGGTGAGTGGACCGTCTGGGAGGTGGGAGGTGAGTGGACCGTCTGGGAGAGTGTGGGAGGACCGTCTGGGGAGAGTGTGGGAGGTGAGTGGACCGTCTGGGGAGAGTGTGGGAGGTGAGTGGACCGTCTGGGAGAGTGTGGGAGAGTGGACCGTCTGGGAGTGTGGGGGTGAGTGGACCGTCTGGGAGAGTGTGTGAGGTGAGTGGACCGTCTGGGAGAGTGTGGGAGGTGAGTGGACCGTCTGGGAGTGTGAGAGGTGAGTGGACCGTCTGGGAGTGTGGGAGGTGAGTGGACCGTCTGGGAGAGTTTGAGTACGTAATTGAACATCTTATCTTACGTTATCAGTGAAATAGGTGGCTCGGTCAGACTCTTCATCACATCACACAGATCACCAGCACCCGGTTCCCGGTAATCAGTCACCAACAGTCAGTTACCGGTACTTACTCACCATCACTCATTCACACTCCAATACTGAGTCTCCAACAGTGAGTCATCACCGCTCAGTCACCAGTCCAGTCATACCACCCAGTTATCCACAGTCTCTAGAATCCAGTCACCAGTAATTCATAATGACAGTCTGTAGTACCCAGGTCACCCAGTCACCAATTCCCAGTAACTTAGTCACCGGTATCCAGTCAGTCACTAATATTCATTCAATCATCCACAGTCACCAGTTCTGTCACTGATATAGTAAATAGTAATCAACCCACAGTCACCAAAACACGTTCTCAGTTACCCCACAAGTTAATTTCAACATCTTCATTTGTGGGTGAGATGTTGACAAACTTCTTGTTGTTGTTGAACGTGTGAGATAAGAGTGTAATCTGGCACTTGCTGGTCTTTGATTACTGGTCTGTAATTGAGGTTGAGTATCGACCACTTTACCTGCGTGACAACAGATATACAGTGACGGTGGCGGCAGTAAGTACCAGCTGTAAGTGACCGTTGTCTAGTAACAGTGACCCCGTGTGCTTAGTGACCCACCAAGGTTGATAAACAGTATTGGTGATCAAAGGGAGAACCGTGAAGGTAGCATGAGACGTCTCTTGCTGAGAAAATTTACGCCATAATCACGGTTTCCACCCCAACCTACACACTACACCTTGTTCTTCCACACACCTGCAGGAGAGCACTATGAGGCGTCTCTGTCCCCTTCTCAAGTCCTTCGGCCTCCTGGTGGTGGTTCTAGGATTGCTGTCCCCCTCATACGCCGTTCAGAAATCCTACCTGTACCATTTTGGAATCGAAGCTGGAGACACCCAATTGCTGAACGCAGACGAAATATCCTCACCGGAGATTAAGTTGAGGGCGCCCATCACATTTTTCGGGCAGGTCTACAATTCTATATTTGTGAGTATATGTTATAATTTGTCACCATTCTTCTATTCAAGTCACCAAGCTTTTACCTATCCACATCTGTATAATATTTGTCTCCGTCCGTCACATATCCATGTCCGGTCACTAACTCCTATATACTCGTACATTCACCTCAAGGCCGAAGTGCTCATACGCATCTGCGTAGGTGTTTAGGATCTCCTGTAGGTAGTGTTCAGTCTGAGCAACAAGGGTGAGGTCTGCCTACTGAAATTCGGTAATGGAAGCTGCCGACACCTTTGCTCTTGCTTGGAGTCATCTTATGTTGAAAAGAACCTCCTTCACCCGGTACTCGATGTCCACCCTGCCGGCTAAATTGGCACTGGCACGAGTAAGGAAGGCTGCCAAGAAAATGGAAAGGAGAGTTGGTGCCAGTACACACCCTTGTTTAACCCCTGTTTGGATGGGGAAGAACTCAGACTGGGTGTCGTTGTGCAGGACACTGCCGTTCATGCCATTGTGGAGTTACCTCACAATGGCGATGAATTTTGGTGGGCAGCCAAAATGGCTGAGGGTCTCAGAGGGCTTCCCTGTTGACTGAGTCGAAGGCCTTGGTTAGGTCGATGAAAGCCATGTACAGGTTACGACGCTGTTCTCTGCACTTTTCCTGTATCTGATGGGCAGCAAAGATCATGTCATTGGTGCCACATGATGGTCTAAAACCACATTGAGATTCTGGGAGGAAGTTTTCTGCCTCAGGAAGGAGTCTGTTTAGGAGGACTCGGCAATAATCTTGCCAGCTTCAGAGAGCAGTGAGATCCCACGGTAGTTGCCACAGTCTGACTGGTCTCCCTTGTTCTTATAAATATTGACATATTTTCTTCAGGAGAGAGTGAAGACGGCTGTGTAATGATTGTTTATCAGACCATAGCTTACAGCCCAGAGAAGAACAACACATACAGCAGTGACGAAAAGTGCAGGTGTGTACAACCTCATAAGTTAACCCACCCTTCATAATTAAAGTGAGAGTAAGACCTGGCCCAAGAGATATCACGGTCACAATGAACCAGAATACTCACCGCCGTGTCATTAGCTAACCCAGTGACATGACTTTGTTACTCAAGAAGCTACCCTCCAGCCAGTACAACTGTCACCTGGCTAGACACACCCAGATTAGTGACGACATCTTCCGGCTGGAGATCTCCAATATAAGGAGCCTGCAGCTCCTTCCACGAAGCATTAGCATTATTATTATAACAGGGAAGGGTCCGACAGCTCCTTCCCAGAGACAGACAGGCAGACAGAACACACAGGAGGACGAATTCATGCTCGTTACTAGTCGAGGTCGGGAGGGAGACTTATCCATAGCACCGAGTCTCCAGCTAGCAGTCTCCCACAGGAGACATAGTCCGGCACAGGTCAAAACAAGGACAATGTACCAAAATACTACACAAAGTATATGATGGAAAATGCACGTTCCATGTTGGCTAAAAAAAACAGACTCTGTATGTCAGTGGTGGAAATGGAGACAAGCCTGTGAAGATAACAAAGCGAAGAGAGAGACACAAGAATAAGTGTACATGCAAGATTTGTTGCTGAGAATGGAGCCAACCATATTGTTGTAAGCAGTCCAGACACCGATGTTTTTGTCTCGTTGAACATCACCATTTTGCCAACAGTGCTAGTGAAGTATTTCTCCTTGCTGCCAGTGTTACCTATACTGTATACCCTTCCATCTAATGTAAGACAATCTATCAAAAACACACAAAAAAATACATTTTGCTGTCCGTCTACTGTTTGATTGGTTGCGATACTGTCAGCTTCTTATGGGGACGTGGAAAGCGGCTGCCGATAAGTTGATGATAAAGAGCAACAAGGATTTTTCAAACATCGGGAAAAGTATGACACCACAAAAATCTGAAAAAATGGCTGCAACTGCATTCATTGGAAGTCTTTATGGTAAATCAATCTGCAGGTCTTTGAATGCGCTAAGATGTGAAATGATATGTCGAAAAAAATGTACGCTGAAGCTAAAATTGTCTCGGTATAATATGTGATCTAGGTCCAAGAGGGGTGGGTACAAATGACGCCACGAGCTCTGAGAGGTTACGTTTTCTTTGATGCATGAGCAGACCTTATACAGTATTCTATTGACCTTGGTCCCAGGCAGATAGTGATAAAGATCACCTCGGCAAGTAGGCGCCACCGCTCTTTCGAAATACAATACCTTATCTAACGTTGTTTTTATGTGATTTCGAGAATGTATCCTTAGTTTATTATTGTATTTATTGAAAAAAACATCCACTTGACTGGCGGTCAAGTACTGATAAAGGTATGGCAATGCTTCTCACACAACAGAACTATTCTTGTGAGTAAGACGCCTCATCATAAAATCAGTCTATCATTAAACCCAGGACAATGTAAACAACATAGTCAGGAATCAAATAAATTACAATTTAATTCAAGAAAGATTCAGAAATTCAATAACCAGAACCAAGATCTAACCAGGGTCAGATTGTGGGTCAGATCACGTCCCAGTAATGAATTTAGTGAGGCTAAAACTTCAAAAATTAAAAAGAAAAACTATGGACAAAATAAAATGGGACTACTGTAGGTAAACTCAAAACAGGGGCAGGGATAGAATATGAAATGGATACTGAAAAAAGATTTTCAGTATTGCTAGAGTGTGACTGATGAACAAGGACAGCAATTTAATTGTAGCAATGTCATGAGTGTTTCCCTCCTGAGGGTTCGAGGCAATAGGGTGAATGCCTTAGGCCTTGAACCAATAAGAAAACCTGTAAGACGTGACGTCATGAAGAGGTAATGTCCCTTGTGGGCGACATAGTTTGAAAACGGCGAGTCGGGTTTTGGAGAGAGGGAAGTGTGGGCGTCTTCTCACATGGCGGGGTTTAATGTGAGTACCTTTTAGGTTTTATCCGTTTCACGAAATGTATTGTGATTCATGTGATCCCTGGGTAGGAAGATAGGTTATTGTTTTGAGTAATGTTCAATTTGAGTAATGTCGTTAATAAATGAAGAACCATTTTTTTTTTTTTTTAATTTATGTATTGGGCACTCCCCTACATCCTTGTGTAAGGTGAAGCGCAGAAGCGTTTACAGCGCCCAACAGGGAAGCATGCTAAGTTAATGCTTGCCTTTATGTCTCATGAGTTAAGGGCATAGAAGCCTGAAGAGTCAATGGTTTGTGTCATCAAGTTATTGGAAGCTCCAACAACTTGTCCCTGAATACGAATTCGCAACTTTCGACTTACAACAGGTACCTACTTTACTGCTAGGTGAACAGGGACTAATGGGGGCTAGGAAGTGTGTCCAAACAACTTCCACCGGCCCGGGAATCGAACCCGTGACATTTCGCTTGCGAAGGCAAGAGCGGTACCACTCTACCACCAGCACCCCTGAATAACCATTATGATTAGTTCTCTATTCCCTTGTGTTGACTAAAACAATGTCATGCATGTCTTTGGTATTGTACAGTAATACAGTGAGTCCTAAGTAATAACTATTTCATATTTCCCCCTCTGTTAAGTGTTGTATCTTAGTCCCCAGCTATCCACATCAGTCCCCCCATGACTTGAGGAAATCCGTCATCTCACCGCTGGCAAGGTTGGTACCTCCATCCGTGGAGATCTGCTCAGGTGCCCCCCCCCCCCACCTCGTGAAGTAACCCCGCAGACTGGCGATGATTTTTCCAGAGGTGGCCTCATAAGGGAAGTGAGTCGGTCAGCATATGCTAGGTACATGTGGCCCTGCAGGTGGAACAAATCGGCCACCACTTGTTGAAAGGGAAGGTCTGGCGCTGGGGTCAAGACCAATGACTCCGGAGGCTGGGAAGGGACGTGGGTCTCTCAAGCAGCACACCGGGACCGATGATACTGCAGGTCACCCTCCATGCCAGGTCAAAGGCAGACTGCCGGGCCCGCCTGAGCATGGAGTCGAGGCCCTGGTGCCCCACGTGCAGGTTAACGGCGAGCCAGTGGTGGAGGGAGTCGGGAATGACAAGGCGCACGCAGCCCTGGTCAAAGGTATAGTTGCCCAACCCCTGACCACAGCCAACCTGTCCCTCACCGAGAATACGGGCGCAGACAGGCCACCTCCTGTGACTTGTGAGGGCGCCAGTCACCCGCCAGCACCCTCGACACTAGAATCTGGTATACTGGGTCGTCCGCAGCCGCTTTGCACATGGTGTCTTCGTCCATAGTGATGCACCCATCCTGATCCAGTGCTGCGATTGTGACTGCACACACTGCAGCACATAGGTACTCCTCTTGGTCCATGTCCTCCGCGTCGGGCGCCGCCCTGAGGGAGGGGAAGCGGAATAGGGCATCAGCTGCACAGTTCCGCTTCCCTGGCAAGTACTTGACCGTGAACCGGAACTGCAGGGTCTTCTCCTTGAGCCTGAACAGGCGCGGATTCGCCACATCTGTGAGGGCTCTGTCCCCTAGCAAGCCAACTAAGGGGCGGTGGTCCATCACCAGGATGAGGTTCGGGCAGCCAAGAAGGAACAGCCTGGCCTTGCGCAGACACCATACCACCGCCAGCGTAGCCGGCCTCGGCTGTGCTCAGATGTCGGCTACCGCACAAAGCCAACTGCCACCCTCCCCTGCAGCAGAAGAGCGTCTCTGGCGAGGTACAGGCACAGTATTGTTGCAGGACGACGAAGCCGATGCCCTCCCTGCTCCAACCCGTGACAGCTGCCGTAGGCCTGGATTTGTCGTAGTACACCAAGCCGTCCCTGGCCAACTGACAGATGGTGTCCTGGGCCTGGCGAAACTTGAGCCGCAGCTGGTCGTCCCAATACACCTGCTTGCCCACTGGCTTCTTGAGGAGCTCACGGAAAGGCTCCATCACAGGTGCAGTGACAAGAAAGGGAGCCAACTGGTTAACTAGGCCATGCCAGGACCTGATGTCAGTGATTGATGGCTGATCAGGCATGGGGAAGTCCTTGATGGCTGACAGATGTTGGGCAGTGGGCTGGTAGAGGTCCCACCCCAGAAGGAAACCCACAAACTCGGCTTCTCTCCTGCAGAACAAGAACTTTTCTGGTTTCAGTGTGATACCTGTGCGAGAGCAGGTCTCCAGAAAGTCGTAGGTGTGCCAGAATGCCCCCTTCACACTGGAGTTATAGAGGAGAGTGTCATCCATGCACTTGTACTTGCGGGGCACATCCTGAATAGCGTCGTCAAACCTTTTGGTGTAGGCATCTGACGCTGAACAATGTCCCATGGGTGTGCACGAGAACTTTTTGTGGCGAGTGTACACATAAAAAAAAATCATGTACTGTGTATAACTACAGACTACAGTATGTAGTAAGCAGCTATCAAACAGCATAATGTGTTGTCTAATGGTATATGACATCACAAAAATTGTGACCAAGTCCCAGGTTGCTGATCTGATTTTCTGCCTCATTTACACACAATTGCAGGGTCTCAAATATTTCTCTTACTTTGACAACACAACATAAACAGTATATTGTTTCTCACTCTTGATCTGTTTATGTTTTCCATTTCTGTATAAATTTTTTGCTAAATTTTATTTCGCCCCCTAGACCCCGATGTGAGCTGGTGATCTGTGCCTAGGTGGGCTAATCCCCGTAAAAAAATAACAAATAACAAAGCTCCTAATCATACAAACAGTATTCACAGTGTCTTTATATTACTTTCAAAAGTACATATTGACAGTTTACATGCATTCATAAAAATAAATAATTCCATGACAATATAAACAACACAAACTTAATGTTTATAATTATAAAAAAAAATAGAAACACAAACCTTAGATATTACCATGATAAAATTACCATAACAATATAAATTCAATGATAATAACAAATAATATAGGAACTTTTATGTTTGTTACAAAAGTGTAAACTATCAACTCGGTGTTTAAAACAGCACAACAGCATTTGTGTAGTAATAATATTATTAACAGAGATAAACATTTTGGATATCAGACAAGATAGGATGAGTGATAAAGCCTTGTGTCTCTCCCATAGGTCAATGGTAATGGCTTTGTCTCCTTCCTGACGGAGATACCCAACTTCTTCAATGTCCAGTTACCTCCCGAGTACCCCATCATCGCCCCCTTTTACTCCGACGTCGACACCAGGGGGGCAGGAAGTATCTGGTACAGGTGAGGACCTCTTTAGTATTGAAAGGATGTGTGCACCAAGTGATGAGTGTGTTATAGGGCCATATTCTTCTGACCGATCGGGAACAGCACTGTGTGAGGTCATTCACCCGAAGGCACGCCCGTTGGATCGGGTTTGCTATCAGGTTCGTTGTAACATTTCATCGAGAGGGGATTGCCTCCCTATGACAGTTCCGATGAATATAAAAACTTTTCACATTCCAAATATTGAAATATTGATATCGAATTCATTAAAAACATAGAAAATGAGTTTTTTTGCGACAGAAAGTTTTATTTCCATGTACATTTAAAGATTGCCAGTTATTTGCAAGTGTTAAATATTCCCTGCTACATGAGCGTGCATCCGAGCGTAACATCATGTTGTGTTGTTGTGACCAAGGTCAAAGAATGCAAGGAGTGCTTACTCATCAAAGAAAACTGAACCTTTCGGAACTCGTGACGTCACCTGTGCCCACACAAATTCAACAACAACAACAACAAGCATGCCGAGCACTTGCTTGGTTTTGGGGTGTTTATCACAAATTAGAAATGGGAACGATATAACTTTCCATCGCTTTTTGTAGGATGAAGAACTGAAAAGAAGGTGGGTTCACTTGTGCAGGGAAAGCCTTTATAAATGCAGAAAATGCCCAAAGATGCAGCTTGTATTTTGAGGCCAGTTCCTTTGAGGAGAACTGGAAATACAAACTGCTTGGACTACGAGTATCCAGAACATTGGTAAGGATTAAGACTGGAGAAATACCAACATTACAACTGCCATGAATATTATTTTAGCTACAACATAAAAATGGGAGTTATAACACAATATAGCCTACTGTGTGTTCAAAATTAAATGTACCTCATAACAATTTAGAATAACATTTACATATTTCAAAGCAGCAGCAAAATGCTATACAGTACACTGTTTATTTTGAAGGTGTGACATTAAATTTCTTCATTCACAAGTTTTTAAATGATCATTATCATTAAATAACACTTTGTAGTTGAATGTTGGAGGGAGGTGTAAGCTGCTGTGTGAGAAAGCAACAAATGTCATGTTTGCAGTCATAATTTTCATCTGCTTATTTTCACTTCAATTAGGTATCAATGGGCGTGGAGGTAGTAAAACCTCTCGCCCTCCAATATAAGTTCACACATTGTATTGTGGTTGTTTGCTGTCATGACCAGACCATCTTGCAGACTATAATTGTAAAAGCCTTAGTTAAGGACGTTCAGGTGACGGGCAAGTCGAAGGGAATGATTGAAACCCGTTTTTTAACATATTCAATATTTATTGGTAGAATATTGTCCTTTTCCAATTCGCAAGTAAATTTGATGTTGCCATGTTTCGAATTTCACTAATTTAGGAACAGAGACGTGATCAAGTGATCTGAAAATTTAAAAAAGTGTTATCAACATACCGACGATAGAACAAAGGTTTTAAGTGGGGGGGACATTTGGTTAGCCAAAGCTTCTCGTGGTGACAGAGGAAAGTGTTGGCCAACGTGAGACCTAAGGGTGAACCCATAGCAACACCATCACATTGTTTATAAGCATTGTTATTAAATAAAAACAAACAATCATTTACAGCCAGTTTTAAAAATTCTTTAAATTGTGGTCCATAGAATCCATCAATTAAATCAGTACCGTATTTGAGAATAGTTCATCTGTACAGTCACCCAAAAAAATCCTGTCACGAACCAAGAACCCCGAGATTCAGACTTGTGAAGCCGAAGCAGTAGACACTGATACATTATTCTGTCCATAAATGCTTCGGATTCAAGAGTCTGGTTCGAATCCTGGCGGGTTGAGGTGTTGATTATATGTAGAAGTCCGCATGCTTTATTGGGCTAATGAAATATATATGGATCCTCGTGTTTCGAAGCCGGATTTGGTAAAACGTTACTCTGATCACCTAAGAGGCAAGCGGTAGTCCCCATTTGGAGGTTCACGGCGCCATAAGCTCGTTCAACAGGCTTTGTGTGAAATATAACAGAGTCTAGGACTGCTATTAGTGTTGTTGATTGGTTTTTTCCCACCAGAGAGACATCAGACCCAGGCACAGTGTCACGTGCCAAGTTTGATCTGCAGCAGTACTTCACCATTGCTGCAGACTTCCAACCTAAAGGTGTCTTCATTGTCACCTGGGATGGCGTGGGTCGTTACAACCAGCGGACAGATAGGGTAGGTACCGGTGCTGTGTACCCATACCACCACCAGCTCAAATGAATACTGTGTTGAGATAAGAATTGGGTTTGAGTGTGCATCAAGTATTACATTTTAGGGCAACATTTTAGTAAATAATCTCAGGTACCCAGGTACCCTATGTAGTAGTTCCTTTTCTCAATTATCATAGGATTATTTGTCCAGGATTGGTCTCCAACAGGATTTACAATCATTATTCATGTCTTGGGAGAACATAAAATCCATCTTAGGAAGTGATATAGGATTAATAGGGTACAGTATTTATAAGAGCAGTTTATCGTTTAGGTTGCTGAGGCTTAAGTCTCAAGCTCATTGCATGAGGCACAATCTATCACAGACTGCAATAAAATAGCCTTTCATCTCATAATACAAGTTTCTAAGAATTGGAAATTCATCTTCCACTTGCTTACTTGTAAAATTAACTGTGTTAAGGTTCTTTTTTGCTTGTTTCTCAATTTGCTCTAGAACGGTAAATGCAAACTGTGTAAATGTACTGTGCAATGTACTGTGTGATACTGTACACTCTACCAAAAGAATATCGACCCCTTTACTCATCAATACAGTGTGTCACAATGGACAAATATTTGCGATAACTAATTGTGATTCCTGCATTATGTTGGTAGGCCTGCCTTCCTAGTGTGTGTGAGGTTGCTAGTTATTATTTCTGGTATTTGTTGTAATTATGGTGAATCACCGTGCTCCATCTATAGTAGAATAATATAATGATATTAATGTAGCAAAAAATATATCACTGACCGTCAAATTGTCGGTATTTTCTGGTAAAAATCTACGACCAATGCAAGTACCCGAGACTCACTGGAAAACACAGCTTGCACCGACAGACATGGAGAAATTTCGTGAAAGGCGATGATTCTGCTTTGTGTTGCCTGTGATGTCTCCATAGTGACTGTCAATCCCATGGGAGGACTTGATGACACTGTCTTGTAGTGTGTATGAGATAATGTGACATTGCTAGCACGAAACATGAGATGATGCATTATATTCATTATTGTTACCTCATCAATTGAGGTAGAAATAATACTGTAAGTGGATATGGCATCATAATGCACCTGTAATTACTATAAGGTATTTGCAAATGAATGTAATATCGGATCATAGTGTTTTATATTTCGCTCAAAGCAATTCCATTGTAATCTCGGTTCATGAATACATAGCAAAGTTATACTGGGTTGACAACCCTTTATCCGAAATTCCGAAAACCGAAAACCTCTGAAAATCGCCAAAAGCTTTTTTGTGGAGCAAACTTTTTTTTTTTTTTTTTACAGGGATCAGCCCACCCGGGCACAGGTCCCTGACCCACCTCGGGGCCTGGGGGGCGAAAATATAATAATAATTATTCATAGTAAATAAAATTTATAATAAAAAACACAAAAATAAAATAATAATGATACAGGGGCAATAATAATAATAATAATACCGGTAATAATAATAATAATAATGAAATTAATAAAAATAATAACAATAATACTGTAATAATAAACTACTGTACTACTAATAATAATAAAGAAATACAAGAATGAAAAAAAGATCAAAAGTGAGAAACACGACCTGGACCTATGAATTATTATTACTGTATTATTATTATTATTATTATTATTGTTATTATTATTATTATTATTATTATTATTATTATTATTATTATTATTATTATTATTATTATTATTATTATTATTATTATTATTATTATATTTTAGCCCCCAGGCCCCAATGTGGGTCAGTGACCTGTGCCCGGGTGGGCTGATCCCTGTATAAAAAAAAAAAAAAACCTTTCTGAAAACCGAAAAATTCCCAAAACCGAAATGCATCTGGTCCCAAGGATTTCGGATAAGGGATTGTCAACCTGTATTTCAGTTTGGCGCCAGATGGTTGAATATACCAGTTACCCGGACACCGAATAACTGTGATTTTACTGTACAGTAAGTCCATGCTTAACATCGTCCCACTTAACGTTGTTTCGGTACTATGTCGCTAAACTTTGCAGACCAAAAATTCGTTTAACGTCCCGGTGATCCAATACTACGTCGTTTTGCGTCGTCACAGACTATATTTTACGGTGCACCACCCTCTCTCGTCTGGCCGCGCTACGCTCTCACGGCTTGGTACAGAGTCTCAGTGATTCACCACCCTCTTCCTCCCCCCCCCCCTGCAATACTCCTCCTCCACTTCACTACCCACCACACACTAGCACTACCACCTCCGCCCATCGGTGAGTACCAATACAAAGTTAGTAGTTGTATATGTATGTATTATTTTCTCCAGAAATGACAATGATTTTCTGTATGTGTAATGTATTTCATGGGGCAAAGGGAGGCTCAGGAATGTAACTCACGTATTTTATCTATTTCTTATGGGGAAAATTGATCCGCTTAACGTTGTTTCGTGTAATGTTGTGTTCTTAGGAATGTAACCCCGACGTTAAGCGAGGACTTACTGTATATGATAGTGTATTGTAATTTCAACAAAGTACAAAATTTAAGTACAGTACAGGTATTGTACCTGAGCTGCAGCAAAATGAGTGCAGAATGATTACCTGAAATCAGACACATTAAGTGAAATATGAAAACCTATTTTGATGGCGCTAACACATCCTTGGCAAAAGTGAGTGGGAGAAGAACCATCATCAATTGGGTTTTAGAAATTAAATTCAGGTCAATTGCTGAATTTTGAAAGTACTGTAGCACCGTATTCCTGCTCAGTGGAATCATTTAGCTTGACCACCTATGTGTTACTAAGTATTCTAATAGTTCTGCTACAGTGCTATGCGGGAATTTCTTCTGATTCAATAATATTTCCAGGTAACAACAGCTTGTCTTCACTTCACAGAGTGCAACCACATCAGCCTGTGTTCACTGTCTCTCATTTTGGTCAGAAAAAAATGAACAGTTAGTAAAGTAGCAGCTTCATATATAGCTAACAAAATGTGAGGCTATTATTATTTAAAATTACAGAATGAAACTGTCTTATGGTGCCAATGTACTTTGATTTATAGAGTAAAGTTATGAGGTTTACTTGAGTAACACATACAGTATGATGGTGCTTCCCCCCACCTGCTTCCCACCCACTATATTGCCTCCTTAATGGAAAATCAGGAGTTGATTTTGCTAAATATTGTATAATTTTGGTTAGTTTTATGATGAGGCCCTTAATTACAGGGTACCATTAATTCACTAAAGTGAGAACTACCATTCATTAGTTATCTATACATCATGATATTTATAAGCACATTTCTGTACTGCTGTGTGTACTGCTGTGTCAAGTCAATTAAATTATGAGGTGATCATCATTACTTATTAACTTTCAAAACAACTAATGTACATATATTTTTTATATTATGGGTACAGAAACAACATTAAATGAAATTTTTTTTTGTTACACAAAAAGTGTTTATCTTCATCATTTAAGCTGACCCCCCCCCCCTCCACTTGTGAGTGAACACATCAATAAGTAATTTTTTTTTTTAGGTAAATACGTATCAGTTGGTTATTGTGACTGACACACTGGAAACATATGTTATGTTCCACTATGCTGACAGTGGAATCCAGTGGCTGCAGGGTGACGGCAAGAACCCCAGCATAGCAGATGCTAGGGGCCAGGCAGGCCTTGTCTCTGGTGATGGAAGGCTCACCACTCTCAAAGGTTCTGGCACTGATCAAGTTAGGAGTCTTGACAAGTAAGATAAATTTGCTTATACAGTATGTGTGTCATATATCAGTTGAGGGAGAAAAGGAGTTGCTTTATTATAATGCTGAATGTTTGTTAAGCTGGTAGCTCTCTTCAGTTTGTATAGAGGTTACCTTCCTGGAGAGTGTTAAGGATACTGAATCTGTGAAATTCAAAATTAATAACCTGATAGAAAAATGGATTGTGTTACAGTCTCAAATTTCTGCCCTACACTATTAAATTTAATAGGAACAAACCATGACCATTCCAATTTAGTAAAATAATTAAATACTTACTTATTTAGATCCTAATTGGAAAACTGAATCCAGACAACCAATTTTATGACTGAGGGTGAGTATATGGTTCAGTTGTCTTCCCACCTCCCTGTGATATGGAAGTGGAAAGATTAAGTGAGACCTTGTTTTCTGTGACAGGAAGTAGCAGTACAGTAGTGTAAATTTCTATTATGGAAGAATTCACCCAAGACTCAATGATTTTCTCTTTTTGAAGGCAACTTTAAGAGATCCAGTTGTGGTTGGGAGAGTGACTATTATTTCCAAAGTGTGATGAGTTGGGTCATTCCTAGGGATCATCAAACTAGTACTTTGTAAATCATGAATTATGTGGTCCTCTCATTTATACAGTGAGATTCAGATTTCAATTACCCATTTTTAACCAAGTAATGGTATTGCAGATGGAGTAACTGTGGTAATCCAGGAGTGTGGATGTTTCGTATTGGACAGTTGAGTTTGGACCAGAATGTACAGTTACCAGATCTTGGCATCAGTGACAGCATAAGCCAGGGAGTTGAGGAAGCCCAGTCATGTGGTGTAGGAGGATCCATTTGCCATTCCAACTCCATCTGCACCGATTACTCACCAGGATTTTGCTGCAGCTGTAAAGATGATTACTTTGGCAATGGCATTAATTGTGTTCTTAAGGGTCAGTCATATTGAAGTCATTATAAAGGTGTGAAATAACATAAGATTGTACAGTATAGCAATATTGTTCAAGAGTGTGTCAATTGTTTTCCTTACATAGAAAATAGTTATAATCCTCAAGAATTTTACAACTTCTTGGCAATTTCTCCTTTGTTTGATAAAGGATATTTAGGCTCAGAGTGGTCGAGTTGACGGTCGGAATTTTTTCGTAAGATGGCAGGTCAATGGGTAAAGAAAATGCTTAAATTCACTATGGTAATGATATTTTTTATTAAATTGGGCCAAAAGGTGTAAAAAATAAGGGTTAAAGTTGTTAAAAAGTCACGTGACAGCGAAAAGCTCTGTGATTGGTTGTGACGCAACTGGTTGGGGTGAACTTCCCAGGGGGAGGCAGCCAGCTTGAGTTGTCCAACCTTCTCGTTTGATCAGCTCAGTAAATAAATATTATTAGATAATTAATTGTGCTTTACTGTGCAACACAGTAATACAATTTTGAATATATAAATATTACTAAGCACATAAACTAATTCAATGGATATTAGCTGCCCCTACTACAAATTTTATAGTATAAACATTCCAAACAATATTGGTATTTTTTGGTTTTGGTCATCTGGGGAACCTTAAGATTCTAACTTTGGGATTAAGTACTTTAAACAACAAGACACATTATCTCTACAGGATTTCTGTCGCAAAACATTTTTCGATCGCATAAGAAAATACAGATCATATGTTAGGTTAGGTTAGGGTATGAAGAGTTATAAGGTTAGCTTAACATACATTGGTAAGGGGGGGTAGTAACTCAAAACTAGTGATTTCTGATAGAAATGAAGGTCTAAATCATTTATAACATATCACAAACCACCAAAAGAAACAAAAAAAAGTCTGCATGTCCAAGTACAGGGATGACCAAAACTTAATATTTACCCAATACAGTATAGCCTATCTTGGATCTAAACATCAAAATACTCATGGTAGTTAAAGTCAAGTTTTACCCATTAATTAACATAAATGGTTCATTAGTGAATTATCAAAACAATAACAGTACAGGTACTATGTTGTCATGTTTAGCTAGCATCAGGCATTCTCAAAACAAAGTCTAGACAATGTCATTACAGGTACCCCTAAATTTACTCGTACTGTATCTCCATCTAGTACTGATATACTCTGCAAATGCACTGAAAAAAAGAAGAGAAAGTCTACCAGGTAAGAGTACATGACAGCTGAGCTGGTGTGAACATGGGAGTTTTTTATGTCCAAAAGAACATAAGAATGGAGGAAACTGCAGCGGGCCTATTGGCCTATACTGGGCAGTCCCATTTACACCCAACCCTTATCGCTTATATATATCCATCCAACCTACTGTATGTTTGAAGCTCCTCTTCACGGCACATTTCTTCACTTATGAAATGTCCATGACTTAGACCATAAAAAAAAAAACTTAAAATTTACCTGAATGCAGCATTTGGGGTTTGAGGAGGCCATCCTTTCTATTTCCTCTGACTGCAGTGATGAGTGTGAAGGTAGTGATGTCATTGCAAATGGTGGCCCTGTTTCTAGAGAAATAACCTTGTCTCAACTATTATAGCAGGACTTTAAACTTTTATTACAAATTGTATATACCATGTCACTACAAATGTGGCCGAGTGTATTTCTTGTGTTTACCCAGAACCGTCAACTCGTCCATTGAGTGACTTTTTATGTTAGAGTAACTTGAATACTGGGTGAAAATATGAATACAGTATAAAAAAAAAATAGCATAATTTTCTCAGGTGATTTCAAAGTAAATTTTGGGTTATGGTGGGCTTAGCTTTTGGTACTTTACTAAGAGTGTTATCATTCCATGCGGGACCTTTTCTTTATTTTCTAGAGTAATGTAGTGTGTGCTATGCCCTTAGTCATGCTTCATCAAAGATAAGTGGGGTTCATCTCTTGAGAGTTTTCAGTTATACTCCATACCAAAAATGTAACATTTTTGTTTGTCTTCATTGTTGTCCTTCACTGTAGTTTGTGTAGGTGTTTATTTATTTTTGGGTTTGGTTTATATATCATCTGGTATTTAAGTTAGATTCATACGATAGTACCTGTACTGTATTATATTCTATATCCTTTAGTGGCTTTAACATATAATTTATATTAAGTAATATGAAATAAAAGTTTAGTTTTCAGATGCAGAGATTTCAATACAGTATGTGATAAATCTTAGGACTTGATGATATTTTCAATTGAGTTATAGAACCTGTCATTTTCTCACTCACGCGCACACAGAGGAGCCCCTGCGTGTTACTGGGAAGGTAATTGGAAACATCAACGGTGTGGAACTAGAGGACTCCGACCTCCACGCTTATGTGCTGACAGCAGAGGGCCGTAGCTACACTGCCATTTCTAGGATACCATCTCAGATCGGTTATGACTTGCAGAGTATTACATCGCTTGGTGCTGGCATTGCTTGGTTGTTTGCCAAACCTATTGAAGACATCCCCAATGGATTCTTCACAACAGGTATGGACCAAAGCCATGGTACATATCATGCTGTATTACATAATAAAACTAGGGATACAATACTCTGTACTGTATATTTTCCTTCTTGTATGATCATGAAAAAAGTGTCTTTGTTATATTTTAAACTAAGCATGAGACATATTAGAAACTTTGAATCACCAATGAATTTTTCCAAAATATGAACAACACTGCTCCCTCAAGTAGCACACTGCTCCCTCAAGTATACTTCACTCTCATCCAAAGGTTAAACCTGCAACCCAGAGTGAAGACATACCAAATTCTAGGAATAGGAGTAAACCTGGTCCCTGAGTGAACATTAGTGTAAGAGTGAAAATCGGTGAAATACCTGAGTAACTTCTCGACCCAGGAAATCTACAGATCAACACCCAACAGAGGGTGTAATCCCAATGGCCTACTCCTCCTCAGCAAGTGTGCTGCACACAACTTCACTATCACCAACACCTTGTTAAAGGCAAGCCAACAAGTTCAAAGGTTCTTGACAACACCCATGATCCAAACACTGGCATCTCACTGACTACATCATTGTCAGGGAAAGAGATTGCCAAGATGTCCTAATCGCCCGAGCCATGCGTGACTCGGACCACTGTGACACAGATCATCGGTTTGTCAGAGCCAAACTCTCCCTTCACATTGCCCCAAAATGGCGAAGGCAACAAGCCTTCAGAAGAGGTTTTAACACCAAGCATCTGGAGGATGCAGCGGTAGCACATTCTGTGAGAGGAGCTTGAGGATGGACTGATAAACAATCCGACAACAAACAACCCTAATCCAAGTGCCGAATGGGGTAGCCTCAACACTGTCATGACAAAAGCCTGCAGAGAGACGCTCGGCCAGATCGAAAGAATACACCAAGACCGGTTTGATGAAAATTACCTGGAAATCAATGTACTCATTTGATGGTAAACATGCTGCTTTAACTGACTGGCAGAGCACCCCTCAGTCTTGGACCAAAGCTGATACCTTCCACAAGAAGAAAGCAGCAGCGTAGCACGAGCTTTGCAATCTAAAGAGCAGATGATTGAAAAGTAAAGTGCGTGAAATGCAAAATTTACAGATCAACACAAGATGTGCACATTTTTCAATTCCACTTAAACATTTTATGGCCCAATTACTCATGGCGCAGCTCCCTCTGCTCATCCAATAGTAACTCCCTAATTAAAGATGAAGAAGGCATCCATCAGCGCTGGAAAGAGCACTCTATTCGCTGCTCAACCGAAACACCAATGTAGAAGTCCTGATTACCCAGCAGGTCCCTCAGCACCCAGAGCTGACTCACTTCAGCTATCAGACAGATGAAAAATAACAAAGCCGCAGGACTTGATGGAATCGCTGATCACTAGATGAGCCAGTCTGTGGGTACAGTGGTACGGCGGTAACGTGCAAAACACTCACCAATATGTCAAGGGTTCGAGCCTCAGCCCGGACACACGTGAGAAGGGTGTTATCCAGTGTGACCCTCACTACCAAACACCACAGGTTTCCTGGTCGCCGGTTTCCTCCTGCACTAACACTGGATAAACCGCCCAAACGGCTAGTAAGCTGATAAGTGGCGAATATGATAAAAAAAAAATCACTTCTAAGTCAACTGCAGTGGTAGAAGCAGTGGTAGCGGCTGCTTTACCAAGAAGAGTTTACATGAAAATCCCCGTGTACTGCCTTTTGAAAAGTGCAATAGCACCTTGGTCAAGTGACTGAAGGTAGTCTTTGAAGGTAGAAATACTACTTTGACATAAGGGTGATAGTTCTGCATGAACTGCACTGGGTGTCCTGGCATATTGTCAACAAGCGGCAGCACTTTGTGAGGTAACCCCTTATCACTCAAATATCTGAACATTTGAGGTATAAATTCATATGCAGACCAGTCTTCAAAGATTGTTTGTGTGACCCATGCTTATTTGTTTGCTCTCCACTACACTGGAGGCTTGGAAAGGGTTTAAAATGTTCTCGATTATTACACTTGATAGACAAGTGGGACGAAGAACGAAATCTCCAGCAGCATTGGAACATAGCAGCATTGTTATTCTATCTTTAGATTGTTTCAGTCCTTTTGCCTGCCCTACTTCCTTCATTAGATATGATTTGGAAGGCAGCATTTTCTAAAATAAATCAGTTTCATCAGCTTTGAACATGGCACATGGAGAGTACTCCTCAATGAGGCCGACAATACCGGTATCTTTTTTAAACTTCTCTGCTCCTTTCGTGTCTGCACCCTGAGCTTCGCCCAAAATGGAACCTGAGTGGTTACCATGGCGATTATAAAATTGCATTAAACCTCCCATCTGTTGCACTAAAGTTTTTCATTTGGGTAAATTATATTTATTTTGCAGATGGACATTGTTTTTTGACAGACCACTTTCATTGACAATGCAGTTCCTGATGGCGGGCTTGAATGAAAAAATCTAGCACAGCTGATTTTAATCTGTTACTTCCTTGTTTTCCAATTTTTGTAGTAACTGCTGGCTGTAGCACTTTAGTAGCTCGTGACCGATTTTTTTGCTGCAATTTTTTCTAGTCCCTCACAGTCGTTAAACGAACTCCATACCGCTCAGCCATTGATTTCACAAACTCGCCACAACTCAATCTATTGAGTGCATCTTTTTACTCTTTAAGATTATTGCATTTCCTTTTTCTCAATTTCTTGGCTTCACTCCTTGAGCCGTTTTGGGCCTATTGTATGACAAAATAACATAAGGATTGTCAGAAATACTTATCCTATTACTATTTACGCATGACTGATGACTTTCTCCCTCGCAGGTGTGAACCCCGCAGCGTTGCTTCCGCCCCTTGCCTGCCAATTTCTGCTCACACAGTGGTGGGAAATTTAAAAATTAATTATCTTCCAAACATGGTTCAGTGGTGTTGGATACAATTAAATAGTAGTATCGGTTTCAGTTAATGAAACATGGTAAAGGAGCCGGTGCATGCCCAGTATTTGCCAACAGTGCGTGACAGAGACGTGACCGATCGCCCGGGCGGCTGGCGAGCCGATATTTCGGTGAAGAATATAAATGAAAAGAGACGTGACCGATCGCCCGGGCGGCTAGCGAGCCGATGTTTCGGTGAAGAATATAAATGAAAAGAGACGTGACCGATCGCCCAAGCGGCTAACAAGCCGATCAGTGGCGAAGAGGATAAAAGAAAGAAAGCCCTGGCACGACTAAATGATTTGCGGTAAAATTATCATCTATTGCACATGTATTTAAGTCATTTGTAACCTCAAGGCAATTAACAGTAGTGGGACTCCTTTAAACTGATAACTTTTAACTCCTAAGTATTTTTATAATTGTTTATATTCAATAGATAAAGAAATTTGCTCCGGGATCAAGAACACTATAGCAAAGCAGTGTTAAGTGGGTCCACTCTTAAGTGGGTTATTACTATGCTGTACAGGTATAATGGCTTGTGCACCAAAATTCATGCTTTTGAATTCATCCACAGATGTCTCCAATACGTTTTCCATTATATGTTATGACTTCCTGCCTTCTCTTCACAGGTGGTGTACTAAATCGTACTGTAGAGGTGGATTACCCCCAGACAGGTCATCATGTTGTCATCCAGCAGCATTTTGAAGTGAGTGAAAATTTAATTAAGTTTCAAATATAAATCTGAAATAGGGCAAGATTTTCATGGTGAGAAAAAGTTATCATAATGGCTCTGCTTTTCATTGACTTAATCATGTAAGTTGCTTTCCTGTTTCACTCCTTATAACTTTGGATATATTTCACTACACCTATGACTTATGAGTCCCGTCAGTGTGAGCTAGTGCCACGGTAGCATCAAAAGATAAAAACTGTTGTATATGATGTCGTACATATACACTAGAACTCTTAAATCACTACTGTAATGTGGTACAGGTGATTAATTTTATCTCTTGTGCAAAATATATGACGTTTAAAATTCAATTATTCGCTGTCTTGCAAGGATTTCAGCAATGCAAATTATATTCTAACTTTAGTCTGAGATAGAGATATTATATAAAATAAACACTTTAAAACCTAAAGAAAACACAAAACTTTTGTCTGGGAAGGCAGGGGTAGGGAGGGGGGGAGGGAGGTAGCCAGCGAGCGTGGGAAGAGGGGGGGAGCAGGAGGTGAGGTGTATTTTGATTGACAGATAGTGTCTAGTGAAGTACAATTTGTTTATTTACTTGAGATTTTTGTTTTTAGCTCATAAAATTCATAAAAATTACCCGGCCAGAATATAATTTACATTGCTGGAATTCTTATAAGATAGTGATTAATTTGAATATAAACAAGCTAAAATTTGCATTAGACATACAAATTTTAGATCTAATTTAAGAATTTTATTAGAGAGAGCAAAAATTTTATCTTTTGTGCAAAATATATGACGTTTATATTCAAATTATTCGGTGTCTTGCAAGGAATCCAGCAATGCTAATTATATTCTCCTAACTTGGTCTGAGATATTATTTATTATTAAACCTGTAAGCTTATTGCTTTTCCCTAAACGTTTCTCAGGAAGGTGGGGGGTAAGGAGGGAGGAAGGGGTGACAGTGACATGTTTGACAGTTGCCGCCTGTGGTGTGAAGTATTTAATTGTTAATTTATGTCCTTTAGATTGAGTTTTTGTTTTTTGCTTATTTTTGCCTATTTACCTATTGGACAAACTAAAATCGTTCCGGACCACGGGAGTTTCCGGACCACAGAATGCCGGACTAGAGAGGTACAACCTGTATTTTCATTAAAATATTACATCACCAGTATATTTTATCTTAACTGTGACTGAATGAATATATTCTCTGAAATAAATATGGAAATGTAATATTTTTGCTGAAATGACGTACGTATTACAGTGGAAAGTGGGATAAAATCAAGATAAAAACAATGACTTTTGCTTTCTTTCGTTGTTCAAAAGATTTCACCGTAATCGCTTTTCGAATGGTTTTAAGTTAAAAAACTGTTGCATTACAATAATATTCTATCCTTATTTACTTGAATAAATACTACGATACCATATTTCTGAATATTTTCATTAAAATCCATCAAAATCATTTTCCTTGCCATCGTCTTCTGCACCAAACAGCTCGTCCCAGTCTTCTCCTTGAACAGGGCTAGAGGGTACGTGTTTTTCGAATTGTTTTCAGTTAAAAACTGTTACATCACATGTATATTTTTCCTAAACTGCGCCTGAATGAATATATTCTCAGAAATAAATAGTAGTTTTGCTGAAACGTGATCTATTTCAATGTAAAATAGGATAAAATACATGACGAACACAAAAGACTTTACCTAACCTTCCAATGTTCTTGAGATGTTACTCGTTTTTTTAATAGTTTTCGGTTAAAATACTGTTATATTACAATGATATTCTATTCATACTGTGCTTGATATAATACATTCACGGAAATGTAATATTTTTGCTGAAATGACGTACGTATTACAGTGGAAAGTGGGACAAAATCGTGACGAACGGAATGACTTTCGCTTTCTTTCGTTCAAAAGATGTTACCGTAATCGATTTTTGAATGGTTTTCAGTTAAAAAACTGTTGCATCACAAGTGAATTAGGATAGAATATTATTGTAATACAACAGTTTTTTAACTGAAAACCATTCGAAAAGCGATTACGGTAACATCTTTTGAACGAAAGAAAGCGAAAGTCATTGCTTTCGTCACTTTCCACTGTAATACGTACGTCATTTCAGCAAAAATATTACATTTCCATATTCTCAGAAATAAATAGTAGTTTTGCTGAAACGTAATGTATTTCAATGTAAATTAGGATAAACTACATGAAAACAAAAGACTTTATCTAACCTTCCGATGTTCAAGATATGTTACTCGTTTTTTTAATAGTTTTCGGTTAAAATACTGTTATATTAGTGATATTCTATTCATACTGTGCTTGATATAATACATTCACGGAAATGTAATATTTTTGCAACTACAATGCTGATGTCAACACAAGCGTGGTTACAGCGAGACTGACTGACTGTGAGGGAACGAGCTATGCGTGTGTGTGTGGTGTTGCGGGCGGTGTCCCGTGTTCGGTGTCGCGCGCGAGTTGAATGGCGCGCGATTTGAATGTACTTCAAACCCCGACTTACGACGGGGTTAGGGACCCAAATCCAGGTCGTAAGTCCGATATGGTCGTAAGTCCGATATAGATAAAAAAATAAAAAATAAATAAAAAAATTTTCAAAAAAAAAAATTCAAAAATTTTTTTTTTTCAAATTTTTTTTAAAAATCTACAATGAAATACAGTACACTAAACGTAAAAAATAATGAGGAATGGATACAGTACAGTAAAAGTAATAAATAATGAGGAATGGATACAGTGTGCCTCAGCACTTACCTTAAATGTAGTCAGCTGAATGCACACGGGGCCCCCATAATTTTCTATTTACAGGATACATGGAGACTATATTAATTGGAAGAAGCAGAAGAGGAGACAGGGCTGGGTGGGTCATCAATGTCGCTTCCTTCAGACAGGTTTATGTACAGGGGTAACTTGCTGGTTGAAGGTATTGGATCATCTTGAGGGAGTGAAGAGGCAGCACTGGTGGGGCGTGAGGAGCCAGTACTGGGGGACTTCTTGAAATAGGTGTCCAATTTAGACTGCACAGTTTTCTTTTTCTTTTCATTATAAATTTCTCTGTAGCAAGCAAGTGAATCTTGGATCATTCTGTCAACTTTGGCATAACGCTCATAATTTTGATCCATGTCATCAAACATTTGCATTGCTTTATTAATTGTAGCAAATGCCTCTGCCATATGTTTCACTGAAAACTTTTTGGGGGGTGCAGGCTCTTCTTCTACATTTTGTCTCTCTTCTTCCTCTGCAACTTTCTGTGCATCTAGTTCAATAAGATCCTCGTTACTGAGCTCTTCTGCTACACTTTCAACCAACTGTCCAACATCTTCAGTATCAATTTCTAACTCCAGCTGTTTACCTAAGTCCACTATCTTGTTACTAATATCCAAAATAACTTCACTTTCATTAAATCCTTTGAAACTGTTCACATATCTTTTCAGGATTTTCTTCCATATTCCATTCATGCAATGTTTTGTAACCTGATCCCATGCTGCACTAATGTTCTTTATACATGACAAAATGTTGTACTCCTTCCAAAACTGTCTGAGCGTTTTCTCACCTTCAGTAGCAGCAACAGCCTGAGCGAAGGTCGTGCGTAAATAATATGCTTTAAAGGCAGAAATAACACTTTGATCCATGGGTTGGATGATAGAGGTAGTGTTAGGTGGCATGTACACTACCTTAACATCAGGGTGCATGTCGTCCAGGTGTGGTGGGTGTCCCGGAGCATTATCCAAAATCAGTAAAATCTTGAATGGAATCCTTTGTTGCAGACAATACTCCTTGGCTCGTGGAATGAAACAAGTCATGAACCAATCCTCAAATAGTACTAGGGTCATCCAGGCTTTCTTGTTACTGCGATAAAACACTGGCAGTGTGTGCTTGCTGACATGTTTAAAAGCCCTGGGGTTCTCTGAATGATAGATCATGAAGGGCTTTAGCTTGAAACCAGCAACATTCCCCCCCAACAGAAGTGTAATTCTGTCCTTGAATGCCTTGAATCCGGGCATTTTTTTTGCCTCTTTGTGGATGTATGTCCGGTCAGGCATGCGTTTCCACAATAATCCAGTCTCATCCACATTGAATATTTGCTCTGGCAAATAATTCCCTTCCACAATCACATCATCTAACTCCTCCTTAAAAGCTTCGGCAGCACCAACATCGGCACTAGCTGCCTCTCCACTCACCTTAACACTGTGTAGACTGTAGCGTTTTTTAAATCTATCAAACCACCCTTGACTTCCTGTAAAGGTTTGATCACATTCATCTCCTGCCTGCTCCTTCAGGCTTTGGAACAGGCTTCTTGCTTTAGCCTGTATGGTTAGAACACTTAAGGGTACACGCTTCTGCATCTGGTCTTCTATCCATATCACCAATAATTTTTCCATATCGTGGATAGGACCTTGTCTTTTCTTTGTTATTATAGTTCCCTTTATAGGTGTTGTTCCTTTCACTACTTCACGAATACGTTCCTTGTCCTTCAGAATAGTGGATATGGTCGAGTGTGAGAAACCTAGGTCGCGTGAGATTGTTGCTATTGTTTTTCCATTCTCATACTGTGTTATTATCTTCAGTTTCATCTCAAAAGTAATTGCCTGTCTCCTTTTCCTTGGAGTACCACCAGCACTCTCACTTTTACGCTTTCCAGTCATTATAAAGTCAATTAAATACAATAATAACGAAAGTTCACAGCGCGATCAGTATAGGATACGATAGCCAAACACAAACAAAGCGCTCCACTGAGTGAGTGCAGCCACGAGGCGACCCAAGCCATCCCTCCCTCTCGCCCGGGACGGAAACGTTTCGGTATAGAAAATGCGCGCGTCATTTGAAAAAATTTTTGGTCACGGCGGTCGCAGTCGTATGTCCCGTATGGACGTACGGTCAAAGCAGGTCGTAAGTACCATTGGACGTAAGTCCGTATAGTCGTAAGTCGGGGTTTAGGTGTATATTCCTTTGAATGTATATTCCTCCAGCGGCAATCCGCGTAAGTTAAACCGGCGTATGTTAAGGGCAGACTGTATTTGTTTAATTTAAGTTTCTAGCAGTCCATGGTGCTTTAGAGACACAGGAGGTGTATAATTAGTGGGTTAGAGGCGTATTGTTGAGTTATTACCTGACCTCGGTTGGTCCGGCAAAACGGATAATCCGGCAAGGCTTTGGATCCCAGGGTGCTGGAAAATCGGTGGTGTACCTGTATTCCCCCTTTTTTTTTGGCACATTCCCTATGAACCTTTGTGTGCATGTAACAGAATAAAAGAAATTTACTAAAAGTACGTATATCTACTCGAAATTACCAGTTAAAATATAACAAAGATGCGTCTCTAAGGTTCGCCCAGCAGGGGTGAAGCTGGCCTTGCGTCGAAATATGAAAGTTGCAGCTAACCCGTCCGGTCTAAAATATTACTGTAGGATATCATAATTTTTCATTTGCGAATAAAAAGGTATGCCTTAAGAATATTGAATAGGGCTGTTAAAATATCAATTACAGTGGTCCCTCGGTTAACGAATTACCTTCCATAAGAATATTCAATTCGGTGAACGAACAAAAATTTGGTTAACAAAACTCTTACGTAAACATGTCCACATGTTTTGGCTTGCTCACCAGCTGGAAGATTAGTCCGCCAATACAGTAATCGGTTCTAGGGCTTAAATTCGTTTCCATTGGAGTAAATATCAAGAAGGTTGTGTTATTCAATATTTTTCCAAGTTTTATATTAAAATTATTAGTCGTTTTAGCACTTATTTAACATAATTGCAGTACAGGAAACTAGTTTTTGGTGCGCCCATCAGCTACTTCACTCACCCACCAAGGCCTCAGTTTTTGTCTCTGTTCAGTGGAGGAAACAACTTGCTTGTGGGTCTCTTGAACACAGAGAAATTTTACGTTTTTACAGTACAATTATTGGTCTTTCTGAAATTTATTTAACATATTAACAATATATAATACAGTGCAGTGTTGATTTAAAGAAAATAATCTTGAATTACACCCGGTGTACTTAAAATTTTTGGGTGAAATGACGGCATCAAGCATGGGGTGATTTTTCTTCCATCTTCACTTCCTTCTCTTCTCCCTTCTCCTCCACCCCCACTTCTAATTCCCATCATCATCATCATCATCAACCAGGAGCCTTCTACATACACACCTGAAAGTAATACTTTACTGCATTATTTTTTTTAACTTTGTATGTATTGTACTTTTCGGTGAGCTGGAACCAATTACCCAATATCCCAATCAAACAATGGATTCGGTTAACGAGGGACCACTGTATGGATAAATGGGGTTGTGAATAGCGAGGTATTCCTGTATGTAAAAATTTGATCAATTTGATAAAACTGTGTTTACACTTTCTTATTCTTTTATACATAGCAACTCAGGCCCATGTGTTTTTCATGCAGTTATTTCCCTACAGGGTTTAGATGTTTTCAACAATATACAAGTCAAGACTCAAATTACGGGATCAGTGCCGACAGTTCCCCTGGGATCCAAGATTGAGATGGAAGCCTTCAGTGAGGAGTACACCAGAGTAAAGCTAGGTATATGATGCAGCAAAGATAGATTGATATGTAACTGTTGCTAACATAAACAATAAGGGGAAAGGTTGTAGAAGGATAGATTTTTATTTATTTTTCATTTCACTACTTATCAGCTTACTAAGCCGTTCAGGTGGTTGGTCTACCCAGTGTTAGTAATGGAAGAAACCGGAGTACCCAGAGGAAACCTGTGATGTTTGGTAGTGAAGGTCACATGTGTGTCTGGGCCAAGTAGGACTCCAACTCTTGATATATTGGTGAGAGATGTGCGCGTGGTTTTTTAGTTATTTTATTTTTATTTTTTTTTAATACTGTACTGAGGATGAAGATATCTTAAATGTACAGTCAAAGAAAAGAGTTATGTTTCACCCCTCTAGTTTTATGTTCCAAAACCCATGACGAAGAATTTGGATAAAGTGACAGCGAAGCATCGAGGTTTGAGTCTGAACGGGGAACTTTACCCAAAATCTTCGTCATGGGTTTCAGAACATAAAGCACACTAAGTTTAATGTGACTTTCTTCTTTGATTGTACTGTAAAAAGGCAGCTGGGAATAGTCCTGCTTTATGAGTTAGGGAGCAGTGGCTGGTCTAGTGCACTTATAGGTACAGTCAGCCACAAGAATAATACATTTGTTGTAAATGTTTTACTAGTGACTTGTGTTTATATTACAAGTAATATACAGTAGTACCCCAATTTACGCGGTCAATTGAACCCACAGGGTACCGCGGAAAGTGAAAACTGCGTAAAGTGAACAACAGAACATATGGGATTAATTCCAATAGAGACTGGCCCGACCCCTAAACTCCACTTTTTCTGACACAATACCTATGTTGTAGTAAAAATAACATCTAAATTTTATGATGGTATGCTCACACAATTAATATTTAAGAGAAATACAGTCGCCAGGTTAATGTCCATTCAAATAATGGACTCAAATCCCCCCCCCCTCTTCCCAGCTCACTAGCTCCAACCTCTCTGAGAAATGTGTGGGTGAAAACACTAGATTTTAACGATTAGTAATAAATAATACCTCAGACTAAAGTTAGGATAATATAATTGACATTTCTGGATCCCTTGCAGGTCAGGGAATATTTTGAATGTAAACTTCATATATTTTGCACAAAAGATAAAATATTTGCTTTGTGTAAACCAAATTATTACATTAGATCTAAAATTTGTATGTCTAATGCAAAATCCATGATGTTTATAGTCAAAATGATCATCATATTGTAAGATCTTTGTTTTACCTCTAACCCCTCACACTATATTCATACTCAATATCTGCCCCCTTAGGGTCTTCTGATCACAATCTTATTTCTTTTAAATCTAACTGGGCACAACTACCTCCTCACCCCCTCTAAACGTCAACTATGGCATTATCGGAGGGCAAGCTGGCAATCTTTGCGATAATTCTTCACTGACTTTCCTTGGGATGAATTTTGCTTTTCCACTCGGGACGCCTCGGTATGTGCTGACAGCATTGCTGGGGTTATACAGGGTGGTTTAAGTGCATTTATCCCATCTTCTACCAAAACTTTCACTTTACAATCATGGTTTGATCGCTCCTGCTCTCATGCATGCAGGGTGAGAGATAGGGCATATCGAGCTATGAAACTATCTCCTTCTCCTATTACCCACTCCTCTTTCATTACTTCTAGGAATTGTTGTAAGGCTATTCTTCATAGAGCCAAGCGGAATTTTATTTAAAGAAAGACCGCTGTCCTGATTAATTCTTCCTCTAGTAAATCCTTCTGGTCCTTAACCAAAAACATCTGTAACAACTTCTGCACCCCTTCTTTTCCTCCTCTTTTACGACCCGATAACTCTATAGCCAACTCTCCCCCTGACAAAGCCAATCTCTTTGGCACCTTATTCTCCTCTAATTCCACCTTAGACGATTCCCACTCTATCCCTCCCACCCCTGCACCTCCTACTGAACCTATGCACTTTCCTATAATCTCCACTCGCAGGGTTGCCTGTGTGTTATCCAGGTTGGATGTGAGTAAGGCGCATGGACCGGACGGAATACCCCCTCGTGTTCTGGGGGAGTGTGCTGAAGCCCTGGCCCCTGTGCTTGCTCACCTCTTTCGCCTTTGCCTCAAAACCCAAACTTTTCCTTCTTCTTGGAAGAATGCCTTGGTTCAGCCCATCCCAAAGAAGGGTGACCATTCTAATCCCTCTAACTATCGCCCCATTTCCCTAACTTCATCCCTCTCTAAGATTTTCGAAACTATCTTGAACTCCCATTTTCTCCGTCACCTTGAACGCCTTTCTCTTTTGTCGGATCACCAGTGTGGCTTTCTCCAGGCGAGATCTACTGGTGATCTGCTCTCCTATTGCACCCATCTTTGGTCATCCTCTCTTAGGGTTTATGGGGAACTTTTGTCGTGGCCCTCGACATCTTCAAAGCATTTGACAAGTCTTTGCTTTCTGAACTTCCCTCTTTTGGTTTCTCTCCCCCACTTTGTTTTCTAATCTCTAGCTTCCTTGAGAACTGATCCATGGCAGTTGTTGTCGAGGGCGTTTGATCTCTCGCTCTTTCTCACCAATAGTGGTGTCCCACAGGGTTCTGTTCTTTCACCTACTCTCTTCCTTCTTTTTATCAATGATTTACTTCACACTATAACTAATTCTATCTGTTTTTACGCTGATGATTCTATTCTTCACTCTTCTTCACATTTTCTCCTTCCTCCTAAATCTCAAACTAGATCTGTTTCTAGAGCTGATATCATTACTTCTATAAATGCAGATCTATGGAGCATCTCTGAATGGGGAGGTACAAACTTGGTTAAATTCAATAGTAATAAAACTCAGGAGGTGTATTTACCAATTACACTTTCTAAATTAGATGATCTCCCACCAATTACATTTCAGGACGCTATCATTCTGCCAAATTCTGAAATAAAACTGCTAGGCCTCACCATTTCCTCCAATATGTCCTGGAAATCACACATCCCGAATATAGCTAAAGCTGCCTCCCGAAAGTTGGGAATGCTGTACAGATGGCGTAGCGAATTCACTCCTGAGCAGTTGCTCCAAGTATATAAGGGATTCATTCATCCTAACTTGTAGTACTGCTCTCATATCTGGGGTGGCTCTTCTTCTGTCCTACTGTTAGATAGGGTGGAATCAAAGGCATTTCGTCTTATTAACTCTCCTCCTTTAGTCGACAATCTCTCTTCCCTTTCTCTTCGCCGCAGTGTTGCTTCACTCTCTCTCTTTTACAGGTACTTTAACGGGTAATGTTCTGTGGATTTGGCATCCTGTGTGCCGTTTGCAAGGCCGTGGGCTCGTAACACACGTCTTGCCAGCGGTGCCCACCTTTTCTCTGCGGATGTCGGTCGCACAAGAATAACCCGTTATAGTACCTCATTCTTTCCTCACACAGCTAAACTGTGGAATGCTCTGCCTTCTTCTGTGTTTCCATACTTATACAATCTGTCTCACATTAAAAAGCTGGTTTTTCTGTTCTTATTTTTTTTGCCCCCAGGCCCCGCTGTGGGCCGTTTGACCTGTGCCCGGGTGGGCTAATTCCCGTAAAAAAAAAAATGCGATTTACTGAGTACAGCTTTATTATAAATGCTAATATTGTAATTGAGTTAATAAGCTCTTGTATTATAGAGTAGCAAGGTTATTGATAAAAATAAGTGGTCAAAGCTAAGAAACGAGTCATGAAAGACATGCAAGTGCAAGCTAATGAAATGGAGAAAGACATCATCTGTATATTCTTTGTTAGGCAGAGGATCCAATAACCATGAAGTTATATCCTTCTATTACAAGAGGAGAACATAATTCAGCTACAAACAAATGCTGGAGGTGAATATGTTTTTCCTTTTACTCCTAATTCTGATAATGTTAAACATGCGAAGCAGATAGTAGATCCCTTAGTTGATTGGCTAGATCTCATGGTAATAATTATTCTCTTATTGCCATTGGGTGTGATTCCACTGATGTTAATACTGGTAGACGCGGTGGTGCTATCTGGCACGTAGAAAATAAATTGGGCAGAAAAGCTAAATTGGATAATATGCTCATTGCAGATGAAAAGACCAGTTCTGACCACTCATTTACTGGCCCAATAGGTAAACTTCTCCCAAGGGTTACAGAGTTGCCTGTAAAGGAAAGCTTTCAACCTATCAAATTAATTGAAGATTTAGTTGATCTTAATGTTGACGAATTAAAGGAGTTTTCATCACCAATTATATGGTTATCAGATGATCAAGACTGTCGGTGAAGGCTGTATACTCAGGGATTTGGGTCTTCTTAAAAATGGACTCTTGTGCTTGTTAACTGCAGCTCACCGGTTACTTCGTATGTATGTGTCTGTCATTCTCTGGAAATGAAGAGGAAATATTGAACCATATTATGACCTTCATTGTACAGGTTCCTACCCTTGCTGGTTTCTCAACGAGGTAAAGCACTCTTGGTTGGTAGGACTGCGTCGGCTGCTGACCCAAATTAGGCTTGTCAGGCGGCAACCTCAAGTTGTTCAAGACGTATTTCTGGCAACTGTGAAATCATCTGCATGGTACTCCCACTCTGAAAATGTTCTTTAAACAATGATTGAGAGCAATGACAAAGATGAACAAATCTTCGCAGTTAAAAACATACTAGAACTTTGTAAAAATAATCGTACAGATGATTCAAATGTCCGACTCACACGACATCCTCCACTGAATCTTGAAGCAACTTCCCATTTTTATTTAATTGACTGAAAAGAGGCTCATGAGCCGCTTTTCACCAGTAGACGAAGCTCTGAGGAATTAAAGAAAATCTCAGAGCATCCAATAGAAGTTCTATTCTTGCCAGTCCATGCGCAAAGCATCACAAGATTTGTGAAATTAATCACTAAAGCATTTGCTATTGTGTATGGTTAAGAATGATGTTATGACTTTATTAGAGCTGGTGTAGCTCACAGGGAATTGTAGCCATCAGACAAAACAAAGATGAATTTAGTTGCAGTCATAGAAAAAAGGCACACTAAATGAATAGTATATACTGAAGCAGTTAATTGGATTTCTCAAATTTTTTGTGTTTTGTGTTTTGAATTTTGCTTTTAGTATACTCTAACCCAACTGCTACAATATTTTTATTAATCATTTAATGGTGATTTTGTCCATTTCATCATGAATAAATCTAGTCAACAAGTGGGCATATATAATTGTATTGCATAATTGTATGTTGTTTTGAAAACTTACTGTATTTTACTTTCATCATTTTCAGTACTTGAATACCAAAATTGAGAAATATAAATAAATTGACAGTATCATTTACAAAAGTGCAATTTTGAATAGCTAAACTTCATTATGCAAAAAGTAATATTTACAATGTTTATTTGTATAATAAAACTACATTAAAATATCAACCAGGAAAAAAACAAGATTTTGATTATGAAAATACACCCTAGTACCCATATATGATATTTAAAGTAATAATTTTACTGTTTTTCCGAGCAGTGACATCTATTTCTTTCCATACTTTAGGAATTACAGGAAATATAATCTTACCGGTAATTTTATAATGTTTCAGAAATTTGTTAATTACTTTACAAAAAGTTGTATTAGAATCTGCACTGTGATGTGGTTATCATAAAGTCAGCATATATTTTGTCTTTCTGAGAATGAAATTGAGAGCATTGTGCATTTCTCCAGGTATCTTGACTATTTTGTAGACACTGTCATTAACCCGGCAGGTCAGCAGAGGGCACGGTCTAGTCGCATATTCCGTTTGAAGGGACAAAACATTGACACTCCTTTCTCTGTGGAGACCACCATTGACTACAATGAATGTACTTGGAGGACTCGAGGGCCAAGTGAACAAGATACACTGCGGCTCAAGGTAATGTTTACTATATCTTTAATAGTGATTTAGTTTCATTTTTATATGCATCATCATCATCATCATCAATGTTTTATGGCAATTTTTTATGCCTGATTACAACTCTCCATGGTATGGTCTTTCTTGCCCTACCCCTAACCTTCCTTCCCTCCACTTTTAGACTTGTGCATCTTTTGAACCAATTGGTCTCCTCCATTCTCTCCGCATGCCCAAACCATCTCGACCTACTTCTGCACAACTTGGGTAAAAATACTCTCAGTATCAGACACCCTCTTATCCTTGAACAAGGTTCACCCCTTGATATTGTTTTTATGATATCCAGGTCATTTATCAAGTGATCTACAAGGTTCCTTTCAAAATAGCAGTATAGTGATCCCTCGGTTAACGAATGCCTCGGTTAACGAATTTTCGGTTAACGAATTACCTTCCATAAGAATCTTCAACTCGGTTAACGAACAAAAATTTGGTTAACTGAAATCCTTACGAAATCGTGTCAACATGTTTTTGCCTGCTCACCAGCTGGGGTATTAGTCCACCAATACAGTAATCGGTTTTAGTACTTAAGTTCGTTACCATTTGAGTAAATATCAAGAAGGTTGTACTTTTCAATAATTTTCCAAGTCTTATATTAAAATTTTTAGTCATTTTATCAATTATTTAACATAATTGAAGTACAGGAAACTAGGTTTTAGCGCGCCAAACAGCCACTTGACTCACCCAAAATGGCGTCAGTTTGTGTGTCTGCTCAGTGGAGGAAGCATCTTGCTTGAGACTCTCTTAAACATAAACTATTTTTACATTTTTACAGTACAATTATTGGTCATTCTGAAATTTATTTTACATATTGACAATATATAGTGCAGTGCGGTGTTAATTTAAAGAAAATAATCTTGAATTACATCAAGTGAACTTAAAATTTTATGGGTGAAATGGCAGCATGAAGCGTGGGGTGATTTCTCTTCCACCCCACTTCCTTCTCTTCTCCCTTCTCCTCCACCCCTACTTCTAATTCCCATCATCATCATCATCAACCAGGAGCCTTCTACATACACACCTCAAAGTAAGTGTACTTTACTGCATTTTTTTTCACTTTATGTAATTTTCGGTGAGCTGGAACCAATTACCCAAAAACCCATTGAAACAATGGTTTCGGTTAACGAAATTTTCGGTTAACGAACGACCTTATGGAACGAATTGTGTTCGTTAACCGAGGGACCACTGTACATGGAAGAACCTGACTTGTTCAGTGAAGAATGGGTTCTGCTCATACTAAGGCCGAGTATCAAACTGGTATTCATTGTGGCGACCTTTGATGATGTCATTGGTAATAAGGACACTTGTTGCCTTTCATCCACCCTCAAAAGTACTCCTGATGATTCCAGCTGCATTATTTAGGATTTATTATGACTTCAGTTGATTCATTACTCCTCATAATGATCCCCAGTTATCTAACAAATCTTAATGGTGCCAGGAGATCCACAAGTGTTCATAAGGACACCAGCAGACAGATTTTGTGGTAACACCAAATGGTTCACAAGTTCGTTTGATCATATCATATACCTGTCTTTTTATGACACTACAAGTTCTTAGTATGACTCCAGGGGTCTCATAAAATTGTTTGAACTTCCATAATATCAGCAAGTGATTCATAGAGATATCAAGTTACTCACAGGTGCTCATAATGACCCTAAGTGAAATCACTGGCATTTACAATAATGTTGAAGGACTGATCATGGCTAATAATGACCCTAAGTGATCACAGGTATTCATAATGACCTAGGTGATTAATAAATACAGCCCCCCCCCCAAAAAAAAAAAAAATTGTGGATTTTTATTTTGCGGTCCTCTATTATTCGCGGATGACACTCTGGATGTAGCCAAGGACCACACCTCACTCACTTCAGTGAGTGAGGTCCTGTGACACCAGACCACGTGGTGTCCCCATGATTCTACGACACCACGTAGTGAATGAGCTGCTACAGCATCATGTGAAATTCCTCATAACACCATCTGTGAGGGAATTACTACACCACACCAGGCCCTTCATAACACCATCTGTGAGGGAATTACTACACCACATGATGCCCCTCATAACATAATCTGTGAGGGAGTTACTACACAGTGTGTCTGCTAATCAACACCTCAGCGCACAAGATCTATGTGACCTCCACTGTAAACATGCTTTATTATTAAAGTAATAAAGCATTTCTCTTTGTACACAAGTAAAAATTTAACCCCCCCCCCCACCTGGTCAGCAAATGTTATTCGCGGAAATGGCGATTCGCGACCATTTTGGGAACCTAACCCCCGCAAAATTGGGGGACCCCTGTACACAAAATGATCCTAAATGCTCTTGATAATAGCAAGTGACTCACAGGTGCTCTTAATAATTCAAAGCTACTCACAAATTGTTAGGGTGCCAGTCCTGGGGACAATGAAAGGCCACACCCATAGTCTGTTTATTAGTGAAGGTGACAGGGGAGAACAGACATGTCCACAGAGCTTGGATGCTGAGCTGGAACTGACTATTAAACTTCCGTGGCCGCCGTTGGCGGACCCATACACTGTTGCCAAACTGGCACATACCCCAACATGCCCCCCTCTATTGCAAAGAACCCGTCCGAACTCAACAAAATGGTACACAAGTGACAAAGTTGCAAATTGAATACATACAAAATGAGTGAAGGTTCTTTTCAATATACAACTGAAAGGGACAAAAATTAGATCCATTATGACAAAATACTGACACATGAGTGATATATGGAAGCTGTCCTTGTCTAAGGGACATAATCCTGAAGGTGCCTGGGAGCGCGCCTTGTTCGTGGGGGCCTCTCGGGTGGCGCGCGGTGCTGTTGTGACGTCGGGGGTGGCTTCGGGCGCTGCGGTGGGCGTTAAAGGGTGGAGGTGGCGGCGATTCGTGATCGTCGTTCGTCCGCTGCCATCTAGGCGGATCAGGTACTCTCTGGGGGCCGGTGACTCCACCACCACCCCCGACTGGTCCCACTGCCCCGACTCCTGGTTCTGGACTAGTACCCGCTGACCCAATACGTATGGCGGGAGGTTGTGGGCGTTCAGGTTGAACCTCCGTGATATTTTCTCACTGGTACCCCCCATTGCGCGTTTCCTGTTACTCGGCAACCTTCCCCAGTGCTTGCTGACGTTGTAGTGTTGCCTGGCGGGGATGTGTTGGAGTCCTGCAATGGTGTGTTTAGGCATTACATTAGGGCCCTTGACGGCCCTGTCCATGTCTAGGGAGCCCCCTGGACCCATGTTTCCCCTCAGTAGTCTTTTAGCCGACTTCACTGGTGCCTCGGCCCAGCCGTTCGACTGTGGGTAGTGCGCTGACAACACCCTGGGCGTCACACACCAGTCTTTGAAGAACTTCAACATTTCGGCACCCATCAAGTTGTTCCCAGGTCACCCATTGTCAGGGTGGGGAATTAGTGGGTCTCATGACCTGAAGATGTCTTGAATAAAGATAAAAGAAACATACAGTAAATTTTTTGCTCTTTTTTCTCAAAAATTAATAAACGATTTGAATTTGGAATGAATCTGAAATACAGTAATACCCCGATTTACGCTGTCACCGCATAAAGTGGGAATTACGGTTCTGGCAGGGTACCGCGTAAATGTAGAAACTCGTAAACCAGAACCCCGTAAAGCGGGGTATTACTGTAACCGTGTGATTCTGAAAAATCGACTACGGTATTATTATTGGAGTATATTATGAAATATATTAAGATGAATAATATTAAGATACAAAACTATGTCTGTGTTTGTTGGTGATGGGTGGCAGAGGGGGGAGGGAAGACCACTCACCACCTCCTGCTCGGCAGCCCGCGATCCTTGTATGACGACCGTATGCAAAATCACAATTCCCATATTATTTAGGTTCATTGGTGCCAGGTTAATAAAACATTATCAAAAAATTATTGATTTTCCCCCCAAAATCCAACGCTCAATCCTAGATGAGCTATTGTGGTCTCTTGTTTACAGTACAGAGTCTTATAAGCTGATCATTCCTGCTATCCCTAATGACTCACCATCTATCAATCACAGGATTTTTTGTAATTTGAGTGATCTACAGCCCCCTATTTTGTCGAATTAACCTAATTAAGCAAAAGATCATTAAATTAATGCCATACTGCTATCCGCACTACCCATTGGTTTCTGCATACTCTAGAACTATGGTCACATTTCAACCAATCGCATAAGCAATAACCACACACGCAAGACCCATGTAAAATGAGAACCAACTGTACAAACAAACATTCAAATCATCCTCTGGGTAACATGACACAGTTCAGCTGGGCAGTCACTCAGCTGATTCAGAGACATGTGTGGCTACTGCTGCACTGCACTGTGTGTATGCCTGATATCATATAGGGGGAGGGAGAGTGCGGCTGGGTGGCGAGTTGGCGATGAAGTTACAAATCACTGCCTTAATACATACTGTACGACTGTACATTCACTTCCCACACATAAACACCCACGCTCTTCATGTTTATTATTTATAGATTTATATTATATTTTCTTCATTTTTAAGCCATATTAGAGTATTGTAATGTTTTTTTTTTCTCAAACTAGCATGGATAAGTGATAAACACGCTGAGCTAGCGAGAGATTCTGGGTGGGTTGGTTCACGTAAGAGTGAGACTCAAGTGTAAGGGCAGATCAGGGTATCAGAGATGTATAAGCAGAGTCGCATACTGTGGATATGCGTACTCTGCGACCCTATTGACATTTAGTTAACTTTTACATCCATATTTTGTACTTTGAATTACTGTGTATCTCTATGTTCCTCTGACTCGTGAACAATAATTGAAAGTTTTAGGTTCTGTGAAGCAATTGATAACTGTTAATACAGTATGTCAGTACTTTACATCTTTCTCTATTTTTTATTTTTTCTGTTAGGTGGCTGAGAATATCTTCATTCAGTATGATGCTCCTGAAGAGATTGTCCGCTATGCACTCTCAGCAAAGGTGGCTTCTCTTGAGGGTAAGTTAATGACCTTAGTATAGTAATGAATTGTAATTTTTATTGGGATTAAATTTTTGCCTGAAATCAAGTACCAAATTTCACATAATCATCTTTATTTATTGAACTGTAAATAAATACATTGTCCTACAGAGTTTATTTTATTATGTCTTGTAATTTGATGCCTGTATCATTTGTTCACTGTCTGAGGTATATTTTATAACTACCTATCCATACATAAGTTTATGCATCATTGGTTGGCAGAAAACTGATAAAGATGAACTACAACTTGGCTAATGTGGCCAAAGAATCGTTCACAGTGAATGAGTCAATGAATCCCAGTCAAAGTGAACTCAGTGGGTCTGAGTTTCTCACTGGACCATAGATCAACCACTGGTTCAAATGGAATCAAAGTAATTCAGAGTCAACTTGGTGAAAAAACTGTTCATAGTACTGTGGCACAGATAATGAACCTGTCATTAAACTGTAAAGAGAGAGTGTTTAGTGGACAGTTCTCTCACAGACCACTCAACGAGGCATAGGATATAATAATAATAATTAAATGTTTATTGAGAAAGTTCTGCAACCCGAAGGCTGAAAATATGCATTAGGCAAAAATGACTTACTACATACAAAGACATGGGGTTGGTGAGTCATTTAACAAAAGCTTTCATTACTAAAAGGAGAAGGAACATGAATTGAACATTACAAATTATTTTAGTTTACAGCTGATGGCCCGGGCTGGTCTCTTGCCATACTGTGTGAGGTCACGTAGGTCACGTGGTGTAGTGACTCGCTCATAGGTGTTGATATGAAGGACCTCACATGGTCATGGAGACACTGAGTGGTGTGGTGTTTACATGATGCAGTAACTCGTCCTCAGGTGTTGATATGAAGGACCTCACATGGTCATGGAGACACCGGGTGGTGTGGTGTTCACACGGTGCAGTAACTCATCCTTGGGTGTTGATATGAAGGACCTCACGTGGTCATAGAGACACCGGGTGGTGTGGGGTGGTGTCACAATACCTCACTCTCTGCTAGGTGGTGTTGTGTTATCTCATAGTCAGGTGTAAAGCCGGCCCACTGTTGTTCCCAAGGTGGAGTGTTTAACACCGCCTGGTCAGAAGATAGTGGTTGGTTCCCAGGGGTGCTTATCTCACTGGTGGGTCATGGCTCTTGCTGGTACTGTTTAGTGCTGAATTCACTGGCTTAAACACTGTTCATCACTGTTCAACACTGATCTCACATCTTTCCGAAACGAAATTGTCACTTGTGATTATGTTGGTATCTCGGTGGTGAGGATGGGTTGAGGAGAAGGACTTGAGGAATGGCCGAACATAGCCAAGGAGGGCCGCTGCGCAGCAGGAGCAGCGTCTGATAGGTCTTGACCCTCTGGTGGTCAAGGATATTTAATACTATGTATGTGAAATGAAATAATCATGTGAAATTTAAATGAAATATTATTTCTGTATGTTCTCAGAGGTTGACCCGTGTGTTGAGGGGCGACAGGAGTGTGGACAAAACAGCCAGTGTGTTGTTGATGGAGACACTTTCAGGTAAGTTATTTAAACATAATATTTTACTTGTTAACATTATGAATGATGTACAGAGGTCAAGATTCATTTCTAATGGTTTTAATTCTTAATTAAATCTTTCTTGGCCCCATAAATATTTGCAAACCCAAAGCTATTTTTTTTATGCACAGTCAACCCTCACTTTACGCGGTCCCACATTCCGCGTTTCCACGTTTACTCGGTGCCCTGCCGGAACCCAGGATGCTCACATTCCGCGGTGCGTGTACCCCTTTACGTGGAGCGGCTGGCGAGCCGCGCCATTTTTGGATCCAAACCTCCCGCCATCCGCCATGTTGTGTAAGCGGCGCGAACATGGTGCACACAAGGTCGTCCAATCATCAAAACATTACCAGTTCTTCACCCGCCACCCACCACAGCCGGCCCAAGTCAGTGATAGTGATAATTATGGTGAGGATATGGACTTATATGGACTTTGGGGGGTTTGACAAAGAGGCCCTGCAAGCCTCTGTGGTGGATAGTGATACAATTGATACAAGTGACACAGGTGAGGGCCAATAATCTGCCCTCTGCCTCGGAACCAACCGCCCATCCCCGTGTGCCCAGCCATTTTTTCTACTAATGTAAGTGTTAAAAAACCTAATATTATTGATATTTCTCTTAATTATTAATTGTGTGTGCATACCATCATAAAGTTAAGATAATATTTTTACTACAACATAGTTGTGTGTCGTCAAAAAGTGGAGTTTGGGGGTCGGCCCGGTCTCTATTTCAATTAATCCCATATGTTATGTTATTCACTTTACGCGTTTCTCACTTTCCGCGGTACCCTGTGGGTTACATTAACCGCATAAAGTGAGGGTTGACTGTATTATCAAAAGCCATTCAAGCTTCTAAATGATTATCCTAATTTCTATAACCTATGCAAGCAGTCTATAGCCGTCCATAACCCTAAAAGAGGCTTAGAGGATGCACAAAATACAAGTGAAACTCAACTAACACAGCAGACCACAGCCATTATAGGGTAATTAGGGATAGGCTGCCAGCATCTGCTGCACCTATGACAATATTCATCATGGACTGCACATAATGATTATTCTATACTATTACATCCTAACTCTTTGAGGCACAGGATTTGGGGTAAAAAAAAAAAAAAACATGTTGCACAGAAAAAATATTTTCCTTTATTTCAACCTAAAATCACTTTCATTTATGAACGAATTATACATTTAGTTGAAGAATCACACACAAAAAATATAACTGCCATTAATTAGCTATAATTAAGTGGTGTAAAGTTCATCCCACCGTGCATCTTATATATGATTTTATATTAATGGATTATAAGAGAAGGGAAGAATAATATCTCCTAAAATAAAGTCACATTGTCTACAACAATTAAGAAATACAATCTTCAATTTGACGTTTACCAAAAAAACAAAAAATCCTTTGTGCCGTTGTGCTTCTGAACATTACAAACAAAAATCAAGGCATTCTAAAGAATTTTTTTTTTATCTTCACCCTCACACTTACATATTTAACATACAAAACATGTGAGATTCATTATTTATGCATGATATTTATGAAAACACTGTTTATTTTTCCCAAGACATCGAGGCACTTTGCATACAGAATAGGCCCAGTTAGTGCGTACTTCCTTGGCTTTTGTGCTGCACAGAGCACAACGTCTTCGAGTTGTATGCTCCTTTCTACGTATTTCTACTGAAACTGTAGGTTTTGACTTCTTGATTTGAATATTCATCACAGAAAATTACTTCTGGGTGCTACTTGCATGGTGGGATATTTTACAGCTCTTCATGTTTTACACTTCTATTTCAAAATTTAAATCATTTGGGACATTTTGCTGCATCAAACAGTTACATTTACTCCCAAGTGTATGTACAAAATAATTTGTATACTGTGCCTGATTGTAACCACTAACACCATAATCTTCTCTGACTGTCATAGATGTGTATGTGAACGAGGATATGAGGAATTGTATGATGCAACGCTCAACGAGGAGATTTGTTTGGATATGAACGAATGTGACACAGGACGAGACAACTGCCACTTTGATGCCACCTGTGTCAATAACCCTGGGAGCTTCACTTGTTTATGTAATCCTGGGTTCACTGGAGATGGGGTCGTCTGTGAAAGTGAGTTCACAATACAGTTATGATATTTTATGGTTTCTTTGTGATATTAAGTTGAATTAATTCCTCTGAAAATTATACAGCGAGTAAAATGTTAAAAAAGTGGAGTTGATGTTTTATAGAGTAATTAGATCTGCATATACAGTATTTATATTGTACTTGTACATTATAATCTTGATATATCAAATTTCAGTACCACTGAATTCTGGAAAAGTCATATCCTTTAAGAGTTGTTTTGATATTGCTTGTATATTTTGGAAATTTTAACTCATTCGATGCAGATAATACACATGTAGATCAGTTGGCTTCTGCCAGTTGATTGTGGATGTCCCATATATGGAACAGAAAACCATTTTGTCAAAAATGCTGCGCAGACAGACAGACAGACAGACAGACAGACCCATATTTATGAAGCTTTGGCTTATGAAAATTCATCTGGCTCGGGGTTATGGTGCCCTTGCTCTGGGGGTCAAGGCACGTCCTGCCATAACTAGATCTAAAAGTGTACTGACCGTAAAATAAGAGCTTGAACACATCTATCAACTACAGTGGTCCCTCGATTAACGAATACAATTGGTTCCACAGAGTCGGTTGTTAACCGAAAATTTCGTTTACTGAATTTATTATTTCAATGGGATATTGGGTAATTGGTTCCAACTCACAGAAAAAGTATACATAGAAAGTTACAGTACTGTATACCGGTAATAGAATTAACAAAACATTAAATATAAACTAAATACAGTACTGTACTGTACAGTATACAGTACTGTACAATAATAAAAAAAAATAGAATACAGTACTGTATTTTAACTAATTTGGGGTGTGTATGTCGTATTCCCGGCAGCTTTGTTTACATATCAAACGGCTGATTGTAGAGGCAGTCGATGATGACATGCCATATTCTTTACAGAGTTCGTTGGTTCTAATGCCTTCGTGTTTCATAATAATTTCTGAACTGTATATTATCAATAGTTAACTAAATTTCAGAATGACCAATAATTATAATAAAAAAAAAATATATATTCAAGAGCACAACTTTCTTGATATTTACTCCACTGGAAACGAATGTAAGTATAGAACCAATTACAGTATTACCCCGCTTTACACTGTTTCACTTTCCGCGATTTCTCATTTACGTGGTACCTTGCCAGAACCGGACTTTCACTTTCCGCGGTGCATCTGCTCATATACACGGTGAAGTGTAATTTATTTATTTTTTTTTTTTATTTAGCTCATAAAATTCATACAAATTACCCTGCCAGAATATAATTTACATTACTGGAATTCTTACAATATGATGATCATTTTGAATATAACATCATGGATTTTGCATTAGACATACAAATTCTAGATCTAATGTAATAATTTGGTTTACACAAAGCAAATATTTTATCGTTTGTGCAAAATATATGAAGTTTACATTCAAAATATTCCCTGACCTGCAAGGAATCTAGAAATGTCAATTATATTATCCTAACTTTAGTCTGGGTTATTATTTATTACTAAAAATGTAAATATACTATTTTCTCCCAATCGCTTCTCTGGTAGGGAGGGAAGGTGGGGGGTAGGAAGGGAGGGAGGGCGGAGGTGGGGTATTTTGATTGACAGATAGTGTCCTTGAAGAATATTTCTTTGTTTATTTACTGAAGATATTTGTTTTAGCTCATAAAATTCATACAAATTACCGGCCAGAATATAATTTACATTGCTGGAATTCTTACAATATGATGATCATTTTGAATATAAACATCATGGATTTTGCATTAGACATACAAATTTTAGATCTAATGTAATAATTTGGTTTACACAAAGCAAATATTTTATCTTTTGTGCAAAATATATGAAGTTTACATTCAAAATATTCCCTGACCTGCAAGGAATCCAGAAATGTCAATTATATTATCCTAACTTTAGTCTGAGGTATTATTTATTACTAAACGTTAAAATCTAGTGTTTCACCCAATCATTTCTCAGAGAGGTAGTGGCCAGTGAGCTGGGAAGAGGGGGGGGGGGATTTGAGTCCATTAGTTGAATGGACATTCACCTGGCGACTGTATTTCTCTTAAATATTAATTGTGTGAGTATACCATCATAAAATTTAGATGTTATTTTTACTACAACATAGGTATTGTGTCGGAAAAAGTGGAGTTTGGGGGTCGGGCCAGTCTCTATTGGAATTAATCCCATATGTTCTGTTGTTCACTTTACGCGGTTTTCACTTTCCGCTGTACCCTGTGGGTTCAATTGACCGCGTAAATCGGGGTACTACTGTACTGTATTGGCGGACTGGCCGATCAGCTGAGGCACACAACAAAGCGTGTTTCTCGTAAGGCTGTTGTTAATCGAAGTTTTGTTCGTTAATGGAACTGAAGATCCTTATGAGAGCTAATTCGTTAACCAAAATTTCGTTAAATGAACCTTTCGTTAATCGAGGGACCACTGTACTTTATTGTTTTTCCTTCCTGTTGGTGTACTTATGGATGGGGTTATCTGCCCACTGTGTTTGAAGTATTAGTGTGAGAATTTAGTAACAATAGAGGAAGACTGATCTTCCACTGTTGGGTAACAACTGAAGTGAATGGGACTTTAAGGGTTAAAATGCCACAAAACTTGTTTATAATGACCATTTTGGTGCACACAATGATAATATGCCAATAATAAACATAATAAGTAAAATATCTTCAATACAGTACAGTTTAATAATAATTTTTGTGGCCCCAGAACGTAACACAAGCACATATATGAATGAAAATCGATAGTTTTAAACACATACAATGATTACTTCATGATGTAACATGATAATAAATGACCACAACACTTGAATTTAACTCACCAGAAACAATGTTGAGTGCTGCATGAGCTGAGGTGAGGTGAGGTTGTGTGACTTGAGTTACTGGGAGTTACCTCCTTAAAAAATCAAGTTTAATGTCCTTAATGGAATCTTTTATCAGCATTGTTTTCCCTTGAACTTGGTGGCCTTTTTCCACTCATCTTGAATAAGGGTACACAGTAACACAGTCCTGAACACAGATGCAAAATTGAACACAAGCTGGGGAAAGAATTCAAACTGAGTAGCACCAATGTTGTGTAGGGTAGGTGCGAACCATCTTGTAGCTACCACCAGAATCCACACGAAAGAAATTTTATAATTTTGGTGAAATTTTTTGTTGTACAATATACAGTACAGTACAGTATTCATCAACTGCAAAGAAGAGTACTTTGCCAATTTAATCTGACCTATGGGCTGATCTTCCATATCGTGAGCCAGGTATAGGTACACCACCGATTTTCCGGCACCTTGGTTCCAAAGCCTTGCCGGATTATCCGTTTTGCCGGACCAACCGAGGTCAGGTAATAATAACTCGACAATACACCTGACCCACTAATTGTACACCTCCTGTGTCTCTAAAGCACCATGGACTGCTAGAAACTTAAATAAACAAATATTAAATGTGAAAATGCCATAATTTTGAGTAACATTACTGAACTGTACACACTTTGTACTCAAATGTAGTACACCAGACTAAAATTTTTATCTCTTGTGCAAACTATGTGATTTTTATACTCAAATTAATCACTATCTTACAAGGATTCCGGTAATGCAATTTATATTTGCTAAGTCTCGTCAGCTACATTTATAAGATAAAAACTCTAAGCCTAAAACTACCTTCACCCTGGCTGGGAGGAAGGGTAGTAAGTTAAATGCCCTCTCATAATTTTGTCCAGACTAAAGGAGGTGCTGGACCATCAGTTCCTGGATAATCGGTGGTGTACCTTTAGTAGGTAGTAAGCAGCTACCAAACAGGGAGGTATTACCACCTGGGAAGATATTGTAAGCATAATGTGTTGACTAATGGTAGACCCTGCTGCCATATGTGACCAAGTCCCAGGTTGCTCATCTGACTTTCTCCTTCATTCACAATTGCAGGGTCTCGATTGTTTCTCGTATTTTGACAACACAACATACATACATTACAGTATATTGTTTCTTTCTACAGTGGTCCCTCGGTTAATGAACTCAATTCGTTCCAGAGGGTCGTTCGTTAACTGAAACCATTGTTTCAATGGGGTTTTGGGTAATTGGTTCCAGCTCACCGAAAATTACATACAAAGTAAAAAAAAAATGCAGTAAAGTACACTTACTTTGAGGTGTGTATGTAGAAGGCTTCTGGTTGATGATGCTGATGTGAATTTGAAGTGGGAGGTGGAGGAGGAGAAGAGAAAGAAGTGGGGGTGGAGGAGAAACATTTTGCTGCTTCTTGGAAGGCGAGTCACCTTCCATAAAAATGTCAGGAACCTCCAGACTGACAGATTCTCCAGCAGGAAAATCCTCTCTCCTTTTTGAAGTGGAAGGCTGAGGGGTAGCATCTTTCTCCCGTTGCCTTTTGGAGAAGAAACTGCCAATTTTTGGTCGTGGGGCATTTCTCCTCCCGATCATTTGCTGGTTCTTGAAGAAGGAGACCACTTTGTCCTCAACAGTACACAAAATAGGTTCTGTTGTTTCCACAGCAGGGTGCCTTGAAGCCAGTTTCCTGAACATCTCCCAGTGGTGAACAACATCTTTTAAATCGGAAGAAGACATATGGTCATCACTTTCCCTTTCCTCCTCACCACTGTCAGTTTCTAAGATCTCATCCAGTTGCTTCAAGTCATCAGGAGTAAGTTCCTCCTCATGAGACATCACAAGCTCTTCCACATCATCCTCCTCCACTTCGAGTCCCATTGAATGACCAATGGACACAATCTCCTTGTCCAACTCTGTTTCTTCCTCGAATCCCTCAAAATCATGGACTGCTGATGGCCACAGTGCTTTCCATGCAGAATTCAGGGATCGAATGGAGACATCTTGCCATGATGACACAATCAATTTTACAGCCTTCAGGATGTTGTATTGCTTCTTCCAGAACTGTGACTGATGACACCTTCTGAACATTTTCTTCATGTCCAGCTTCTTGAAGTTGCTGATTACATTGTGGTCCATTGGCTGCATAATTGATGTAGTGTTGGGAGGCAAAAACAACACTTTGACAAAGTCAAATTGAGCCTCCAAAGTGCTGGCAAGTTCAGGGTCATGACCAGGGGCATTAACCAGAAGGAGAAGAGCCTTTAAAGGGAGTTTATTGGTGGTTAGGTAGCTCTTCACAGAACGGCAAAACACCTCAACAGCCCATTCATTAAAGAGCTGCCTTGTTACCCATGCCTTACGGTTGGACTTGTTGGACTTCCAACAAACTCCAAGTTGTCCTCTTACCACCTTTTGTTGCTTGAACACCCTGGGGTTTTCAGAGTGGTAGACAAGCATAGGCTTCAGTTGGAAATCCAATGAAACATTGGCACCAAGCAATAGAGTGAGACAGTCCTTCATGGGTTTATGCCCCGGTAAAGAGGCTTCATCTCTGGTGATGAATGTCCTTTTGGGCATTTTCTTCCAGAACAGCCCAGTTTCGTCCACATTGAACACTTGCTGTGGAAGATTATTTTCTGTATCCACCAGTTCCTTAAACTCCACTACAAATTTTGCTGCTCCTTCTTTATCTGCACTGGCAGCTTCACCATGCCTAACAACACTAAAAATGTCACATCTTTTCTTAAATTTTTTGAAACGGCCCTTGCTGGTCCTAAACTCTTTGAACATAGTTTCAGAAGAACTAGGTTGCTATTCCTTCAAATGTTCGTAAATTTCCCTGGCTCTTTCACAAATAAATTCAGTAGAAACTGAATCTCCTTTCATTTGTTTTTCCCTAATCCAAATGAGAAGTAACCTCTCTGTTTCTGCTATTAATGATCTACCTTTAAACACTCTGGTAGATTTGTCTCTCACTTTCACTTTAAATTTGTCTTTCTGCGAAAGAATTGTCGACAGTTGATGCTGACATGCCATATTCCTTACTAAGCACATTTGTTCTGATGCCTTCTTCATGTTTCTTAATGATTTCCTGTTTAACTTGAATTGAAATCGCCTTTCTCGATTTCTTTGGACCCATGCTTGATTCAATACAGGGTACAGTAATTTCAACACTAAAATTTTAAGTTCACTGGTTGTCATTAAAGATTATTTTCTTTAAATCAACACTAAACTGCACTATATATTATCAATATTGTCCAATAATTGTACTGTAAAATCGTAAAAATGCTCTGTGTTCAAGAGAGCCACAACCAAGATGTTACCTCCACTGAACAGACACACAAACAGATGCCATGGTGGGTGAGTGAAGTGGCTGATGGGTGCACCAAAAACTAGTTTCCTGTACTGCAATTATGTTAAATAAGTGTTAAAATGACTAAAAATTTTAATATAAAACTTGGAAAAATATTGAATAACACAACCTTCTTGATATTTACTCCAATGGAAACGAATATAAGCCCAAGAACCGATTACTGTATTGGCGGACTAATCTTCCAGCTGGTGAGCAAGCGAAAACATGTTGACACGTTTTCGTAAGAATTTCGTAAACCGAAATTTCGTTAACCGAGGCTTTTTTTTTTTTATTATTTTTATTATTGTTATTATTATTAAATTAGTATTATTATTTTTTTGCCCCCAGGCTCTGATGTGGGTCATTGACCTGTGCCCTGGTGAGCTAATCCCATAAAAAAGAAATCGTGATTTCGCTGAGTTACAAGGTACATTCCAATTTGAGTGCCCGAGTGTACACATAACAGTATTTTCGTGTGTAGGTACGTACGTACTGTAGCACTATGGCATAATTATCAATATTATGATATGTGCTTCTGAAAACATAATATTATTTAATATCATCGACTTTATCAACTGATAATTATTCCTGGTGGAATTCAGGTGCGATTATTAAATTATACTGTTGTTTCTTTCTTTCCTGGAAACTCGCCGTGGACCGGCAGCCTATGGCTCGGACCACCACTTTGAGTTTGTTCGTGGAAGGAGCTATCGTGCAATTATATTTTATGATTTGCAATGTATTAATTTTATTGTTTATCATAGTAGTGAATATGGCAGCTCATCCCCGTTGCGTGAGGTATTCAAACTTAGGATTCTAGCTGAGTTGGAGAAATTTATATTATTTCATTTTGGTTCCTGTCAGTTGAATCTACCAGTTGCCTGGACTCTGGATAACCAGGACTCTACTGTACAGGTATCCCTCGTTTAATGATCCGGATGTGTTACTGAAAAACCGATCGCTAAGTGAAAAGATCACTAAATGAGGGGAAACCTAAATAATATCAATGGACCCTAGACCTGATCCTGAATACTGTCAAGAAGATTATCCCTAATCCCCATCCTACCTCAGCTCATGTGACCTTTTTTTTTTTTTTTTTTTTTATAAGGATTAGCCCACTCGGGCACACGTCACTGACCCACATCGGGGCCTGGGGGGCGAATATGTAATAATAATAATAATAATAATAATAATAATAATAATAATAATAATAATAATAATAATAATAATAATAATAATAATAAAGAACCATAAAGAAATACAAAATGAAAAAAAAATCAAAAGTGAGAAACAATATATGTATGTTGTGTTGTCAATATTAAGAGAAACAATTGAGACCCTGCAATTGTGTGTAAATGAGGCAGAAAGTCAGATCAGCAACCTGGAACTTGGTCACAATTTTTATGATGCCATATGGCAGCAGGGTCTACCATTAGACAACACATAATGCTTCCAATATCTTCCCAGGCAGTAGTACCTCCCTGTTTGGTAGCTGCCTACTACCTATTACCTAAGGGTGATACGGGTGGTCAGGGCCGTCTGATTTTAACACTTGTTTTACTCAATACATATAGAACATAAAATAAATAAAGAAACGAGGGCATAATATCAAATAAACATCAATAACAAACAGTTTACAGTATACAGGTACTTTACATGTTTGAGTGTTTGAATGTTTATGTGCGTAGGTGTGTGAGGTAAGTTTTAAACATCGACTGTTAATTTACCTCTGGTGTGCTGTGTTGCTTGCTTGCTGAAGTTCCCCAGTCTCAGAGATCTTTGTTGTGAGCACCTCTCCCAATGCTGGGGGGAAACAGGTCTTACCATCTCTCTTTGGTGCTGGACTCCAATGCCAAAACAAACCGATGCAGTGCCGCAGGAGCATTGCAGAAGGTAGAAAAACTAGTGGAAATTACAGGCGGGCCTTTGAGAAATGACGATCTCTAAATTTTTTGTTAAATGCGAGTTGCTGGTAAATCCAGTGCCGTTAAATCAAAGTTCAATCTGTAATAGTAACAACAACAACAACAACAACAATCTTACCAGAACACTTCCAGTACTGCAAACTCACAGGGATAGCTCTCCACTTCCCAACTTAAAGAATATTTCTTGTCAATGTTATGAACTATTCACTGTAGCACCATCACCATGTGTCTACACTACAAAATCTTATTATTTTCCTAACTAGTACATTGTCAAACTCTTTCTAAAAAGTTTTTCCATCACCTAACCTTCAACAGTTCAAAACATCCTTTCTCAATTCTCTGATATATTTGAGGGGTTTACATAGTAAGTAGATCTATTGAATCTTGTCTAATTTCTCCCTGTTCTACTTATCAGGACAGATTGTATTGTATCGGTCAACTGTTCTTCCACAATTGGAGTAAAAATGGATATAAATTTATATGAATTATAACCATTTTAGCTCTTATTTATTGTCTCCAAGTACTGTACCCCATAGGTCAGTGAGAACCATTACAGTATTTATATTTGTTGTCACCACTCTGCATAAACTTCTTAAAATATTAAATAATGTGAAGCACTCAATGTTTCATTTTCTTCTCAACAGGAGCAGCCAGCTGTGATGGCATCCCATGTGACCCTAATGCTGTGTGTGAACTTCGTTCTGCTGCTCCTCAGTGTATTTGCCTCCCTGGATTTAGTGGAGATGGCCTCATATGTACAAAGGATTCTGGTGAGTTTTTGTGTCAAAGAAAGATTTATTTATAATTTTCATTCATATTACAGTATAAAGATTAATGAAAACTCAAGAGTTGTATTGGTTCATGATTATAATTGGTAAGCACCATTTTCGTTCAACCCAGAATGCGACGCTTAGCTTTTAACCTAGGTATGTTAATGCATAGCAATAACTCGCCAGGACAACATACAGGCAAGTAAAACATCTAATAATTACTTAATAAGTAATATTAGAAGGACACTTCGCTACCTGGCATTTAATTGCAATTGTCGAAACCCCCGCCCTTCGCCCCCCATTGCACGCACTGCCACCTTCTTCTCTTGCCTGGCGATTCAGCTACAGTCAGTTCTGCTATAACGCGACAGTTGTGTTCTTGTAAAACATCGTGTTATAGAAATTCACGTAATAGAAATAACAGGGCTTAGGGAGAAAATAGGCTTAGGTGCAGATTACTACTCGAAATCGAAAAAATTTAGTAGTTAGTCTAACACAAAGGATAGCACAGTCTAAATAAATGTTACATTCATATCTAATAATGAAATCATACAGTAAATGTAACACTTTACCTTGGAAAAATGTGAATATAACGTGATGGGGGAGAAGGGTGATTTTGAGGTAGATAACATCGAGCTTCTCTTCAAGGGTTATAGCCTTTCTTTTACGATCATCACTGGGAATGCGATCACCAGAACGCTTCTTGGAGATATTCTTCTTTACCATATTCACAGTTAATACTCTATGTTTGTCTTTGATACCCCCAAAATGTTCTACACTACTGAGGGTATACGCAAACACTTGTTATCTTGAAAATAGGTTCTTATTCTCGTACGGGAGATATACAGAGGAACTAATAGACAGTCGGCTTCCACACCATAAGGACTAGCGATCTCAACTCTCTGTATCACTCTGCGCTGGCATGTACAGATGCCAGCATTCACAAGCTGAATACATAATATGTAAATATGATAATTCACATACATAACATGGTGCATAATAAATGGAAATATTACATAGGATTAATACATGTTCTGTAATACTTTACTATACATAATTAATAGAGTAATTTAAGAATACACAGCTTAAGGTACTACTTCGTGTCCATATTATACACCTCCCTCCCCCCCTATACGCTCATAGTTTCATCTTGAGCGGACCTTTCGTTTCTGAGTCGCTCGGACCTGCGGAGTACCGGGGCAGAAACACAAGGTGAGGATGGATTTACTGTAAAGACATCAACATTAGGGGACTCAACTGGGGAAGGGTCAACACTAGGCAGCTCCACAAGTCGGAGGAAACGATGGTTCCTCCACCATACTCTACCACTAGGAAGATGCACTTGGTAGTCCCTGGACCGGCCAATACCCATAACAACCCCAACCTTGTCCCAGCGGTGAGATACCGGATCTTGAATCCTGACCTGCTGGCCGATATGTAACCTGGGAAGGGGGCAGGCATGACAGTCGTACCGAGGAGCGACATCTGCGGCTCGTTCTGCTGCACGGCGGTCACATTCTTCAGTCTTGGCTTGCCATTTTTGAGAAAAAGACTTCGGGTGGGCAGGAACACAAGACCTGAGATGATGTCCATATAGAACCTGGGCTGGGGAGCGTCCGGTGAAGTTCGGGGTGTTGCGTAACTCTAACAAACCTCGATCGAAGTCCTCGCAGTCAATATTTCCTGAGGGTGACACCTTAAGGATCAGGTGTTTAACAGTCTTGACTGCGGCTTCAGCGTGTCCATTCGCCTAGGGGTAGTGGGGCAAGGTCACGACATGACGGACTCCCCAACGGTCCATGAAGTCCCTGAACTCGTGGCTGGTGAACTGGGGTCCTCCATCAGTCCTGAGGCGGAGGGGAACACCAACTTCTCTGAAGTAATGTCTGAAATTCCGGATGGTAGCAGTAGCCGTTGTGTCACTACCACAGGGGACGACAACAGGCCATCCAGACAATCGGTCGGCAATGACGAGGAAGGACTTCCCTGCCACTGCAAAGAAGTCGGCCGACACAGACTTGAAGGGTCTTGAAGGGTTATCGTCGCACATTAAAGGTTCCTGTTGCTGGCTGGGTTGCAGAATCTGGCACGGCTCACAGGCACGGACGGTACTTGCAATGTCCGCGTCGATTCTGGGCCAAAATACAGTCTGCTTCGCCCGTCGCTTGGTGGCCTCCACTCCTCGATGGCTGTCGTGAAGGCGGGTCAAGGTACGGCGGCGTAGGGCAGCAGGAATGACTACTCGTGGACCATACAAGACGAGGTCTCCGTCACAATAGAGGTCCTCGCGTATCTTCCAGTACGAGAGTAGCGAGTCATGAAGGTCGTATCGGTTAGATGGAAATCCCAGGGACACACAGTCGACGAGCCGGATATAGGAAGGGTCGGCCCGGGCTGCGGTGCGGAGATCTTCAAGGGTCTTGTCTGCATCCAGTGCTGTAGACTCTTCTGATGTGAAGACGGCCTTCAATGAGACTACTGACTTGAGGGATGCAGCAGCTGTAGAACACAACATCTCGTCATCTGCGGTGGGGCGACTGACGGGCGCGGGACAGAGCATCCGGGATGCACAGCAGCGGTTAATGAGTTTTTCGGTTAACGAGCAACCTGCTGGAACAGATTGTGCTCGTTAACCGAGGGACCACTGTATACATGTTTCACTTGATACATCTCATCATGGTAAACTATGGATCGACTAGTGCCTGTTTGCACTAGTCTTCTTGCGTCAAACTCCTCAATAAGTTCTTTCCTAATTACAGTTTTAAGGGTTCTTTTTGACAGACCCAAAATGTATTCAACGGTGTCTTTGTTAGACGCGAGTTTGGCGAGGGCATCAACTCCGTCATGTTTTATGAGGCCTATGTGAGAGGGGATCCACAACAGAGTGACCTTGACACCCCGGTCAACAAGGCACGCATATTTGTGTCTGGCTTCAGAGACAAGAGCGTGACAACCTGAGTCGAGGGTGCCAAGGGCAAGTAGTGAGGATAGAGAGTCAGTGGTGATTATGAGACTGTCAGTGACAGTGGTTTCAATTAATTTAATAGCTGTGAGTATGGCAACTAATTCAGTTTGTAGAGTGGATGCCCAGTTGTTAATTCTAACTCCTTTCTCAATTATATTACCGTTAGGTTGAGTCACAACAATAGCACTTCCAGCCCTCCCACAGGCGGTGTTAAGAGATCCATCAGTGTAGATGGTCTGTGTGATATTTCCATCAGTCTGTAGAGTGTGTATGTGTTCAAGAGCTCTCAATTTGGCAGTATGTTGGAGATAAATGCTTTGTATAATTAATTTTTTAGGCGGACATGTCGGTATTGTGATATCGAAGGGAACTGTCCTCCAGGGTGGCAGGAAGCGCTGTTGTGTCTCAACTTTGTACAGGTGGTCTAGTCCAAACATCTTCATATGTGTAGCTGTAGTTTGGATCCATTTAGACTCAACAGTCCCATGGTTCATACATTCTAGCAATTTTAAGGAAACAATGTTATCAGGATCACCACGCAGAAGCCTCAGGGCTATCATGAGGTTGACTTCAATTATTCTATCTTTAACACTGGGTATACCTAGTTCTTTCCTCATATTAAGTACTTTAGTGCTCATGGGACATTCTAGGCTAATTCTGAGGGCTTTATTTTGCATTTTCTCGAGCTTGTCAACGCCTTTCCCGTCACGAAGGACCAGGGCTGGTGCGTGGTAATCTATCAGAGATCTTATATAGCCTAGGTACATTGTTTTAACAATTCTAATATTAGCACCATAGTGCGGGCTGTACCCCGCTACACTTCTAAGAGGCTTCAGTCTGTCAGTACATTGGCGAGTTAGCTGTTGTATGGCAGGTACGGTACAAGGGACAGAAACACCAAGATATTTAAAAGAAGAAACATAGTCAATAGTGTTGTTACCTATCTTGAACTTGGCGGGGCTGCGTTTGCGGTTACCAGGTTGTTTGTTGAACACCTTAGTTTTCTCAGTGGAGATAATAAGACCAAGGTTCTCACAGGCTGCGTATACATGGTTCAGGGTGGTTTGCATTTCACGATGAGTTTTAGCATGCATAAGAATATCATCAGCATAGCTGATTGAGATATTGCTGGGGTTGTCTGGTATTAAATTTAATAATGCATTCATAAGAACATTGAACAAAGTGGGGCTAAGTACTCCACCTTGAGGGGTACCAAGTTGCCTACATCCTATATCCATTTTGGCTAGTTCGTGCAATATCAGTTGCCTATTGACAATATCAAATGCAGCTTTTAGGTCAAGAAATGTGGTGTATCTGTGCCTTGCATCACCATGCACAGTTAGGAATGTGGTGATGCAATTATGTACACCTTTACCATGGGTGAAGCCATTTATGTTAGGAGACATGTGTTCTCTGACTCTATATAAGAGTCTGCTAAGAACCATCCTCTCAAAGGTTTTACACAGGCAGCTGGTTAGTGATATGGGACGAAAAGCATCAGGCTGTCCTGGTTTCGGTATTGGTACAACAAAACTGCTGGTCCATGATGTGGGTAGTTGGCCCTCAGCATGACTCCTATTGTACAATACCAACAAAGGATTGCCTGGCACACGCCTTAGTAGTCTAACGATGTTGTAGGTGACTCCGTCCTCTCCAGGGGAAGTAGACCTACCCCTGGCGAGGGCGGGCGTCCAGCTCCCACTCAGTAATGGAACATCACACTCATTGTGCTGTTTGCCCAGCATAAAGTTAATAAGATTACTTCTCTCTGCAGACTTCGCATCAAGGAGTCCCCGAGTCCTAGCTGGTAACATGTCATAGCGAGACACATGAGCCCACTTTGTTATTAGCTCATTCGACTTTTGCAGAGGGTTTGGATGGGTGACGTGTCTACTGTTTTTACCTCTGATTGTGTTTGTCTTTCCAGGCTTTGCTGAGGGATGTGTGTTGGTTCAAGCTGTTGACATATGTCTCCCATGCATTTTGTCTGAGTTCGTTTACACGTTCCCTGACAGCAGCAAGGGAAGCTTGATACAATTGTAACATTTCAGGTGTTCTAATTTGTTTGTAACCCTTACCCACCCTCCTGACTCTAGCCCTGAGTTTTTTCAGCTTAGGGTCATTATAGCACTGCTGTTGCCTGTTCCCATTATGCTGACCACGTTTTCTCCTTTTTTTGGTGGATTCATTGTTGACAATCTAATGGGTTCCGCCTCAAACAGGTCTGGTCGTTTGTACGGATGCGTCCGAAATAGGATGGGGATACCATTCCTCAATAGGGGAATTCAGTCAAGGGAAGTGGAGCAACTTCCTTTGGGACAAACACCTAAATGTAAAAGAATTAGCAGTGGTCCTATTCTTTTTGTCGGCAAACCCAAATTTACAGAATATGGCGATCCTGTTTGCCATGGACAACAAAATGGCAGTGTTTTGTCTCAGTCATCAAGGCTCAACCAGGTATTGGCCCTTTCTACAACTGTCAGAAAAAATCTTCAGTGTATTTGTAACACAAACACTTTACCTCAAAGCAACTCATATATCGGGAGTACAAAACAATTGGGCAGATGCGTTGTCCTGTCTCTGGCCAGTATAGACAGAAACAGAATGGTCCCTAAAGGTATCAGAGTTCAAGAGTCTAGTGGAGAAGTTTGGAACTCCAAAGATAGATCTCTTTGCCTCCCTAAAAAATCACAAGATGCAACTTTATGCATTTCTGGAGAGGTTGAATCTTTTAGGAAATGCTCTACTCTTAGATTGGAACCTTTGGAATTCAATCTATCTGTTCCCACCTGTGAAAATATTGCCCAAAGTGGTTCACAAATTCTGATCCTTCCAAGGCAAGGTCCTCTTAATTGCACCATATTGGATCATACACCATTGGTGCCTGGATCTGTTGGACTGGTGCCTGAATCCGCTACATTTGCAACAAGGATGTCTAGACCAGGTACTACATTCTCAGTTCGAGATATCCTTGGCACTTCACGCTTGAAGTTTCTCAAAAGGAGTTTAAATAGGTTGTTGGGTAATCTCAATATAGCTAACCAAGTATTAGCAAGTCATAGACCTCAAACTTCTATTCAATATGAGAAAGCTTGGAATCTTTTTCAACAATTTATCAAGTGAACAACTCCAGAATCATTGTCGGAAACAGTTGTGTTAGAATTTTTAGAATTTCTGTTCAGAGTTAAAGGTCTTCAAGGATCGACAATTGCAATCTTATAAATCAGCATTGGTTGACCCTCTGGCTTGGGGTTTTAATATTACTTTGAACCCAAGGATTTTTTTAAATGCTAAGATTGTCCTTTTTCATTCAGAGACCCCCTCGGCTTAAGAGAATCCCACCTTGGTCTCTGGAAAAAGTTACTAAATTTCTTATGGGGCCTAATTACAATATAAATCTGAACAGAGATAAATTACTATAGAAAACAGCCTTCCTTCTAGCAATAGCAACAGGTATGAGAATAAGTGAACTGATTTCAATTTCCAATAATCCATCATTATTGGTATTTTCTGAGTAGGATGTTACCCCTTTTACCTACGCAGATCCTGAGAAAAAATGAAAGGGAAAATTTCCAAGCTCAACCTATTAGGATAAAATGTCTAATGGATGAGACAAGGGCTCCTCATATATTGTGCCCAGTTAAAAATCTTCAGGAATGGTTTTCCAGATTCCCTAATTGAGGCCCCTATGTTTTCTCATCCAGGGATGGTATGAAATCGTCTTCTAGTCAAATGACAAAATCTTTATCTCAATTAGTGAATCAAGCAGACTCTGGCAAGAAATTTTTGGCACATAACACTAGGAAATGCGCAGGGTCTTTGTCCTTTCTGCGGCATATGAGCCTCAGTTAGATAAAGGCAATGGGCTTTTGGAGATCTTCATCACCATAATAAAGTGAGTATCCTAATTGAGATATGTAAATTAACATTTTACCTTCCAGTAAATGTTCCTAATTTTGGAAATATTCCACGCGGTTTATAATCATAATCTGGACCTAAGTTAGCGGAGCCTTGTATGCAAGTCACCTCCCTCTCCACCTCCTGCTCGGGTATTCAAAGCTAAGCGTCACATTCTGGGATTGAACAAAAAGCCGTTTTTTAAAAAAAAAACAGTTTTTGTGGTATGACCCAGAATGCGACGCGATAACCCACCCATCTCCACCCCTCGAGAGTTGACTTTTATTTACTGCTCGCTCTAAGGCAAGAGATGAAGGTGGCAGTGCGTGCGATGGGGGATGAAGGAGGGGGTTTCGACAATCGCAATTAAATGCCAGGTAGCGACGTGTCCTCCTAATATTACTTATTAAGTAATTATTAGATGTTTTAATTGCCTGTATGTTGGCCTGGCGAGTTATTGCTAGGCATTAACATACCTAGGTAAAAGCTAAGCATCCCATTCTGGGTCATATCACAGAAACTGGTTTTTAGAAAAAAACGGCTTTTTTTTTAGGAAAGGTATTAAACATTTACTGTATTATGTGTACAATTAGTGCTATTACCAATACTTGATGAAGTCTTGTATATTACTCATAGGTGAGAAATAGTGCTGCCATGAGTACATCTTCATGTTATGCTTACCTCTTATTGAGATGCTTCTTATATCTCTGTTTTCCAGAAATGCATCTAGAGCACGATAAGAGGTATACCTGTATCCCATCCATGATAAAAAACAGGAATATGCAAAATGTATATTGTTCTGTGTAAAGCATTTCCTTGCTTCTTTTTTTTTAATTATCTGGTTGAATTTTGCACCAGTGGGGGATATTTGTTTTACAGACTCATCTGTAGTTTGTCCAGAAAACTAGGTTATGAATAGAATCACAGCATGTGTCCTCCCTCAACAACTTCTTGTGTTCTCCAGGTGAGTCAGCAGTAGTCCAGCAACGTGACTGTTTGGAGGAAGATACTTGCAGTCCTTATGCTAATTGTGCATATGATGATAGTACCAGGAGCTTCCGTTGTATGTGTTTCTCGGGCTACAGTGGAGATGGACAGACTTGTAACCCAACTGCTGAGCAACGTGAGTACAGTAAGCAAATGGTGTCATTTGAAACTAAAATATGTCATAGCTATATAACAATCCTTTGTTTAACTGAAGTTATGCCCTTAAGAGTCTTGTTATCTCAAAATAGCAAATATATTAACACCTTTAGTGGTGATTGCTTGAAAAGTATGGGTGACTGTCCTGATGATGAAGTTTTGTGATGTAAAAAAAAATCAAAATACTGTACTGTACAGTAGAATCTTGATGATACGAGTAGATACGTTCCTTGGAGTCTGTTCGTACTGTATGGTGAAAACTCATATAGCGGAGGGAATAATACATGGGTTAAATAGGGATGCGTTCCCAAGCACCGAATATAGCGTTGACAGTAAATAAAAGCGATTCAGTACGAGCGGACAATCTGGGATAGCGGATTCAAACACTGGAGAAGGGAGAGGGTGGCTGGGAGGAGGACGGTAGGAATGTAGGGGAGGGGTGCGCGGTCTGGCTGAACCACTCACAAACACGTCTCTGTGCATCAACCATCAGGCAGGCTACTGGGCCAAGCTGTTAGGTGTTATGATTTTTTTTCAACTCGTATTTTTGGGTATACAGTAGTACCCCGATTTACGGTGTCAATTGAACCCACAGGGTACCGCGTAAAGTGAAAACCGCGTAAAGTGAACAACAGAACATATGGGATTAATTCCAATAGAGACCGGCCCGACCCCCCAAACTCCACTTTTTGACGACACACAACTATATTGTAGTAAAAATATTATCTTAACTTTATGATGGTATGCACACACAATTAATAATTAAGAGAGATATCAATAGTATTATTTTTTTTAACACTTACATTAGTAGAAAAGATAGCTGGGCACACGGGGATGGGGGGTTGGTTCCGAGGCAGAGGGCAGATTATTGGCCCTCACCTGTATCACTTGTATCAATTGTATCACTATCCACCACAGAGGCTTGCAGGGCCTCTTTGTCAAACCCCTCAAAGTCCATATAAGTCCATATCCTCACTATAATTATCACTATCACTGACTTGGGCCGGCTGTGGTGGGTGGCGGGTGAAGAACTCGGTAATGTTTTGATGACTGGGCGACCTTGTGCGCTTCCTGCCCGCGCCGCTTCCCGCGTATATGAGTAGATGCACCGCGGAAAATGAAAGTTCGGTTCTGGCGAGGCACCGCGTAAATGAGAAATCGCGGAAAGCGAAACCGCGTAAAGCGGGGTAATACTGTATTTATGTAACTTTCTTCATTTATTTTTACTCATTTACATGCACACATCATCCTAAATACATATTGTGAAAAAAGTAAAAGAAATAATTGTCCAAAGGGCAAACTTCTACTCAAATGCACTAAGTTAATGACTAAAATGTTTATGTCTAGTGCAAACTGTGGAATGTTTGTACTCGAATTAATCACTATCTTACAAGAATTACAGCAATTTAAGTTATACAGCTAGACCTCGACTTACGACGGGGTTAGGGACCCCAATCCAGTTCGTAAGTCCGAATGGTCGTAAGTCCGACATAGATAAAAAAAATAAAAATAAATAATTTTTTTTTTTTTTTAATAAAAAATCTACAATGAAATACAGTACAGTGAAAGTAATAAATAATAAGAAATTGATACAGTGTGACTGAGCACTTACCTTTTATGTAGTCAGCTGAATGCACATGGGGCCCCCATAATTTTCTAATTATACATGGAGACTACATTAACTGGAAACGTTTCGGTATAGAAAATGCGTGTGTCATTTGGAAAAAAAAAAAAAAAAATTAATAAAAAATCTGCGGCGGTCGTAAGTCCCAACGGTCGTAAGTCAAAGCAGTCGTAAGTCGGGGTCTAGCTGTATTCTGCCAAGTTAATTCAGTGCCGTTTTATAAGTGAAAAACTTAAACTCCATCTATATGACAGATAGATACTCACGAGGTAATCTTCGCCGCCCGGCTATCAACATCACATCCTGTTCCCCATCCTCTCAACCAGGGTTAAGGTAGTTTTAGGCTTAAAGTTTCTATCTTATAAAATGTCGTTGACTAAACTTAGCAGAATATAACTTGCAGTGCTGGAATCCTTCCAAGATAGTGATTAATTTGAGTATAACTATCACATAGTTTGCACAAGAGATAAATTTTGTAGTCCTTTATCCTAGTACATTTGAGTACAAAGTGAGTGCAGTAATATGTTGCTTAAAATTATGGCTTTTTCTCAGGAGAAAGTATGTAGTATAACTAACCCCAGTGGTCACTGTTCTCGCTTCTCATATCATCGAACAATATCGCTCGTATAGCTAATATATGGAGCAAATTCCTTAACCTCGTATCATCAAATTCTTGTATAAAGAATGCTCGTATAACGAGATCCCCCTGTACAAGAATACCTTGCTATTTGCAACCCCAATAATTGCAACCCTGCTTATCTGCAATTGATATTTTAACACCCCCATCAGATATTCGCAAAGCATAACCTTTAATTCTCAAATAACAATTTTTTATATTCTACAGTACTATTTCAAACTGGGCGGGCTAACCACAGCTCTCTTATTCTGACGTAAAACCCGCTTCACACACCAGCACGTTTTTCCACCCGTATGGATGGGTGCGTTTTATAAATTTCTGAATCTCATTGGGACAGAGAACGATGGTGAAAATTCATGTGGGGAAGATGCTCACCCAATGCTTCTACCTTTACTTCCAAACTGCAGTGTGTAAAAATACTCTGAGCGTTCTAAAATTCTTCATATGACGAGCATGTTTTTCCTGCATGTCAGTTGTGGTGCACCTGTGGTAGGAGCTGGAAGGTCCTGTGAATATTTTTGTCAGATGCAGGCGAACTGAAGCGTGATAAACACTCCCATGTGAACATATGCCTTCTCCCATGCGGGAAAAAACAGTCGTGTGAAATAGGCCTAAGTAAGGCATGATGTAATGAACGTGTGTGAACATGGCTGGTTGCCAAGCACTATAGCTACATCGCCTTACTTTCCCTCAATTGGGCCAACCTGTGAGTTGCCTTGCTGTTATTTTTCACCTTGTGATTTTGAGTAGATATATGTATTTTAATCAATTTATTTTACTCCGTTACATACACATGCAAAAAAACAGAAACAAATTATTATCATATGGTCAAAAACAGAGATACAGTAAACCCTCAAAAGTCTGGACTTCGTAAGACCAGATTTTAGATGGTCTGGACCATTTCCAGGCAAGAAACATTTGTCTGAATCCTTTAATGTTTAGAATTTTAAATTCCCACTGGGCATGGTCATTTGAAATTACTGCCAGTGACCTATCCCTTGAGGCCTCTTCTTTTCTTGCCTGTCCTCTTAGAAGGGCTTGGATTACCCATTATTTTATTGTGATATGATATACAGGCATCCCCGGGTTAAAGAAACTCTGGGTACGGAAATTCGCTCTTACGGAATTTGGAAATTATGATCAATAAATTCGTGATATGTCCAAATAATTCATCTTTACAGAAATGGGGTAAATTTTAAAGTTTTTCAAACATAAAAAATCACCATATTGAACAAAAAATTTCACAAAAATTAAAAAAAAAATTTTGTGTGGATTCTTGGTGGTTACTACAATAAGGTGGAGGACGGTGCCCGTATCAACGCCAACAGTACTGCTTACTATTGATTTCGTTCCCCAGCTTGTTCAGTTTGTGTTCAGTTTTGCATCTGTGTTACTGTATACCCTTATTCAAGATGAGTGGAAAAAGGCCATCAAGTTCAAGTGAAAACAATGGTGATAAAAGATTCCATAAAGGAATTATGTTGGACATTTAACTTGATTTTTTAAGGAGGTAACTCCCAGTAACTCCAGTCACACCACCTCACCTCACCACCTCATGCAGCACTCAACATTGTTTCTGGTGAGTTAAATTCTAGTGTTGTGGTCATTTATTATCATGTTACATCATGAAGTAATCATTGTATGTGCCTAAAAAATTTTATTTTCATTCATATGTGTTCTTGTATTACATATTTTGGCTGAAAATATTTCCTTGGGAATGTATCTCCAATCATATAATATTAAGTGTGACATTATATAAAGGCATATTAACAAATAAATTACCGTGGGGTCTCATATTACGCGTGTCTCACATGTGCAGTTATCGCTTAAGCAACTGGTTGAAATGTGACCATAGTTGTAGCTTATGCGGAAAGCAGTGGGTAGTGCGCGTAGCGGTATAACATTAATTTAGTGATCTTTGGTTATTTAGGGTAATTCGACAAAAAAGTGGCTCTGGGTCACTCGAATTACTGAAAAAAACGGTGCTTGAGATATGGCGAGTCCTGGCAACATTGTTAGAGAGAGCAGAAATGGTCAACTGATACCACTCTGTACTGTAAACAGGGGACCACACTAGCTCATTTGGGATTGAGTGCTGGATTTTTGGGGGGAAATTAATTATTTTCAATACACCTGTAATATTTTATTAACCTGGCACCAAATAAACCTAAATAATATGGGAATTATGTTGAAATGGCAAGCTGTCATTATAAATGGATCACAGGGATGATGAACACGGGAGGTGGTGAGTTGTCCTCTCCCACCACCCCTTACCGACTACCCAACCAAACGTAGTTTTCTATCTTCGTAAAATTCATATTTTATTCCTATAATTCATTCATCTTAATCTATTTCATAATACTGTACAGATGTGTCGTATCTTACATAGGGGTTATGTTCTGAAGAGCACGCGTAAAGCCAAAAATGCATATAGTCAAAATTACTATTGAAGATCCTTAAATCACCCATAAAGTATTACTGTATGTACCATGTCAATAGTTAATGTGGCAACTTGGCTGGTTAGGCCTATTTCAATTTAAATGCGCACCACACACAAAATGTGCCAAAACAATTTTCATATGGTCAAAAACATAAAGGGAATTAATCATTGTGTGTAGAAGTAAGTGCCATCTCCTGCTAAATGGCAACGCATTTTTTTTTTTTTTAATATTTTTTTTTTATTCGTCACATTTACTGGTAAAGTATACAGTAATATCTCCGCTAGTTGAAATTCCTCATAACCAGAACTTTCCAATAGCCAGAATTAAAATTTGCTAGGAAATTTTCCAGAAAATTTCTCAATTCTGGGTTTGGGAACAAATTCTGAGGTTGAAAATCAAGTACATTTTCTAAAAATTTCAAGAAAAAATCTGGAAAATCTGTCCAAATTTTTATTTTTGGGTCAGGGAATTAATTTTCAGGGCATTCCGAAAGATTGCATCATGCTCGAACCCATCCCCATGTGCCAGGTGCTTGGTTGGCTTAGCTGTTTGGATCGCTCAGTTCATATTCTGCTGCCATTTTATAAGGTTGTCCCCTCGCTCGCTGCTGTTTTTGTGTACAATTTCTGTTGTCTTGTCTTTCAGCAGAGAGCTGTGGGACAGCGAGAAATTGCTCACCATATGGCGTGTGCACAAGAACAGAAGATGGATACAGATGTGATTGTCTCCCAGGATTCTCAGGTGATGGTTACACCTGCGATGCTTCTGACTCAATTGTACCACCCTATCAACCTCAGCCTCCATATCAACCATATCATCCTGAAGAGCCTTATCAACCAGAACAACCACATCAACCAGAAGAGCCATATCAACCAGAACAACCCTATCAACCAGAACAACCCTATCAACCTGAACAACCCTATCAACCAGAACTACCCTATCAACCAGAACAACCCTATCAACCGGAACAGCCATATCAACCAGAGGATCCATATCAACCAGAGGATCCATATCAACCAGAGGATCCATATCAACCAGAGGATCCATATCAACCAGAGGATCCATATCAACCAGAACAGCCATACCAGCCGGAGCAGCCCCATGAACCGGATCAACCTCAGGATCCAACAAAGGTGAGAACAAAGTTGTGTCTTGTGAACTTGTTGTGTACCTCATGTTTATAGTTACAGGCACTGGTAACATGTTGTGTACCTCATGTTTATAGTTACAGGCACTGGTAACATGTTGTGTACCTCATGTTTATAGTTACAGGCACTGGTATACTGTTGGTATACTGTACTTTGTTTTAGGAATGGGATATATTCCTGAAACATCACACCATAAACCGAACAGTTGTGAATTGAATAGTATTGGTCTATTGATTGCCAATATAAATTGAGAGACTACATTGATAAAATAAAAAGCACTTAACCAGCACACAATAAAATGCACTTCCGGGCGACAACTGCTGCTCATTTTCCAGGAGCATAGTTTGTAGCCTTGACTACTGCATAGTCTTTTAATATATCCAGTAATATTGCTGTTTATACTGAATTCTTATGTCTGGAGACTCTTGGTAATGTTGCTGTGAGTGCATGTGTCATTATAGTATTTTACAATTCTTGGCTTGATGCATAAATAATAGGGTTAAGGATAAATGTTTTCATAAAGAGCCTGGTTGGTAACATTTAAGTTTTGTTATTTTTATACTTTGGGTATAAATATATCAAGGCTTTAAAGTGATTTGTGTGACAATGTCTACTGTAAAAAAAGAATTAATACCTCAAAATTTCACTTTTTGGCTTATAAATTTATATACAGTAATGTTGTAACTTTGCACAGGTAAGTGTAGTTTTATTTGCACTATTTATACAGGATAAATTTTACAATGCTTTTTTAACAGCATGGTTTTCAAATATACTGTACAAGTACATTAGATGGTAAAAAATCTAGGTCTATGTCTATTGTGCATCTATTTTGTAGCATATGCCCTTAATGTTGACCTTTGCCATGCCTATGGTTATGTTCAGACATACTGTATTTACATTATATCTTGATTTTATAGTTGTCAGAACCAGAGTGTCTGTTTGGTGTGTGTTGGTGCCCAGGAACCCTCCATTTCAACACTCAACTCAACCTTTGTGAACTACCAGATGAAGCTTCTTCACTGATTGGAGGTGTGTATTACAAGAAATATATGGTAGGAAACAATTGGTTGATCCACATATCGTTGTTTCGCATAGCGTCACATTTTCAGGAATGTAATCCCGACGTTAAGCAAGGACGCCCTGTATACACTGGAGTACGTACCTGGAAATCTTGAAATATAGTGATTAAATGGAGTATAAACATCCCATAGTAATTAACTTAGTACATTTGAGTACAGTCTGTGATAATTTATGTGGTTGCTCAGCAGAAGGTCAATAATATGATACCACTAATCCCCCACCCTACCTCCACCTAACATTGCATCAGGTCAGGTAAGTTCTCCCCCTAAAATACTTAAGCTTTTGTCATTATTCAAGACATCTTCAGGTCATGAGACACACTAATCCCCTACCCAAGAAAGGGTGACCTGACATTCCATCACTGTAAATTCAGTTGCCTCTGAAGATGTCTTGAATAAAGATAAAAGCTAAGGTTCTCCAGTGTACTATATTTAATTGACCGAGAGCTCGATTTAGTGGAAATTTCAATTTAACGAGGTGGGGTGGCTCGCATTAGTTCATTAAATAGAGAAAATACTGCACTGTTTGTTAAACCAAAATAGGTGGTCTATATCTCTCTTGAAACAGGATGTGAATGATATACAGACACTCCTGTTTATGGAAAGGTTCCGTTCCTGGACCCTAGCTGTAAGCCGAATTTTCTGTAAACCGAAAATGACTCTTCCTTTTAATGGATCACAGATGGCGTCTCCTGCATATTCCTCCGGAAATAGTGTCGTTATGCCATACTAGTTTTCTTCTGTAATAACAAAAACTCTTGCGTAACCCGAAAATTTTTATAATGGGACTTATGGGAGGCATTCTGTATCATCGAATTTCTGTAAATCTATTTTTTGTTCAAGCTCTGAATGCAACGTCAGCATATGTTACCTAGGTATGTTAATTCCTAGCCAATTCGCCAGGCCAACATACAGGCAATTAAAACATCTAATAATTACTTAATAAGTAACATTAGGAGGACACGTCGCTACCTGGCATTTAATTGCAATTCTCAAACCCCCTCCTTCACCCACCACTATACGCATCACGACCCTCATCTCTTGCCTGGCGCTTCAGCTATAAATGTACACAAAGGAAAGCTCCGTGAATTTGTGTTCTAATTTCTGAAATACTCAACTGGAAAGCTCGGCCGTCAGCCATGAGCCACTACTCACCCACTTGCCGAAAGGCCTGGACCATGTGATGCAGTACTACACTCAACTAATGTTACACATTAATTTTCAACATTTCATTGGTTATACAGTAGTGGCTTAGCGGATACTGTACAATGCAATACTGCATTTAACAATGGTTACTTGCTTAAGGCTGTTCGTCGTAGCTGACGACGATTCTACTTCATTATGAAATCGATGATAATGAGTCACTGGAAGTGACTGTGGAGTCCGATCCTTGATCTGCAGACTTTGTCGCACATTGGGCACGACAGCTCCGGGTTGGGTGGGAGGTCTCTGGGAGAGCGATTGTGACTCCTTTCCCTACATGCACCTCTGGCCCTATTACGCTCTTTGTAGAGAAGCTTGATGCCTCAGGTACAAGTGGAGCACCATAGACTTTGGTTGCATATAATGGTCTCAAGATCCTTTGGAGGAATGTTCCATTTTTTTAGCGTCATTCTGAGCTAGTCTTTGTACCTTTTGCATTGTCCTCCAGGGTTGCAGCATGCCTCGGGCAACTGCCCATAGAGGATCTGTTGGGGGAGTTGGGGCTTTGGCATGTGGATGATGTGTCCAATCCACTCATCTGTAGCTTTGCCAAAAATGCCTCTATGCTGGTAGTGTTGGCGTGCTGGAGGATGTCACTATCCTGCCAGGTCAGACCAAGAATGCACTGAAAACAACAGATATGGAAAGCCTAAAGAGATCTGATGTGCCTTTAGTACATAATTCATGCCTCCGAACCAATTAAGATGTGCAAATACAGACAGCTTGATAAACAGAAAGCTTGGTTGTAACTTGAGGCTGTTCTTGTTAAATACTCTGGAGCTCAGACGACCAAAGGAAGTGGCTGCAAGATGGATCCAAGCCTGGATCTCCTCGTCGATGTTGTGCTTGGGGGAAAGAACGCTACCGAGTTAGGTAAAATGTTCTACTTGTTTGACAGGTTCTTCGTTGACCAAGAATGCAGGTGGTGGGTCTGCACCTCTGTGTTGAGCAATTTTTCTGTTTTGTTTTTTTATGTTAATTTTTAGTCCGATGGCCTGATATATTGCGGAGACAATGGAGAGACTGTGTTGGACAGCCTCTGGAAAGTGAGCAATGAGTGTGCAGTTATCAGCATACTGTATTGGAGTTCCAGGAGGTTTTTGTTATTGCCTGGAGGCGGCGGAGGTTGAACAGGTTGCCGTCTAAATGTAATTGGATATTCATGCGATCATCGTCATTTATGGAGTTACGACTGATCAGGGTCACTGCTGTGAGGTAGAGATTGAAGATGACGGGGCAGTACGCACCCGTTTCACACCAACCTCAGCACTAAAGAGTTTGGACTTTGTGCCTCTTGCGAGTACACATGCTTGCATGTCCTCATGGAAGCTCTTGAGGATTTTAAGAAATTTTGGAGGGACACCAAACTTAGAGAGAACTGACCAGAGTTGGTGGAGACGCTGGAGGAGAAGGTAGCCTTCGCTCCTAAAGATTTCTGAAGGCAAGCTGTCTGGCACAGCACTTTTGTTGCTTTTAATGCCCTTGACAACCCAAAGGGTCTCAGAAAACTCAGGTGCTGTATCAAGTTATACCGCCGTGGGCAACTCTAGGATGGTATCTGATATGCTTGGTTCAGTAGGGTTCCGGTGGTTGAGAAGTCTTCCGAAGTGTTCCGCCCATCGATCCAGGATTTGCTGTTTGTCCTTGGTGATACATTTACAATTGGTGGCTATGGTTGCGGTACCCCTTCATATGTACTCCAGATGAACTCCAGCCACCTTATTCTGCTGTTTCTTTCAAAATTATGCCTCTGTTATATAGAGGAATAAAAGTTAACACTCCTATGTCATGAGAACCAGTGAGAGTACTGTACATTGTAAGCTGATTCTGCCTACCATTTGTTTGTGTTATTGGGAAACAACTTTGCTGAACTGGCTGCATACTAATTTTCTTCTATTATTATGAGCACAGATGGCTGTTTTAGTTTGTTAAATTTATGGATAAGGATTCAGCTAATGAGAACACTTGTATTGTTTAAAGGTTCCCACTCTTTAATAGGTGGCAGTGAGGAGACCCCAAGACCATATTGTGGCTCGGCAAAATGCAGCTGTCCTGATCATTACAAATACAATGCTGCTCTTCACAGCTGTGATGTTTTACCAAGTGGTAAGTAAAGTTGTTCATTAACTAGGATTAAGAATATAAATACTATATTTATTTTGTGAGTAGTCATTGTGTCAGTTGTTTTAAGGAGGCCTTTATTGCTTACCGGTAATGTATGTTTCTTTGGGAACTGTACATAAATAAAAGGGAAGTTTGCTTTGTATGTATGGTGATGAATATGATTTAGGTAGATTTGGTATTAGAAGTCTTAAGGGAAGTTATATCTTTTAATGTTTCATTGTTAAAAATACATACGGTAATCGAGAGATCGCCAAAAGCAAGGGTGTAAGTGCTAATCTGACATTTTGAGATGCAGTATTAGCAATTAAAGATTAAGCATATGTGACCTCTGGCATAGAAGGGGTGTAAGTGCTCTGCCTTGTGGAGATAGGCATTCTGCAGATTGTAGTTGCGTGGTTTCAAAAAATCATCGAACATCATTTTGATGCTGCTTCTCTACTCTTCTCACAACATCGCCACTTGCAGGTACAAGGGGGCCCCACCCTTGCAGCCGCCACTTGCTTTGGTGTTAGTTATGGGTACAAATATGTATACCAATCGAAGAAAAATAGAACATGGGAAAACCCCTATCTCAAATTTGCACATTTGGGACTTATGCCCCTGCTTTAGGCAATGCCTCAGATGTATGGGAAGTCTGTTTAGTAATTGTTGTTGAGTGTATCATTAGTGAAATTGTGTGTATGGTTGTGTCCTGGATAATTTTACCCGTTACTGGTAAATTAATAGTGTAACTTGATTTGCATCTGCCATTATTGTGTAATAGCCAAACAAATATGAAAAAATCTCAGAAAATGATAAAGTGCTACTCTGTGGCATTGGCAGGGATTAGAATCATCGAAAAGCATCTAAATGAGCTTCACTAATTACCACACCATGTCAATGTATAATTTTATGACTGTAATGGGTCACATGTTATGCCTATAGGTGTTGAAACCTTGAAAACCAAACCTTTGGTTCCAGATGCCTTCTGACAGGGTGAAAATATTTTTAGCTTAACAACCTTCATCTATCTGCTGGGTGGAGAAATTGATCTCTGTTGTGGCACTTAGAAAGTTTATTAATGGCTGGGCCATATGATAATTGTGTTATTCTTAAGATAGGGTGATCATTGTCATCTGTCCTCTCTAGTCCTCTCAGTTTCACCAACAAACTTAAATCCAAACCGTGGTAGTGTGAACCTAATTCACTGGAAGTAACACAGTCTGTCTTATAAAGACATTTTCTTACTCGATCCTTCTGTGTTGTTGTAAGATAACATTAGGGAACCTTTCAAGTTTGTTGGGGGAGTGTTTAGAGTTTCTTTAAATGAGGGCAATCAGGATATTGAACTTATTTTCCAATGAAAGCGATTTTCAAATTCCACATAACACTGAGAGCACACTCCATGACTTATAATTCTGATTATCATCCCAGGGGGAATATTTAAGGCCTAGTTAGCCTAAGTACCTTAAATTGCTCACATATTGTTAAAATGAGTTGATTTATTTAGGCCACTTGTAAGATATTTTTTTCATGGGAATGCTTTCTGTAGCGTTGTCATCCCCTGGTTGCTCATTAATTGAATTTGAATTTTGCATGAATAACAACTAGTTTATTGCATACCCCATACTTATCCTGTGAGCAGTAATGCAAAAAGGATTACAGAGTAAAGACTTCAGTGGTCATGATATTATGTCATTGAGTGTTACAGAATATTTCCAGTACATTGTTTGTTTAAGTCAGTACACAGAATTTTGATTGGGTGCTAGATGTGAAGTGTGGAAGCCTTAGTATATTAGCTATCTTGCCATCAGAGATAGAGTGCTGTGCCATTGCCTACACAGTGGGCTTGGATCTGTCCCTATAAGGTTCTATTTTTTCACAGTCTAAGACATAGTGTTGGAGTGTGTGGCCATATGTCTGGCTACACACTTTACATTTAATTTTGTTCACATCTGGCTGTGGGGCATACTGCCAGATGTACTTATATCCTAACCTTAGTCTAGCAGTTACAGCATTTTGTAATTTAGTGACATTGTTACTTGCTCCATAAACATGTTTTACTTGATACATCTCATCATGGTAAATAATGGATTGACTATTGCCTGTTTGCATTTGTTTACTTACTTCAAATTCATGAACAAGTTCTTTTCTAATTACAGTTTTTAGGGTTCTATTTGACAGTCCCAGATTATATTTAACATCGTCATCATTGGACGTGAGTTTACCAAGCATCCACACCACAGCGTTGACTGATGCCTATGAGAGGATTCCATAGCAGCTTGATCCTGACACACATGCTTGTGTCTGGCTTGAGAGACAAAAGGGTGACGATCTTAGTTTAGGGTATTAATATTCTTGGGTTTGGGTAGGGCGCCTCTAGAAGATGCGTGGTATCTGCCTGTTACTCACCCCATTAAAAACCATCAAGAGATAATTGTCTAATGAGTCTGTAATATGCTCGAGCCGGACACTCTTGCCAGATGCGGGAGATGAACCGCAAGTATGAAAGTTCGGTTCTGGCGAGGCACCAAGATATGAGAAATCGCGATGAAACCCCAGAAAGCGGGCACAACTGTAATGCCCTCTGCTGTAAGGTAAAAGAACATCACCAATGATGACTGATGAACATTAAACTCCATTTCTACAATACACTTGTAATGAAGAAGAAACAATGCCTGACTGTAGTTCACAAGGTGGTGTTTGAGTAGATGATGCCTCGCTGACAATTTATTTGAGGATGCTTCCATATGCTGACTTGGTGAGATGCATGGATGACAAATATCGCTAATGAAGGTTTGTTTACATTTCAAATAGTGAAATGATCTTAATATAACAGCATCGTTAACGTGAATTATCTTAGATTGGGAGATTGTAAATAGAGGTTTACCTATAATACAAAGTTAGAAGAGAGACAGACTACAGCAGAGGATATTTAGTATTTATGGTAAATTTTATAAGTTACTCATTTTGTATCTCCTCAGCTATAACATGTGATGACATACATCTCCATTAGCTTAAGCAATTGGTGCTGAGCACCTCCAGGAATGAGAGATTTCCGGGTAATGAGATCACTCTCAAAGCCGGAAAAATATCCCTCATCGGAATTTTCCAGAATTTTCTGCAATGTAAAAATGTTCTCAAAAGTTCCAGAATGACGATTTCTTCATCTCAACCCGAATAAAAATCCCCATCCTCGGAATTTTCATGGTACGGAAAATTTTCTGAATTTTCCAGAAAATGCCCTTGGTAAACTGTTCCCAAAGCCCGCAATTCTGGAAAATTCAGAGCTTTTGGGGAATGATTTTCCTGAGAAAATTTAATCCGCCATCGGAGAGGTCCGGTTTGAGGATTCCGCAACGGAGATATTACTTCTTCAATCCTTAATTTTAATGCCTGAAAAGGAAGGTTATATGTTTGTCAACAGTGCTTGTGTTCTGTAGCCATCAATTTTTATCCAGTTTATGTTTATTCTTTATTCTTAACCCTTAGGCTCTCGGTGACGCTCCAGAACGCCCCGCCTATATTTTCCCGCCCATTTTTTTTTTTGGGGGAGGTTTTTATTTACTTATCCCTATATGGGGGGTTACTGCCAGCAGCATCCTTACCCGGGACTTAAGGGTTAAACACTGCAGACATATATTTTTAAATTTTCCAGTCACTAGCAGTGCCAACACATTTAATGGTATAGATCCATTAGAACAGAAGAAGTAGTTGCCAAAGATTTCTTCATTTATGTTTAGTTTCCACATTGTGAAGCAGTCAGATTTCTTGAACCAGAAGAAATGTAAAATGTAAAATTGGTGAAAGTTTTCAAGCAATTATACACAGAGGAACAAACTAGAAGTAAATGAAAAAATTTGTTGAGAAGTGGAAGATACAAGGAGCATGAATTAGAAAAAGTAGAATTTGGGGTATTTTGAAATATTTGCAAGAGAGTTTGTGTGCGTACGATGTGCGTGTTTGTGTGTGCGTGCATGTGTAGGAACTGAGGGATAAGTTTTCTCCCATCACCTGTACTCAAACAGAATTCTACAGGTGAATAAAGCTCATGGTAGCTTTGTATACTATACATAGAATATTGTAACTCTCTTTTTTTTCTTATTGACTAAATATATTTTCATATATTATTCTTATTTTACAATCACCCCTTTTCCTAGAAAACTATGTGTATGCCATACTAATAACTGTACAGTAGCTCTGAAAGTGACATTTCTTGTTTATAATAAATATTAATTTACCAGTAGATTTAACAGTATTATTTTTAGTATACAATAGTTAGTACTCATAATACACTGTACCTTTACAGTTATCCTATCTTGGCATAGTCCTCACCCATTTACTATCTCATAGTACAGTGTTTTCATTACACGCACACTGTTCAAGTGTTTATCCTCTTTATGGGGTCTTGACACAGTGGAAGGACGGCCGTTGCCAGTTTGTTTCTTGGGCAAGTGTTCCTGCCCATTGGGCTACATCTATGACTACAACCACCATGACTGTCAACCCAGCAACAAGCCTGGCCACGACTACACAATAAAGGGACCAGGACAAACTGGTAATGTCCACACACCAGTAATAATGATGATGATATAATAATGAATTGGGGCAAGACATTATGAAACGAAGGATATATTGATGTAGCTTATTATTTTAAGGGAAATATTTGTTAAATATTTTTTATAGATACACACTGTGTTACTAAGAATGATAAACATTTCCATATACATTACTGTATTTGCTCTGAAAATCATACATCTACTAATAATCTTCTGTATCACTTATGACAGATAATGGTGGAGTACAGGTAATGGGTATTCTCTGTTGTCTGGCTTCTAGTTGTACCTGTACGGTAGTTTCTAATGCTAATGGATGGTAATTGGAACTGATATTCAGAATTATGGCAGTGCTTGATTTTAATTGTAACGGGCAGTAGCTAAAGAAGGTGGTTATTAGTGTAGCTCTTAATAACTATATATATTTTGACCTGTGCTTTCTTTTGTAGTCTAATTCCAGAACATGAATGTGGTTATGATCTTATTGCTGATGGGATGTGTATAGATGATTTGCTTGACCATATGTTTAGTTTAAGTGAGTCAGTGATTATCTTACCAAGTGTATGGGGTTAAAACTGGAGACTCTTAGACAATGGTGGCTGGGACTAAACCTTTGATTAGTTATCCCTTATACCAGAAACTAGAGGCCTGGTAATGGGGTCATAGTAACAGGAGTTGAGTCATGACATCACTTAATCAACATTTAGCTGTGGAGTTATGACATCACTCATACAACATTTAGCTGAGGAGTTACGACATCACTTAATCAACATTTAGTTGTGGAATTATGACATCACTTAATCAACATTTAGCTGTGGAGTTATGACATCGCTCACACAACATTTAGCTGTGGAGTTATGACATCGCTCACACAACATTTAGCTGTGGAGTTATGACATCACTCACACAACATTTAGCTGTGGAGTTATGACATCACTCACACAACATTTAGCTGTGGAGTTATGACATCGTTCACACAACATTTAGCTGTGGAGTTATGACATCACTCACGCAACATTTAGCTGTGGAGTTGTGACATCACTCACACAACATTTAGCTGTGGAGTTATGACATCACTCACACAACATTTAGCTGTGGAGTTGTGACATCACTCACACAACATTTAGCTGTGGAGTTGTGACATCACTCACACAACATTTAGCTGGACTCTAAGGTTGTTGAGGCATGACATCACTTACTCAACATTTAGCTGGACACTTGTAAGTTTTGAGGATGAAGACTTGGTTCTAGGACTTTGTCAGGATTATCATACTTTTGTATAAGAGCCGACATTATATTGAATGTCGAGTGTGGACCCAAAATTATTATCGAATACAATATTTATCATAAAATTCACGAACCAGTAGCAGTTTGCAATGTTCATGGATGAGATGTTTGTGGTGGGAAATAAAACTGTGCTGGTTAGTTAATTGCCAGGAACAATTGGCAGAATACTTATTGTTTTAATTAGTTATGCACTAGAGCCTGAATACATTACCCTGGCAACCAGGTTCCTGCAGCAAGCAATGGGATGTTTGAAAAAAAAAGTGGAAAATGGCTGTATTGATGGTGGTGGTAATGAGGTCTAACAGTGGACTCTCTACAATGTATATCTCCAATATGATTGTCAAAGTTATCAGCCTGACATCTACAGTAGAATGCCTACCCAAGGCCTTTTGTTCTCAGGGGCAACACAGCATCATGCCCTTTCTATGGAGTATGTCTAGCAAGCTTATTTTGCAAAGCGGTGCTTGGTTAAGGCATTTGTTAGCCATTAGCCAGATGAAGAAATAACACATCTTGTTGTGTGGCATTTGAGAGTTTATAAAGTTAGTTTGTTATATCACAGATATCTGGTCAGTAATAATCCCATATTATGACTTTTGTCTGAACAAAACATTTCTGTTACCCCCTCCAAAATAGTTAAGGATGAAATTGGTTGTAACAGAGCAGAGATAATCCTGGGTCATAGGTTGTGGTTGACAAAGTGACAAATGAGGTACAGTCAGTTCTGCTATAACGCGATAGTTGTGTTCTTGTAAAACCTCGCGTTCTAGAAATTCGCGCAATAGAAATAACAGGGCTTATGGAGAAAATAGGGTTAGGTGTAGATTACTCGAAATAAAAAATATTTAGTAGTTAGCCTAACACAAAGGATAGCACAGTCTAAATATATGATACATTCATATCTAATAATGAAATCATACAGTAAATGTTACACTTTACCTTGAAAAAATATGAATATAACTTGATGGGGGAAAAGGGTGATGCTGAGGTTGAGGTGTCATGCAGACAGGATTTGACAGTTGTCATCATCAGTATCAGGTGCAGTTTTGGTTGCATGGGAGGGACGAAAAAAACGTCTAATTCCAGAAGTGGATGGCTGTGGTTCAGTGTCTTCAGAATGTGGCTCAGACTGCTTCTTGGGGGTTAACTTTAAAAAAAGACGTCTAGTGTTTGATGCTTTGCCGTCTTTCTTCTTTCACAAAGAAGCTGTTCATAAGGTGCCAAAAAAGATTTAACACCACGAACTGCAATCCTGCTCCGATCTGCATTGACGTCATTGTTTTCCAAGAGTTGCAACTGCTCATCAACTTCCCTCAGGATAGAAGACAAAAGAGAAGTGGGAAGCTCTCTTGGTTTTGCATCCTGCACTTCATCATCTTCGGCATCTTCTATTTCCCCAGCAGCAACAAGTTGTTGTAGATCAGCTGTCTTCACAGTGGGACTCGAGCAGTCCCTCAACATCGGCACTTTCCACTTCAGCAAAGCCAACTTGCTTTGTATGAGAAACACAATTTTCTTTTATTTTTGGGAGCTCCTCTGATGCATCAACGCCTGTAAAATCATGAATTAAATCTGGGAGAAGCTTCTGCCAAACTCCACTCAAGCAGTCCTTACTTAATCACCCCAGGCCTCCACAATGATGTCAATTGCATGCTTGATGTTGAAACTTTTCCAAAACTGAAGAACACTGGCCTTATCATCTCCTTCCTCAGTAGCTGCTGAAGAACACTGGCCTTATCATCTCCTTCCTCAGTAGCTGCTGAAGAACACTGGCCTTATCATCTCCTTCCTCAGTAGCTATAATAAGTTTCTTAAATGTACACCTCAAATAATAGGCTTTGAAGGCTGCTATTACTCCTTGGTCCATTGGTTGAAGGAGAGATGTTGTATTTGGAGGTAGAAAGAGCACTTTGATATTGTCAGAAAGCTCAGCAATGGTGGGAGGGTGGCTTGGCGCATTATCTAAAATGAGGAGAATCTTAAAATCGATATTATTATTCTTGTAATAACTTTTAAAAATATTTTCAAAAACATCCACAGTAAGGTCAGAAAATATTTGTCCAGTCATCCAACCTTTTTTGCTTGACCTAGAGTATACACCTAGAGTAGACTTTATGTAACCCTTTAAAGCTCGCAGTTTGGCAGAGTGATACACCAGCACAGGCTTAAGCTTTAAGTCTCCACTAGCATTTTCACCCAACAACACTGTCACACGGTCCTTCGCAGCCTTAAAGCCTGGAGCATGTACTTCATTCTTGGAAATGTAAGTTCTTGTTGGCATGCACTTCCAGTATAAACCCGTTTCATCCAAATTAAAAATTTGGTCTAGTTAGAACCTTCTTCCTGAATCAATCTCTTCACAATGGGAGGAAATGCGACAGTACACTTAAAACATTCGAGTGGAATCGCGTTACAACAACACGCATTCGCATTTTACAAATATCGTTCTTCTATTCATCAATCGCGTTATAGCCAATTTGCGTTGACAAAACACACGTTGTAGCAGAAATGTATGCTCAGCTAATGTGATGTCACAACTTGTTAGCTTTCTATCATAAGTAGTAACCCTTTTTTTAGATCCCTTTCGGCTCTAGTATCAAGTGGCAGGTAGAACAAATCAATTGATTATTTCCAATTGCCACTTGCCCAATCTTCTTTTTTAACCTTTAGACTTGGTGAGATATGTGAGTTGTTTAGTCCAGAGTTGGTCATATAATAGAATTTCTGAGATAGACCCTTCATTTCTTATCCTGAGGTCACCTTCAGTTACTAGATTTTTATCATTGATAAAAATTGGTGGAGCTTATTCTAAAAAATAAAAAAAATTATATTACAGGTACACCACCGATTTTCCTGCACCCTTGGTTCTAAAGCCTTGCCAAATTATCCGTTTTGCCGGACCAACCGAGGTCAGGTAATAATAATTCAACACTCTGACCCACTAATTATACACTTCCTGTGTCTCTAAAGCACCATGGACTGCAAGAAACTTAAATTAAACAAATATTAAATGTAAATTAAATGTGAAAAAGCTATGATTTTGCACATCATATTACTGTACACAATTTTTACTCAAATGTACTACACTAGACTAAAAATTTATCTCTTGTGCAAACTATGTGATGTTATACTCAAATTAATTACTATCTTACAAGGATTCCAGCAATGTAAGTTATATTCTGCTAAGTCTCGTCAGCTACATTTATAAGATAAAAACTTTAAGCCTAAAACTGCTCACCTGGCTGGGAAGAAGGAGGGGTTAAGTGCCCCCTCATAATTTTGTCTGGACTAAAGGAGGTGCCGGACCATCAGTTCCTGGATAATCGGTGGTGTACTTTATAATTTTTTAGATTTCCTTCCAATTCTTCCTCTTCCATAAATTTCATATGTCACTTTCTTTCAAGCTTTATGATTGTATCATCATTTTGCTGTGCCAGTATCCTGTTATGGTGCTGCTCAACCATTGTTTCCATCTTTCATCTCTTGCTTGCTCTCTTTCTACCTAATTTCTTTTATTTAATTCTCCATCTTTCTCAGCCATGATGCTTACCTACCATCCTCTTTACTAATGTTCATAATTTAACTCTAGTACTGTACAGGTACTTACATTTTTCCTCTGTTTAGTTCTTATTACCGGTATGTAAATTCTGTATGACTCTGCTGTTAATATACAGTTACAGCCAAAAGTACTCATCCACTGCATTTGAATGGACATTAACTTGGCGACTGTATTTCTCTTAAATATTAATTGTGTGAGCATACCATCATAAAATTTAAATGTTATTTTTACTACAACATAGGTATTGTGTCGGAAAAAGTGGAGTTTGGAGTCGGGCCAGTCTCTATTGGAATTAATCCCATATGTTCTGTTGTTCACTTTATGCGGTTTTCACTTTTCGCGGTACCCTGTGGGTTCAATTGACTGTGTAAATCGGGGTACTACTGTATTAAAAATAAATGATTTCCTCCCTTGTATTCAATATTTATTGTCATATCAACGTTATTATAAATATCTAATTTCTGCTGTTTAATACCTGAGCAACAACCTGAAAAAATGCTAAATAGGGAAATGGATGACACTTTCAAGCATGTAAATCTAAGATAATATAGTGAAAAGAAATAATATTCTTCCTTCTTTCATGAATTTCTTTGCTTTCTTCAGTCCACTCCCTCTCTGGTGAGCAACTGACATTGCTTACCACCCTCCCACACCCCCACCAAACTGCCATCCCCAAAGTCGACCATTCCCCTTCTCCACCCCATGTGACTTACCGTGCAGAAAGAACCTGACCAGGCGCAGGGGTTAGGTGGTGGAGTGGATGATTACTTTTGACTGTGACTGTAATGTAGTCTTTGCAATTGTTAATGATTTATATTTACTTATAATAAATAAAATTGTATAATTTGCAATAATAATCACATTTTTATTGGAAGAAAAGAAAGGAGTTTACTTACATATTCCAGACCATTTCACTTCCAGAAAGTGATAAATTAGGTCAAATTGCAGTGCTCCTTGCAATACACTTGCATAATTAACTTTTGAATGATTTCCTTGTTGTAGAAGAGGAACACCACAGCAAAATATGTCAGTTTGTGCAGTTAGAGAGATGGAATAACAGTGAATTATTTTAGGCACCCTGCAATAACAGTGAATTATTTTAGGCACCCTGCAACATGTGAGAAAAGGCTTTGCTAGAGTGGAAAATAAATAAGTACTATACATTTGCTATATGTTCTAACATGCAATAATTTTTTGATTGTCAATAGCTGCCATCCCAATGCACAGTGTATATATGACAGCTACACCCAGACATATTCCTGCCAGTGTGATGTTGGGTATGAAGGAGATGGATACTACTGCAATGAACTTGGTGAGTGTTATACAGTAAAAACAGTTGGGTATACATTACATATGTTGCTTACTTGCAAAAAAAAAGGCTTTTTCCAAAAATACAGTATAGTCTGGATTTACGCGGTTTTTATTTACGCGTTTGGTCATTTACGCGGTGCCTTGCCAGAATGAAAATGCTTTAATTACGTGGTAAATTTGGTCATTTACGCGGCGACCGCCTCGCCATCTTTTACCCACGCAGTCCATTCTTGACCACGCTGAAGTGGGCGTGAGTGGTGCGCATTAGGTCGGTCTTATATTGACGCTGACGTCATATGACGTGATCGGATGGTGATTGAGCCACGCATCCTTCCCACCCACGCATTCCCTCCGCTAGCTGTGATTGGTCTAATGTAACATGACGTGCCCTGCCACCAGAGAGGTAGAAGTCGCTGACCTAGCAGGGCCTGTCTCATTGTTCTCAGTCTGCGATACAGTTCTCTCTTGTGCCCACTATTCCCCTCACAATGACCTCTCAGCGGACCCCCACCCACCGAGAAAAACATTGAATTACCTGGACCAAGCCATGATAATGTCAAGGAAATCATCGAGTTGGGGGAGAAAATTAAGCTCATCCTTGACAACCACCCAGACAAGAATCGGTATGAAGTGTCTAATAACCATCTGACAAAAGTTATGGAGCCGTGATATCCAGATCTATCTCGACAACATCAATGCTAGTCGTCAACGTAGTATAAAGGACTTTCGCCAAGCAACCCACCCACAACCACAGCCACCCCAAGTCAGTGATAGTGATAGTGACAGTGAGGATATGGACTTTGAGGGGTTTGTCAGGAAGCCCTGCAACCTCTTGCAGTAGTGAAGTGATTCACCGGAGGGCTAATCTGCCCTCTGCCTCGAACCAGCCGCCATCCACGTGCCGACCCCGCTTTTCTACTAACATAAGTGTTAAAACCTAATATTATTGATATTTCTCTTAATTATTAATTGTGTGCATACCATCATAAAATTAAGATGTTATTTTTATTACAACATACGTATTATGGCGGAAAAAGTGGAGTTTGGGGGTCGGCCCAGTCTCTATTTCAATTAATCCCATATGTTCTGTTATTTCATTTACGCGTTTCTTCTTTACGCGGGCCTCCACGGGTTCAATTGACCATGTAAATGCAGAATATACTGTAAATAAATTTTTTTTATAAATTATAAAACAATGAAAAAGATATAAGAAAAATTTTATATTGTCCCTCAGTGACGAGTGAAATAAGGAGAATTGTGGGTTTTCTTACAGGGAGCAGCTCGCGGTCTTATGCATTAGGGGTCCTTTTCCCATCTCCATTGTGTCCGAGATGGCCAATAATGTATATTTTTACTGATCATAATACTAATTTCCTATAAATTATTCATTTAGAATTATTATTTGCATTACTTTTCATAAAAGTGCTCAGCAACACACATGCAGTCTGTTGCCAGGCTGTCTGGCTGTCTTTGTGTTTGGGAGAGCAAGTAAGTCATATAAATAATTATCGGAATAATAATTCCACAAATAAATACATTTATAACTATCATACCATTATCATCCAGTAATACTACACTACAATACAACTACACTACTTTTAGTAATATTACTTTGATACAACATGATTAAAAGGACAAACACTGGTAAATAAACAAACAAAGGAAGGTACTTACCAATAAGCTTCCCTCCGACTGTGCGTAGATAAGCGAGATGGGTGGGTGGTGTGTTGCCACCTTGACACTGGGTGTATGCTAGCACCCATGGGTAGAGACTAGTGAATGCATACAACTGTGTACCTTTTACACAAACATGTCACTTTGTTCCTTACAAATACACTTATACTACTATTTACAGTATTTACAAGCACTCCTTAAGTGCCACACTGTTTTAGAATGTTTTCTCGCGGTGGTACTCCACGAAGCAAGGTGCACAGAGAACAACGTCACATTCCTTGTACCATGTCACACGTCCTTACGTTTAGCTGGATGCTTTGTGGTGTTAGCACAGACGTAACACTGCCTTTGCGTCTTATGACCACTTTGAAGAGTCGGAAGGCCATCCAGGTAGTGTCTAGCAACCCAGTCACGTATAAGGAGTCTGTCAGGGAGTCTTGCTTGGCTGTGACGTTGTGGTCCAGTTGACACAATGTTGCCATATTTCTCCAGGAGTTGATTTACCACTTGCTTCTGAAAAACCCTGAGAGGATTTTACAAGGTAGAAGTTGTACGCATTCAAGATGGTGATGTCCAAGAGGTGGAGGAACATCTTCTTATACCACTTGAGACATTTCCTTACACACTCAACTGCGCCAACCTGCATGGCACTCCTGTCCACGAAGCACATGTTGACATTGTAGTCCACAACACAGTCGGGTTTTTCATTACCTCTCCTGAGGTCCTCTCCCTTTTGCCACTGTCTACCATTTCACCCTTGTGAACAGTTGACAGCATCTGTGCAGTACGCTTATCTTGCCAGTGTATTGCAAGCATCTTGTCTGCTTGCTTCAGCTGGATCTCTCATCGGGCAGGTTTACGAGTAAACACTGGCCAGTGTTTCTGGTTCTTGCGTACAGTTCCACAAGAACCGATGTCATGTTCAAGTAGGAACTTGCCCAGGGCAGGAGAGGTATAATAATTGTCAGTGTAGAGGATGTGATTCCCTCCAAAGTAGCAGTCCATAAGTTTCTTGACAACAGCGCCAGAGAAACCATGTGGGTCAATCTTGGGTATGTCTACATCACTTGCTGTGCAAACTATGAGATCTAAGACATACCCAGTCTCAAGAGTCACACAGCAACACTTCCACCACTGCCAAAACAGCAAACTGCCTACTGCTTGTTCCCTCCACTAAACATCATTATCATCATCATACAAAATCTCTCAATTCATCAGGGATCCATTGTACATTTACTAACACTTGGTTGCCCTAGCCACTCTGTCTCATGTGTTTTCTGCATGGAAACTTTTTTCAGTGGAGAGACTAGCAGGAAAATAGGAATTTATTAATTTTTCTGCTGAGGTAAATTGCAGCTGTAGAGATTACAACAACTGAATGTTAATTGTACAGTATTGATATTTGTTATATCAACCATCTATAAAGATAGATTAGTATTCTCGAGCCTGTCCTCAACCTCAGTGAGTCTACAGTATACTGTATGTACAAACATGCCATCAGTATATTATATTAATACTTAACTGTGAAAAAACAAATAAGTATATTCATGATGAAGCTGGAAGTTATTTCACTGTTACCATAAATTTTAATTTTGATCTTCATAGATATGTCGTGTGATAAGGTATCCATCTGCCATATCCATGCCCAGTGTCTCTTTGATGACTTCGCACTCCAGCATGTGTGTGTCTGCCTGGACGGTTACCAAGGTGATGGCCTGGTCTGCACACCACAAGGTTAGAAAAAAAACACATACTGTATACTGTACTCTAAGATATTTAAGGCAAATTTTGTGATAGAAATAACATAACAAGGAGTGGAATGAATAAAAAGTAATACAGTGAACCCTCAGCTACATGGTTTCACTTTACGCCAGCTTCTACATTTACGTACCCCTGCCAGAACCGAATTTACCACTTTACGCCGGTGCATCTACTCATATATGCGGTGAAGTATAATTTTTATTTAGCTCATAAAATTCATACAAATTATCCGCCAGAATATAATTTACATTGCTGGAATTCTTACAATTTGATGATCATTTTGAATATAAGATCATAGATTTTGCATTAGACATACAAATTTTAGATCTAATGCAAGTATTTTGTTTACTCTAGAGTAAATATGTTATCTTTTGTGCAAAATATATGACATTTATATTCAAAATATTCCTGGTCTTGCAAGGAATCCAGCAATGTCAATTATATTATCCTAACTTTAGTCTGAGGTATTATTTACTAAAAAGGTAAATATTCTGGTTTCTCCCAAACATTTATCTGGTAGGGAGGGTTGGGACCGACCGACCCAGCTGGCGCGGAGGTGAGGAGGGGGGAGGCAAGGTGGGGTACTTTGATTGACAGATAGTGTCGTGAAGAATATTTTTTTATTACCTGAAGATATTTGTTTTAGCTCATAAAATTATACAAATTACCTCGCCAGAATATAATTTACCTTGCTGGAATTCGCACAATATGATGATCATTTTGAATATAAACATCATGGATTTTGCATTATACATACAAATTTTAGATCTAATGTAATAATTTGGTTTACACAAAGCAAATATTTTATTTTTGTGCAAAATATATGAAGTTTACATTCAAAATATTCCTGACCTGCGAATCCAGAAATGTCAATCATATTATCCTAACTTAGTCTGAGGTTATTTATTACTAAATGTTAAAATCTAGTGTTTTCACCCAATCATTTCTCAGAGAGGTAGGAGCCAGTGAGCTGGGAAGAGGGGGTTTGAGTCCATTATTTGAATGGACATTAACCTGCACTGTATTTCTTAAATATTAATTTGTGAGCATACCATCATAAAATTTAGATGTTATTTTTACTACAAATAGGTATTGTGTCAGAAAAAGTGGAGTTTGGGGTCGGCCAGTCTCTATTGGAATTAATCCCATATGTTCTGTTGTTCACTTTACGGTTTTCACTTTCCTCGGCACTGTGGGTTCAATTGACCAGCAAATCAGCACTACTGTAGTGATTTAAGGGCGATTTAGGGAATTTAGGAGTGTTTCTTACTTTATGCATTTTTTGGCTTTACTTTGTATGTACTTTTCTGTGAGCTGGAACCAGTTACCCAATATCCCATTGATATAATGGATTCGGTTAACAAAATTTTCGGTTAACGAACTACTTTGTGGAATGAATTGTGTCTGTTAACCGAGGGACCACGAAATTCCGGTTAACTAATTACCTTTCATAAGAATCTTCATCGGTTAACTAAAAAAATTTGATTAACGAAACTTACGAAAATTACATTTTGTTTTGAACACGCTGATAAGCTGAGGAGGTACTCAGCCAATTCTGTGATCTCTTCTATGTTTACATTCAAACTAATCACTATCTTATAAGAATTCCAGCAATGCAAATTAAATTCACCCCAGTCACTTCTATTAAATTTTATAAGCAAAAAACAAAAACTCCGTCTAAAAGAAAAAAAATAAACTCACAATTAAATACTTCACACCACAGGTGCCAACTGTCAAACATGTTACTGTCACCCCTCCCTCCCCTCCTCCCAACCCCCCACCCCCACCTTCCTGAGAAATGTTTGGGTAAAAAGACTAGGTTTACAGGTTTAAAAATATATAATACCTCAGACTAAAGTTAGCATAATATAATTTGTATTGCTGAAATCCTTGCAAGACAGGGGTTTTGAATATAAACTTCATATATTTTGCACAAAGATAAAATTTTGCTCTCCTAATAAAATTCCTAAATTAGATCTCAAATTTGTATGTCTAATGCAAATTTTAGTTTGTTTATATTCAAATTAATCACTATCTTATAAGAATTCCAGTGGCTTTACTTTGTATATACTTTTCTGTGAGCTCGAACCAATTACCCAATATCCCATTGAAACAATGGTTTCGGTTAACGAATGAACTTCTGGAACGAATTGTGTTCAAGTAACCGAGGGACCACTGTACTGTACTCCTATCTTGTATACAGAACCTGTATAATGCTGTAGCTCACCCGGGAGGGCCCAAGTCTATGCACAAAATTTATTTATATTTCATTTACAGTGTATAGATACATGTATTCTGGGGTTAGGTAAAATGGACCCTGTGAGAAAGCAATATTCACGGTTTTCATGCTGGTCCCAGGAGTCTGAAAAATACATATATAAATAGCTATATGCACATGTATAACAACATTATGTATGTATAAGACAATATAATAAATATGAAATAAGATAAATAAATAAACATAAACATGAAATAAAACTGTATGGACATTAGGTCTACACAGTGATAATTAGTGCTGGTAGTGATAATACAAAGACAACACCTCTGAAGTGTCAGCTGATCTAGTTCACAGGTTGTAAACAATCCCTGTACTGGACAGTTCCTAGTGAACATGCCCGGTACCGATAAGCTTTTGTAATGTGCTTTCCATAGGTACATATATGCATAATTAAATCTTTTTGTATTGAATTAGGTCAATTTTGTTAATAATACCACGTGAGAGTAACCCGTTATAGTACCTCCTTCTTTCCTCACATGGCCAAACTGTGGAATGCTCTGCCTTCTTCTGTGTTTCCATACTTATACAATCTGTCTCACATTAAAAATATGGTTTTCCGGCATCTTCGTGATGTAGATTAACACAATACAGTATAACCTTTTTTTCTCTATATTCAAATTCTTTCTGTTCTTATTTTTTTCCCCCAGGCCCCTGCTAGGGTTGTTGACTGTGCACGGTAATTCCTGAAAAAAAAAAAAAAATGTTTGATAATAGGTTCATAAAGTGATAGTGAGTTGTGGTAGTGAGAAACATAATAGCATATAGCCAGTGATTTGACTTTGCCAAAAGCTCTTTTTCCAAAATATATCATGCTAATTATAGGGTGTATCATATGACCTGGGAAATATGGTGCTCTGTACTGTCCTGTAGTGTTGACTCCTCTTGATCCCTGGCACACAGCTTTAGATTATTTTATTTATTTTGCTTGGTGAGCTTTAAGGGAATACTGTACATTAAAGACTCAGAAAGGTAAGCAATCACTACTGTATCTTTGGCATTACCATGACTCCTGACTCTGTGGTGCTAAGCAGCCTGTGTCTTAAACCTTTATTCATTACACATACATACATACCCAAGTAAAAGTTATGATATATGCCATATTCAGTGTATTCTCTACCATAAATTTAATGAAATAGACTTTCAGATTTCAGAGCATTTCGGACTAAGGAATTTTGAATAGGGGATACCCAACCTGTAATGCCATACCTGCAATATTTATTGTAAGCTATACAAATGCCTAATACAAATGAAGATTGACAGATAACTTTTTTTCACATTTGCATCTGTTAACATTGCTGTTGGCATTATAGCCAGGTTAGACTCATCAGTGTAACCACCAGTGTACTGAACAAAGCTGACGTGTTATGGTTGTTTTTTATCTCATATTTTTGGGTAGATATATGTAACTTTATTTATTTTTACTCAGTTATATGCACACACTATCCTACATACATACAGTACAGTTTTGTGAAAAGGTAAAATAAATAATTGTCCTAAGGGCAAACACATAAAGGGAATATACATATGCTTGCACACGAGTTAGTTGGTTCAGTGGGAGAGCGGGAGGAGGTGAGGCATGTTGGGGGGGGGGAGGCATTGTTAGGGAGTCAGCTAAGGTAGCATCCTTGCTGGTCTGCATTGCTATGGCAAACAAGTGAGTGTATGCAAATGACGACTGTTTTTTCCTAAATACTCCCTTCAAATGGGGGGGTGCATCTTATATGGCCATAAGTCTTATATGCTATAAAATACGGTAAGCAATAACATTTCTAATTCTGGAGTTGGGTTAGGTAGAATTTAGTCAACTGGAGACAGGAACTGGGGAATCATTAGCTTATAGTAAACCACAGCTTCACATATAGGATGCAGGCTGATTTTTTAAGCCATTTTTCAGACAAAAAAGTGCATCTTTTATGCCATAAAATAAGGTACATCATTACACTAACCAGTATAATACTGGCCTCTCATTTTGTTTGATTTTGACAGATGAGTGCAGCAGTGTTCTGGACTGTGACACCAATGCTCAGTGTCTGTATGAGAGTAAAAGCCAGCGTTACAAGTGTGAGTGTAATGATGGTTATGAGGGAGATGGACGCATATGTAATCCACGTGGAGGTCAGTAATAAGTGTATCATAATAATGCTTTATAAAATATATTTCACAAAAAATATAATTTCCTGAATATTTAGCTCATGATATTTTTATCAAAGTAACTGCAAGTTTGCTTCATTCCTTGTTTATATTTACCTCATTAGAAGCAAGCTGTAACATCATCAACAACTGTGATGTAAATGCCAACTGCATATACTCAACATACTCTCTGAAGTACCGTTGCCAGTGCCGTGATGGTTATGAAGGTGATGGCAGTTTTTGTACACCTACTCAGGTATGGCTTCCATTATTACCTACTTTCTCTTTGTATAGCACGATAATTATTTGTGTCTAGTCTTAACTTTCCATCTTTTGTATACCTTGGTTCCCTCTATAAAATATTCTATACTTGTACTTTATTATTTATTAATATGTAGTATTGACTGTACTGTACATATTTGTCTTTCTGCACACACACACACACACACACACACACACACACACACACACCACACATAGTATATAGTGTGGAATGTAAAAAATCTGGCATGTTTAGCACCAAACAGTCACTGGCTTTTAGAATTTGATGTTTTTAAAAACCAAACATAATATATACAGATGGGGAACCAGAATGCTGGCCTAACATTGCACAGCTTTACTCATGTTTTTTTATCCATTCATTATTTTTTTGTTTGATATTTAACACAATATATATAAATAGAAATATCGTTACAGTAAAACCCTCTTAATCTGGCTCTTTTATCTGGAATTCTGCTTTATCTGGACTGGCAAACTACTTCAGACTAATTTCTATTAATCCGGATTGAATCTGAATTAACAGAAAATAGTCCAGATCTACCCACGTGGTGGCAAAAATAAATACTATACACCTATGAATCAATTGAATTACTAACCTACAGTATAATATATAAAATTCTTGTGCATACTGGACATACAGTAGAGCAGGCACGGGCAACCTACAGCTCGTGGGCAGAGTAGAACTCCTAGGTAATCAAGACTGACCTCCTACTCAGCTACTCACTTACTCATACAAAGAAGTTCACTCATGTTCTTGTGTTGTGGTGAATGAACCTGATGACTCAGTTTAGCAATCACAGTTATTTGCTATAAGGTGTTATAAAGAATTTGGTGATTAATGAGAAACATTGTATATAAGTTGAGCATTTGATGAATTTTCATGTGGAATGTCCCTGTATGTTGTTTAAGCCATTCTCTCACTTTTTAATTTTTCTTGAATTTGTCTTGTGATCATTTCTCTCCTTCTTAATCCTTAGGCTTCAGGCCACATCATATGACATGCATCTGTAGAGCTTCGGGTCACGTCATATGACGTGCATCAGTAGAGTTTTGGGTCACCTCATTTGAAGTTTTAATCTTTCACGGGACTCTTTGAATAAAAAGGACTGGCCTGGTTAGATTAGGTTGTCAAGTAGGTATTTATCTTTCACTCACTCACACATGAAAGCCACCCAGTCACTTCTCAGCTGCTTCTCAGCTTTTGTGTTGTAGGAATCTCGCCCTTGGACTTGACTCACTTCACCATGTGTTTCTACCCCAACCCAAGCAGATGTTTAGCATCAGGATCAATTACTGGAGCAGTAATAATTATTGTTAATAGTGTAAATTATTATAACATAGTAAAACAAGTGTCCTGTACCTCTTACTGCCAACAAATTAGTGTTGTGTACCTCGTTTATTGTGTCACACACACATGTCACTTCAATAACATTCTCAACTCTTTCTAGCCCCTCTGTTACCAACAACATATATTTATTTCCTGTTTATATCATGCATGGCCACTTTGTAAAACTAGAATTAATAAAAGAGTTAAAGATTATCTGTAAAAGAGTGTTTAGAGATATTTACCTTACAAGATTTTTTCTCACAGGTTGGCTGTAATGTTGTTTACAATTGTGGGGACAATGCTGAGTGTTCCTATGATCGGACTGCTCAAAAAGCAGCCATACTAGGTGACACAGAAACATGGTAGGTGATGCAGGGGAATGGTAGGTGACACAGGTGGCGGAAGTGATGGAGGGGAACACTACGTAAACAGTGTGGCTCGTACGTATACTACTGTAATTTGGTCACATATAAAATAATGAATAAATTTTAACAAAATTAATTGTTTTCTCTATTTATAATTCACGGATATTATAGTCCACCCTAATAAAACCATTTTCTTTATTACAGAGCAAAAAGTAAAAATTAAAATAATTGAATGTGTCTTAAAAATAAAGAAAATATAATATAAAACTATAAAATAAGAAAAATAAAGAGCATGTGTGTGTGCATGCATGTGTGTGTGTGTGTGTGTGTGTGTTTGTTACACAGGGTGGTGTAAGCATTATGTTAGTGTTAAGGTGCAAGCACTGCTTGCTCCCTCTCGCTTTCAGCTGCCGCTGCTGCCTAGCCCTCGTGGCGAACAGAGAAAACAACTTGCATAAGTCTTCCCCTGCCAGTACACAGCCTCTTCACCATCAAGACTCCTGTTATACCTCCTCGTGTCAACACACAGTAACTGGGTGCCTCGTGGGCCCAGGCTACACCACCAGGGGATCTCGGAGTAACAGTGGGCCCCAGAGGGACGGTGCATAGGTCCACTGGCATGTGGACATGTCCTGGCACCCATGAACCACTGCCCAGCTGCCATGCAGATTAACCTGACTTGGCCACCACACCCAGTAAGGTCATCCTTATGCGGTCAAAAACACGTTCATATTCACAGATCAAAGCAAAAACAAACTATACAACCTCTTATGGTCGTTGCATGGAATGTCAGGACCCTTCTGGATACTGGCGCAAATGAGCATCCCGAAAGAAGAACTGCCCTTGTGACAAAACAGCTGGCTAAATGTAACATCGAATTAGCAGCCATTAGTGAGTCCTGGCTCCCAGATGAGGACCAGCTCACAGAATGAGGGTCTGGCTATACCTTCTTCTGGAAGGGTAACCCTGCTGCGGAGAAAAACCGCATTTATGGAGTTGGCTTTGCCATCTGCCAACGCATACTACACAGGCTAACTAAAATGGCTGTTGGGATCAACAAACACCTCATGAAGCATAGAGTCCCACTGAATACCATTTTCATCAGTGCATACACCCCAACACTGGATGCAGATGATGACATCAAGGAGGCCTTTTATGCCGACCTTGACAGAGTGCTAACCTCACTCCCCAGAGAAGATAAAATTGTGCTCCTTGGTGACTTCAATGAACCAAGAGTTAGTAGATATGCTGACATTTGGCAGGGAATCAGAGGGAGAAATGGGCTAGGCAAGTGTAATCCCAACAGCCTACTCTTCCTCAGCAAGTGTGCCACACACAACCTCACTATCACCAATTCCTTGTTTCGACAGGCCGACAAGTTCAAGGGTTCGTGGCAACACCCACGATCCAAACACTGGCATCTCATTGACTACATCATTGTCAGAGAAAGAGATTGCCAAGATGTCTTTATCACCCGTGCCATGCGTGGCTCAGAGCACTGCGACATTGATCATCAGTTCGTCAAAGCCAAGCTCTCACTTCACGTCACCCTAAAATGGTGAAGGCAACAAGCCTCCAGAAGAGGTTTTTACACTAAGGGTCTGGAGAATCCAGTGGTACAGGTTGTACCTCTCTAGTCCGGCAACCTCGGGACCTGACCGGTGCCGGACCATGGAAATTGACGGACCATGGAAATTCACCCTTTTCCTGGATATATAGTGACTTGTGCTTATGCTTGGAAGCACTAGCACCACTTTCTCTGCATCATGGTCTCTTTGAAGACATATTGAAGGGTTAAATGTCGTACAGTAGCTTCTCAAATTTCGCGAGTTTTTAATTCTTAACGTATTTTATTGGAACACACAAAAAATAAATAAATAAAAATTTTGACGGCGGAAACTTGAATTTTGACGGGTTTGAAGGGCCCGCCAACGTGCATAATCGTGTAAACAGCGTCATTTCTCTTATGTACAAAAGATTCATTATTGTTTATTACTGAATGTCTTTTTTATTGAATTAATGTTTATGTGTGCAAAATGAGCAATACAATTCATTAATAATACGTAGAATATTAAAACACACGAGGAAATGACACAGCATTGTTTTCGTTGATTACAAAGCCAGTGACTGACTGGTTTTACATATAAAACTGAAGAAAATAAGACCTTGGTTGTAGCTGTAGTATAATTAATATGGTTGTTTTAAGTCATGTTATTTGATGTTAATAAATGGAACAATAGAAGTAGCTAACGAAAATGGTAAAGAAAAAAGAGAGCTCGCGTATGTAAGTGCGCATGCGCACACGTGAAAACATCTCGTCATTACTTTACATAAGAATATGAAAGCAACACTTATTTACTGTTCATATATATTTTAATTAATGTTTCTGAATTTGTTTTTATTTAATTAATGTATGTGTGTGCAAAATTAACAATACAATTTATTAATAATGCGTGGGATATTAGAGGAGACGAGACGGCTGCCGGCATTGTTTATGTTAAACCTTACGAAACCAGTGACTGATTGGTTCTACATATAAAACTGAAGAAAATAAGACCCTGATTTTAGCTGTAGTAAAATTAATGTAAAAAAATAATATGGTTGTTTGAAGTACCTGTAATGTTATTTAATGTTAATAAATGGAACAATATAAGTAGCTAACCATTAATGGTAAAAAAAAAAGTGAGACTGCTCGTATGTAAGTGCGCACATGTGAAAATATATCGTCATTACTCTACATAAGAATATGAAAGCAACACTTATTTACTGCTCATATATATTGAAGGGTTAAATGTTGTACTCTGTATAGACAAGCAGAGAGAGAGAGAGCAGCCGAACTGCCGGATGTAAACAAACCTTAATTTCCCGCGGCTTTTTTTTTTTTAAGGGGATTAGCCCACCCGGGCATAGGTCACTGACCCACATTGGGGCCTGAGGGGCAAAAATTTAATACTCCTGTAATAATAATAATAATTCAGATAAAAAAAAAAAAGGCTGCCTATCTACCTATTGGACAAACTAAAATCGTTCCGGACCACAGAATGCCGGACTAGAGAGGTACAACCTGTACCATATGCTTTCAGAGAGCAGCTTGAACACAGGCTGATAAATAGCCCGACTACAAACAACCTAGATCCCAGTGCCGAATGGAGTATTCTTGACACTGTCATGACAAAAACCTGCAGAGAGACCTTCGGCCAGGTCGAAAGAATGCACCAGGACTGGTTTGATGAAAATGATCCCCGGAAATCAATGTACTTATCGATGATAAACGTGCTGCTTAACTGACTGGCAGAACAACCCTCAGACTAGGGCCTAAGTTGATACCTTCCACAAGAAGAAAGCAGCAGCCCAGTGCGAACATCATAAACTAAAGAATGACTGATTTACAAAAAAAGCTTGTGAAACGCAAAAACTTGCAAATCAACACAAGAGGCACGACTTTTTCAATTCCATTAAAACATTTTATGGACCAATCACTCACTGCGCAGCTCCCCTCCGCTCATTCGACGGTAACTTCATAATTAAAGACGATGAAGGCCTCCTTCAGCGCTGGAAAGAGCACTACCATTAGCTGCTCAACCGAAACACTGATGTGGATGTCCTGACTACCCAGCAGGTCCCTCTGCATCCAGAGCTGACCCACCTCAGCTATCCTCCATCCCTGGATGGCAGAACAAGTGCCGAAACGGAAAGACGCTGCCGCCGCCCCTCCCACACTAGATGTAGCCCTCCACATGTGCAACATCTGTGAACAAGTCTGCCAGTCCCGTATCGGCCTCTTTAGTCACCTCACAACTCACCAATGAAGGTGAAATCCCTAATAACTCATATCATTGTATCATAGCTGGATGATCGTCATACTTGATTCCGGCAAAGTAGTAGTAGTAGTAGTAGTAGTAGTAGTAGTAGTAGTAGTAGTAGTAGTAGTAGTAGTAGTTGTTGTAGTAGTAGTGTGTGTGTGTGTGTTTACTATTGGACAGTTTAGGTTAATCTAATTTTGTGTAAGTGAGGTTCTGCTGTAGTACTTGTGAAAGAATTATAATATGAAAATTATAACAAGCAGGCCAACTTAGAAGTGAACCTAACTTTATAGAAAACAAGAGCAGCTCTTTCTGTATACAGTATCAAGTGTATGTACTGTAGTTTTATTTAATCTTTAAAATCTCTTTCAAGGAGGCCTTTGAAAATATTTCTCCTTTCACTTTTATTATTTATTTGTATTAATCAGAGCTGGGTTTTTTCATAAGGGCTTCCAAGGTGATGGATTCTTCTGTCATTCTTCAAGATCCTGTCAGTCCGATCTTTCTGTGTGTCATCCACAAGCTGTTTGTCTGCCAGATGACGTCTCAGCCTTTGGTTACAAGTGCAGCTGTCGAGATGGTTTTACAGGAGATGGATATAATTGTCAAGGTGAACTCTGATGTCCTCTTGTGTTATCTAGTGATAGTACCAGGAAATGATTGTTATACATCAGAATTTTTTAATTTTTTTTGGCAAAGTCTGATAATATAAGAATAGAACCTTGAATATAATTTCTTAATCAATTATCTTTACTACCCTAATTTAATATTTATGCCATAGAAAGTCCATCTACTGCTTCTGTATCCTTCTTTTTGTTAGAAGAGGAGGAACAATTGGCTCTCTTCCCCGGAATTATATCAGTTGGCTAGTTGCATAATGTATAGAAGTGTCAGCTCCCTGTAATATCACGTGAAGTTTTTTATGGTCCATTAAGCATGATATCAACTCTCATGCTGTTGTCTTTTTGCTGTTCTTGACCAGAGGCACCAGATCATGAGAAGAACCTGCTACTTCTCAACCAGGGGCTGTCTGTCCTTCGTATGCCTGTTGATATACGTTCTGGAGGAGGTCACCCTATCCACGTTGATCCTTTTATGATAGCTGTGGGTGAGTACTGTAGTAGTAATGAATTCCTCTTGTTAAAAATGAATCTATTACAGTTCGGTACTCCACGGTCCAACCATTACTCTAAAATAGTCCGAGTCTTTAGATTGATTACCATTTGTTTGGAAGGAATATTGACCAAGATAGTAATACGTAAGTGTACTGTACTTGTGTGTGTGTGTGTGTGTGAGAGATATGTTGGGGTGTGTGGGTAGTTTTGGAAGGTGGGTGGATGGGTGGTGTTGGAGTGTGTGTAATAATAATAATAATAATAATAATAATAATAATAATAATAATAATAATAATAATAATTAACGGTTTATTAAGATAACATGGCAGCCCAAAGGTTGAAAATATACAATGAACAGAGGTGATAAGTGACAAATGGTGGAAGCAGGGAGTGGGTCACTTGATTGACAAAAGCTTCCAAAACAAAAATATAAGAAACAAAGAGTCAACATATAGATTAACTATAGATCTGGTAATGTTTGAGCTGGACTTGTAAACATTCTTGTGACCTGATGTTGGCTCCCACTGTCTGGATGGCCGTTGTGTCATACCTGGGTGTTAAACTGCTACCTCAGTACAGCTGCACCACGTGGTCGGGTAGGTCCTCCAGCTCACACAGGGTGTTGGAAAAGGTTCTTGTTCCTCATGTGATGAAGTTAGGAACTCATAGTTCCTCACCTGGGTGGAGTAGGGAGTCCTCATTTCTCTCCTGATGTAGATAGGAGTCTTTCTTTGCTTCTCATCCAGTGTTGGGGGTGGCGAGTTTACGGTGGACAGGGTGTGTCTGGTCCGGTCAGGTCAACATTGACCGCTAAGTACTGATTGTCGCTCTAACAGTTGTTTCTTTCTTTCCGGTTGAAATTGCCACTTTTGTATATCACTTGTGGGTTGATGGTCAATCTTTGCACTGTACTGTTGGTGGGAGGATGTTGATAAATCCAGATGGGGAGGAGGAGACGGGGAAAGGGAAGGCCTAACAAACCAGGCTGGCAGCTGTCTCCATGGTCAAGAAACAACGGGCAGCACCAACATCCTCACCCTATGAAGGCTAAAGACGGAGTGTGTGTGTGTGTGTTTTGGAGGGTAATAACAATTAACGGTTTATTGGAAGAGCATGGCAGCCGGAAGGCTAAAAATATACAGTTGCATTAGTGGGGAATGGGTCTCTTGAGTGACAAATAATATACATGTAACCTATGTGATACAAATATGATATATAATAACTAGGTTGGGAGAAGGTCATACTACAGGGCATTTCAACATTGTGATAGTGCAAAAAGGTATGATTGACTAGGATTGAATACACTGGTTGATTACAAGTTGTTGATAATTTTTTCATTGGTTGGGACTGGGCTCTTCTTATAGCGATCAATACGTGCTCATATGGGCTGGATGCGGTTGTGGCGTCGAACGACATTTCGCAGACGAGGGATCTCGGGTAGTAGTAGGAGCCGGTGTCAAGGATGGTGCAGAAGCTTCTCACCAAATTTGCAGATGAGGTCATGGTGATGGTCAGAGAGAGCCGAGAGGGTCAGTGTGTTGAGCGCTTCTTTGTATGTGGAGTAGGAATGGGAGAGAATAATCTTGCATGCCCTCTTTTGCACTTTTTCTAGGTGTTTACATTGTGTGGCATTTCGGGGGGGGGGGAGACCAGGTAGAGGATGCATAGGTGAGCTTGGGAAGTATGAATGTTGAGTCGGCGGAGGAGGTGGAGACGGAAACTGGAAGATTTGACAACTTCACTGATGTGTGTTTTCCAATTTAATTTGTTATCTATAGTGATGCCAAGGAGCTTAGAGGAGTCTATAACCTGGAGTGTGTTGGTGCCTAAAATAATGGAAGGGAGTGGGACAACGTCAGAGGAGAGGTTGATGTGCATAACCTATGCCTCCCCTACCTGGTCTTCCTCCCTAAATGCCACACAACGTAAACACCTAGAAAAAGTGCAAAAGAGGGCATGCAAGATTATTCTCTCCCCTTCCTACTCCACATATCAAGAAGCGCTCAACACACTGACCCTTTCGACTCTCACTGACCATCACCACGACCTCATCTGCAAATTTGGTAAGCTTCTACACCATCCTCGACACCGGCTCCTACTACCACCTGAGATCCCTAGCCCGAGAATTGCTGTTCGACACCACAACCGCATCCAGCCCATACGTGCACAAACTGATCGCTATAAGAACAGCCCAGTCCCAACCATTGTAAAAATTATCAATAACTTGTAATAAACCAGTGTATTCACTCCCAGTAAATACTACTTCTTGCACTGTCACTATGTTGAAATGCACTGTAGTTTGAGCTTTTCCCCATCTAGTTATTATATATCTTATTTGTATCACTTATGTTACTTGTATATTATTTGGAATTCGAAACCCATTCCCCAAATATGTAACTGTATATTTTCAGCCTTCTGGCTGCCAAGCTCTTTCAATAAACCGTTAATTATTATTATTATTATTATTATTATTATTATTATTATTATTATTATTATTATTATTATTATTATTATTATTATTATTATTATTTAGCACAGACAGCACACACACACTCCAATACCACCCAGACACCCACCCTACCTCCAACACCCCAACACAGGAATTAGGACAGCAAGCATCTAGAGTTTAAGATCAGCTGTTGAGGAGTGCTTGGTAATACACTGGTGCATGTTACCACTCCTTTTCACTCCATCTCTCTAATCACCCACACCTTTCTGCTTTCTCACTCCATATTTTAAAATTTTATTTATTGCTCATTTATACTTATACTTTTCACAATCTCCCTCAAAAATATTTAGGTTTTGTCTTTATGCAAGACATCTTCAGGTCATGAGACCCACTAATCCCACCCAACAATGGGTAACCTGACATTGCATCAGGTCAGTAATATGAGACCACTAGTCCCCCACCTTACCTCCACCTAACATTGCATCAGATCAGGTCAGTTACATGAGACCCACTAATCCCCCACAGCTCCATGGAAGTGAAAAATACCAGTCTTCGATGTAGCACACAGCTTCATTCACGCCCATGTCAATAGATTTTTAGTTTTTTATACAATATTTCTTTAACCAAGCATTTAGATAAACTATTCTGGACTATTCTAGTAAAGAAATGGAGTTTCTAACTTAATTTGAACTGCTTTTACGGACTCTACCAAATTCAAAACAGCTCTGCTGCTCCTATCCCAATTGTCGGATCAACGGGGTACTCAACGAAACTTGTGGGGTATTTACTCTATGTATATGTAAACGTCAATTATGTGAAATTCCAGTTTACTAGCCATTGGTTTTCGGGGTGCACCTGTATCGAGATGTCTAGGGTGTTGTTTTCCTTACAAAATTCAATTAATATTTCTCCTATCTCATTTTATCACCCAACCCATGTGGTCCTACTTTTGGTGCTACTATCCCCTTTCCCAAGTTTTGCATTAAAATCACCCATTGTAATGAGACATTCATTAAACTTTAAGGTGTCTTTTGCTTTCTTTAAATCTTCATTAAATTTTTCAAAGACTTCATCTTTACTATCATTTTTTGTTGCAAAAGCCTGTCTTATTACCAAGTACAGTACTTGGGTTTAGCATTAAAGTTGACTCATAAAACTCTATCTCACACTGCCTAGAATGCCTCTACACTACTGCTCAATTTCTGGTTTACAAGAATACCAAAACCACACCATGGTTTTTCATCACATGAATATATGAAACAAGAATCTTCACTGCTAATGCTACTGTGTTTGAACCTGTCCATCTTACTTCACTGCAATCTTTTCATTTCCCTACAAACATTTTCATATTTACTAGCCTCATATAATGTCCTCACATTCCATATTCCAATCTTTATTTTGTTTGTACACTTTTAAACTGTCATTTGTGTTTAATGTCCAGAGCTTTTTTTTTCTTGGACACAAGTACGGCAGGCAATGCGGCTGGACCTTTTGGTGACAATGATACAACAGCAACGCCTGAGAATCGTTTGTTTTGTCTCTCCATGGTTTGCAATATCAACTGGTAAATGAATAGGAGAAAAGAGAAGCAACTTTACATTGTCAGATGTATGGTTAGACCTGTGACTAATTGTGTGTAGGTTGCTTATGAGCTTATTATTTTATAGGAACAGTTGTATGGGTGGTTGGGAAATGATTAAATAGACAGGTGAATATTAATTAATATTGAATTCAGGTGCTGATGTTGACTGCCTGGCTGGCCGTTACTACTGGACAGATGTCAGGTCATCATCCATTCGATCTTCAAAGTATGATGGCTTTGAGAGGAAGCCCGTAGTCACAGGAGGTGCAGTATTTTGTTTTTGTTTTTGTTTGTATTTCTGTGTAGCTCCTTATTTGTTAAACCAATTTTGTATAATCTCTTTTCATTCCTTATCTATGTTAAATATACAGCATGGTATGAACTGGCCTGAGTGTGAGGTCATGTTTTACTCTCTTCTATGATGCAGTTGGTTGGTTGAAATTATTTTAGTCTCATGAAAAAAAATATGTTTGATTCCAGATCCCATCTCCAAAAGAAACAATAACCTTCACAGGAATAAGAAATGTCTGTGTGTTTTATTACCACTTGTTTTACTTGTATATATTGAATACCAGTGGTTATGTATACATACAGTGGTCCCTCTGTTAACGAACACAATTAGTTCCACAGAGTCGTTCGTTAACTGAAAATTTCGTTAACTGAATCTATTATTTCAATGGGATATTGGGTAATTGGTTCCAACTCACAGAAAAGTATACATACAAAGTACTTGTACTGTATACCGGTAATAGAATTAACAAAACATTAAATATAAACTAAATACAGTACATGTATTGTACTGTACAATAATAAATAAAAAACAATAGAATACTATATTTGAACTTAATTTGAGGTGTGAATGTCGTATTCCAGGCAGCTTTGTTTACATATCAAACAGCTGATTTTAGAGGCAGTCGATGATGACATGCCATATTCTTTACAGAGTGCATTGGTTTTAATGCCTTCTTCGTGTTTCATAATAATTTCTGCACTGTATAATATCAATATGTTAACTAAATTTCAGAATGACCAATAATTTTAATGTAAAAATGCAGAAATATTCAGGAGACCAACTTTCTTGATATTTACTCCACTGGAAACGAATGTAAACATAGCTCTGATTACTGTATTGGCGGACTAGCTAATCAGCTGATACGCACAACAAAACATGTCTGTCGTAAGGATTTCATTAATCGAAGTTTTCTTTGTTAATCGAACTGAAAATCCTTATGGGAGCTAATTCGTTAACCTAAATTTCGTTAATCGAACTGTTCGTTAACCGAGGGACCACTGTGTGTGTGTATATATATATATATATATATATATATATATATATATATATATATATATATATATATATATATATATATATATATATATATATATATATATATATATATATATATATATATATATATAATTCCCTGCAACAAACGTCTGTGAATAAGGTCATCCTGCCATCTAGCATTGCAAACTTTCTGGACATTTGGTACACTAGTGGTCTGTTTCTCATGCAGGTTATTCATATATATTTTCTGTCTTAACAGAGATTTCATGTCATGATACTTTTTCCAGATAACATTGGATCCCCTGAAGATGTTGCTGTTGACTGGGTGTCTGGAAATGTGTACTGGACTGATTCTGTAAATGACGTTGTATCTGTGGCATCCATAAAGGAAAGAAAATACCGTGTAGTTATAGAGGATGGACTAATCAATCCCCGTGGTATTGCTGTACATCCAGGTCTAGGGTAAGTAAAATTATGTCACTGAAAAGTTAATCTCTATTACAGATAAAATATTCAAGTTGTGATATGAACACCTCTGAGGTTTACACATGTAGGGAAAATGATAGTGAAGTGTGCAGAATATGTTTTATACATAAGAATACCAAAGGTGTAACCATGAGGAGAAATAATGTGCCTTGGTATTTGTGTGGAAAGAGAGTGTACAGTATTACCCCGCTTTACGCGGTTTCACTTTCCGTGTTTTCTCATTTACGCGGTGCCTCGCCAGAACCGAACTTTCACTTTCTGCGGTTCATCTACCCATATACGCGCAGAGTGTCCGGCTCGACGCTAATTTTAGATTCGCCCCACCTGCCAGCTCCCGCCTTCTCCCTCCTACGCCTCCACCTGGCCAAGCCGCGCGGTAAGGTTGCCCAGTGCATGTCTCTGTTGCGTTATCACTGACGTCATATGACGTATCGGACTGTGATTGGCCATGCATCCCTACCTCCCTCTGCTGCTAGCTGTAATTAGTTTAAAGTAATATGACGTGTCCACCCGGGGGAGGGAGGGAGGGAGGAAAGACGACGCTTGATCTAGCCGCGGCAGTTTCATCCCTCCAGGCCACACCGTGTATACGTGCATCCATTGTTCTGTGAAATGGCTTCCGCCGGACCACCGCCACCAGAGAGAAACCTTTCCTTACCTGGACCTAGCCGCCCTAAGCCAAAGAAGATACGACGTTCCCTAAGCTACGAAGTGAGATACCAGATAATTCAAGATTTGGAGAAAGGAACACGTCAAGCTGATCTCGCGCGCAAGCATGGAGTCAACGAATCTACGATTCGTACTATTAAGAAGGATGCAGCCAAGATCAAAGAGCACATGAGAATCACAAAGTCTGCAGGTGCTTCAATGATCAAGTATTGCCAGAACAAGGTGCTGCTAGAGGTGGAAAATTTGCTGGGGAGTTACTTGATTCGTCAGGCGCGACGCAACATGGCGGTGGACACGCGATCCGTTCAAGAGTGCGCACGTGAACTGTACGCAGCAGTGTCACGTAAGATGTGAATTGCAGAGCCCAAACCCTTCAATGCTTCCTCTGGTTGGCTGCATAGGTTTAAGAAGAGGAACAATATCACCAACATCAACATTGGTGGTGAAGAAGCGAGTGCTGACCGTGTGGCGGCAAGAGATTTTCCTCCGTTCTTACGTGAGGTTATGGAGGAAGGGCAGTACACTGACGACTAGGTGTTCAACATGGACGAATCCGGCCTATTTTGGAAAAAGCTGCCTTCCAAGACCTTTGTTGTCCAGTCTGCCAGCAAGGTTCGGGGTCGGAAGTTGCAGAAGGAGCGCATCACCGTCCTCTTTACCACCAATGCCTCCGGTACCTGTAAACCAAAGTTATCGGTGATTCACACAGCCCGCAAGCCGCACGCCTGTTTCATTCCCGACGTGAAGAAATTCTGCGAGCAAAAAAATGTTCCATTCAAGATTTTGTTGCTCCTTGACAACGCACCTGGACACTCGCCTCTACTTATGGATCGTCACCCCAACGTAAAAGTGGTCTTCCTTCCTCCCAACACTACGTCATTAATCCAGCCCATGGACCAGAAGTTGATCTGCAATGTTAAAGCTGCATACTCGGCAAAGAAATTCAAGCTCCTGAACGACTGTACCAACACCAAGGATGAGTTGCGTAAGCTGGGTGACACCGACAGCGAGAGTAAAAGCGACGAGGACAAGGAACAAGAGGTGGTGACTCAAGAAGTTCTCGTCAAACAGTTTTGGAAGAAATTTAACATCAAACAAGCTGTAGACTTCTTGGTGGAGGCATGGGATCAGCTGTTTATAGCTATGATTCGTCACGCATGGAGGCACGTGTTGCATGGCATACCAGGTGAGAGGCGGAGTCAACCTGTGACTGGTGAGGTTCAGTCTGTGACAGTGGCACTGGACCTTGCAAGAGAAGCTGCGCACAGTATCACAGCTGAAGGCTTCTCCGAGACCACCAATGAAGACATCCTGGAGGTGATCAGAGATCCTGAAATGACTGCCGACGAGATGTTGGAAGATGATAACGTCAGTGAAGAGGAAGGTGGTGCGTCAATCCCAGAAGAACACAAAATAACGCATAGTAATATTAAGGGTGCCATCGAGTGTGCAGAAAAATTACAGCTCTTCCTTTCCAACGACCCTGACGATGACCGCTATGAAGTCTTCCATACCCGGCTGGTGCAGGCTATGGAGCCGTACATCAAGGTGTATCAAGACAACATCAACACTAGCCGTCAAAAAAGCATTACCGAGTTCTTCGCCCGCAACCCACCACAGCCAGCCAGAGCCAGTGATAGTGACTGTGAAGGTGAAGGTGACTTTGAGGGATTTGTCAGGGAGGCCCTGACAACTATAACGGATAGTGATGGTGATTCACCTGCCCTCTGCCTCGGAACCAGCCTCCATCCCCGTATGCCGACCCATCTCTTCTACTAATGTAAGTGTTACACCCAACCTTTAGTTTTCCTAACCTAACCTTTATTTTTCCTAATTTAACCTTTATTTTTCCTAACCTAACCTCTTCTATATTAAGTGTGTGTGCATACCATCATAAAGTTAAGATAATATTTTTACTACAACATAGTTGTGTGTCGTCAAAAAGTGGAGTTTGGGGGTCGGGCCAGTCTCAATTGGAATTAATCCCATATGTTCTGTTGTTCACTTTACGCGGATTTCACTTTCTGCGGTACCCTGTGGGTTCAATTGACCGCGTAAATCGGGGTACTACTGTATTGTTTCTGCATTATTACAGTCCTCAGAGCTGGACTGTAACCTAAACTACCCCCCCCCCACCCCCCGAGTCTGAGTCTGGACCTGTAAGAATATATTGATCTCAGTTGCTCAGCATTTTGTGAATTTATTAATTTACAGACTCTTGTTTTGGAGTGACTGGAATCGCGGAGGTCCAAAGATTGAGGTGTCGGGACTGGATGGATCAAATCGACGAGTGCTTGTTGACCAAGATATTGGACTGCCAAACTCCTTGGTAGTGGAATATGACACAGAAACTCTCTGCTGGGCTGATGCTGGGACACACAAGATTGGTTGGTTGACGAACTATGGGAGTCTTTTTCTTTCCAATTTGACTCCTGCTTATTCATTACAGTGGTCCCTCGGTTAACGAACACAATTCGTTCCAGAAGGTCGTTCGTTAACTGAAACCATTGTTTCAATGGGATATTGGGTAATTGGTTCCAGCTCACAGAAAAGTTTATACAAAGTAAAGCCAGAATATAATTTATATTGCTGGAATTCTTATAAGATAGTGATTAATTTGAATATAAACAAGCTAGAATTTGCATTAGACATACAAATTTTAGATCTAATTTAAGAATTTTATTAGGGAGGGCAAAAATTTTATCTTTTGTGCAAAATATATGAAGTTTATATTCAAATTATTCCCTGTCTTGCAAGGATTTCAGCAATGCAAATTATATTATCCTAACTTGACTCTGAGGTATTATTTATTTTTCAACCTGTAAACCTAGTCTTTTTCTCCAAACGTTTCTCAGGAAGGTGGGGGAGGGGGGGGGAGGGAGGGAGGGGTGACAGTGACATGTTTGACAGTTGCCGCCTGTGGTGTGAAGTATTTAATTGTTAATTTATGTCCTTTAGATTGAGTTTGTTTTTTGCTTATAAAATTTAATAGAAGTGACCGGGGTGAATTTAATTTGCATTGCTCGAATTCTTATAAGATAGTGATTAGTTTGAATGTAAACATAGAAGAGATCACAGAATTGGCTGAGTACCTCCTCAGTTTATCAGCTGATGTTCAAAACAAAATGTGATATTTGTAAGGATTTCGTTAATCAAATTTGTTTTCGTTAACCGAATTGAAGATTCTTATGGAAGGTAATTCGTTAACCGAAATTTTGTTAACCGAGGCGTTCGTTAACCGAGGGACCACTGTATTGCTACACATACAGTTATATTAAATTTTTAACTCTTTCTCTCTCTCCATCCTATGTGTTGCTTTTAGATTCATCCTTGACTTTGCATTCCTCAGAGTGTATTGGGATAAACGGTGGTGGGCGACGGGTGGTGATGCAAGGCGCTCAATATCCATTTGGCCTTGCTCGTCTAGGTGAAGAGTTCTTCTACACTGACTGGAATGAGTATGTTATTGTGATGTCTTTGGAAGATGCTTCCTGTTATTGACCTAATTATACACTTTTATTTGTCCCTCATAATTCACCAAATGATCAGGGTGGTTTCCTTTATGAATACTTATCTATTATTGTATACCTTTAAGTAATCCACCTACCTAACTCTTTCCTCTGCTGTATACTCCATCACTCTCATCTTCTGTTTCACCACAGTTTTTGCCAACTTATCCACTTCCAGTTACCTGACACACCAAATATATTACTGTATACACTTTCTCCTTTTATAATGAATTAATTTTTCCAAATCTCCATTTTCTGGTTAGGTTTATCAATATAATTTTGTTCATATTCATTAACTTGCCTTTACTACAGGCATATCTAAATTTATTTTTTGAAATATGCATTTTTTTTTTCAAAATTAAGTACCAAAACTTGTCCTCTACAAACAACAGCTGGCTTACCTCACCATTTCCCTGTTAACTCAAACTTCCATTGTCTCCATCATTTAGTTTCCCCACTATTACTGCCTCATCCAATCCATGATAAACAACCATGATAACACTGCACTTTCCTATTATAGTCATACTCTCAATAGAACCCATCCAGCCTCATCCTGTCTCACACTAATAAGTGCTTTGCTTTGAGGTAGTAAGTTGAAGAATTTATTTCACTTAATATCAGTTTTGATGATGATTTACTCTACTAGAAGGAAATGTAGTTAACAGAAGTTTGTTTTAATTTTATTTCTTTTTTAACACTTTTGGGTCTGGGTAGGCACTCTCCCACAAGACACTCGGGGTCTGGTCTGTTACTCACCTCATCACACTTGACTGCATTCATGAGAGATAATTGTATGTAATGAGTTATGGCAATTTGCTATTTGAGATAAAAAGGTGGGATTTTTTGTAGTAGCAATGTAAATAAATTATCTACAACAGTTTTATTAAAGTAATCATAATAAAATAATTATTTCTACATGTAAGTTGGAGTAAAGCAAAAAAAATTTAACACATAATGAAAATGTTTATACATCACTTTATACTTTCGTTATTTAATGTGATTGCAATATTAACATTATTCCATTATAAAGCATACATGCTTAGGAAAAAATAGTTATAGAAGAAAAGTTGTGACAATTGTTATATTTTGCATTATGTTGAGCACGCCCAGGCCGAGTAAAGGTTATTAATTTTTTTCTTCTGGATGCAAAAGATAATTGTACTGTCCATATTGAGTCAGCACTAGGACTGCTTGTTGAGGAGTCAGGGACACTGAGAGAGGCATCAGAAGGCATTACACTATCACAATATTTTCCCACCCCTCACCCTCGCCAGCAACACGAGGCATGGTTCAAAACTCTCACAACACTGTTATGAATAAATTAAATCACTGTGATGCACGAGAAATCGGCACAAGCCGAAAGAAAGTGCGTTGGAAATGTGGGTCAAGGTTATAATCTTGGGTCGTGGTGTGGTAACCTTGGAGTGCAGTCTACATAGTTGCCAGATCACGCTGATGTGTGTCATGTGTGTTGAGTGTTCTTACACAAACAAAATTATTTTATTTGAATTATTTTATTTCATATGCAAATTTGCATATGAAAACCCTAAAGCACTAATTTTGATCATATGAAATTTTGTGTATGAAAATCCCAAGAGTGTTAATGTGCCCCTTTATTAATGCTGGAATATGTATTGAAATCTTGTTTTAAACAAAACTGGTACAGGTTTGGTATCCCTTATCCGAAATGCTTGGGGCTGAAATGTCTGAGATTGGGAAGATTTTTGGATTTGGGAATACCTATATCCAGTATACCTGTGTAATGTGGTAGCTCACCCATCGGGGACGGGGCCTAAGCCTATGCACGTAATTGATTTATACCCCTACATCACACACACACCCTCCAACAACCACCCACACACACACCCTCCAACAACCACCCACACACACACCCTCCAACAACCACCCACACACACACCCTCCAACAACCACCCACACACACACCCTCCAACAACCACCCACACACACACCCTCCAACAACCACCCCACCCACACACACACACACACACACACACACACACACACACACACACACACACACACACACACACACACACTCCAGCACCACTCACACGCCCCTAACAAAAGAATTAAGACAGCAAACATAATGAGTGAGGGTCTTATTGTGTGACAAAGTTGTGTGTGACTGTGTGGTAGCTGTTGAGGAACGCTTGGCAACACTCATTTCCACGCCATCTCTCTAATTACCCACACCTTTCTGTTTCCTCACTCCATATTTTAAAATGTTATGTAACATAATGTTGAAGGGATACAACTTTGCTCATTTATACTTATACTTATCACAATCGCTCTAAAAATACTTTAGCTTTCGTGTTTATTCAAGACATCTTCAGGTCATGAGACCCACCAATCACCCAGCCAAGAAAGGGTGACCTGACATTCCATCAGAAGGTCAGTAGTATGAGACCACTAATCCCCCACCCTACCTCCACCTGACATTGCGTCAGGTCAGGTCAGGTACACGAGACCTACTAATCCCCCACAGCTCCACGGGAGTGGAAAATACCAGTCTTTGCTGTAACACACAGCTTCATGCACGCCCATATCATATAGATATTTAATTTTCACTTATATTTATTCACCAGTCTTTTAGATTAACTATTCTGGATTATTATGGTATAGAAATGGAGTTTCTAACTTAATTAGAACTGCGTTTATGAACTCCGGTAGTTTAGACCAAAGGAAAACCTTCCCAGCACCCAGAAACATTCTGGGGAAGTGGGCTAGTGTCTGTCTGTGCAAGAGGTCTAGTTTAGACACTCGGAAACTTTTTCCAATAACCGGAAAAGGTTCCGGGGATAAGGAATTTTTCCGGGTTTGAGAAAGTCGTGTGGTTAACCGGAAATCTCCCATCCCCGGAAGTGCTCTGCACCAATTGTTCCGGCTAACAGGGATATCACTATACAGGTATTTCATTTTCAGCTTATGGATGAATATTGCCTGCAGGTAGTTTTATGAAATGTTTTTAATAATTTTGTGTATGAAACACATAAGATGTACACTGAAGAATCAGAAAGGTAAAATATCACTACCATGTTTGGCATTGCCATGACTTCTGACTCTCAGGTGCTAAACAGCCTGTGTTGTACCTTTATTCATTTCACATACCGTACATACTTAACCGAGTTAAATTATGATGTACAGGAGGTACCCGGATTACGAACGGGTTCCTTTCCTGAGGATAATTCTTAAGTTGGATTTGTAAGGCAAGTTGGAAACGTGCTATGCGCATACCGTACTTACAGAACAATGTTTAAAATCCCATTATATCATAACCTAAGTCCTTATATACATCGAAAAATCACATAATATAAGACAAAAGAAAAAATAGAATGTCAAAATACAGTAAATTAAAGGAAGAAATAAGTCATCGGGTAAATAAAATACGGTACTGTAAATTTCAAGTTTAACCTCGTTCGTATCGGCAGGCATTCGTAAGTCAGGGACCCCCTGTATATCATATTCAGAGTATTCTCTACCATAAATATAATTAAATTGAATAGATTCACACCTCAAAGCACAGCATAAACAACATAAAAAAATATTACAGTAATCATGGTGAGTAATGCACGAATGTCTGCCTGTGGCGACTGTGCAAAACAAACTGACGTTTGTTGCCAAAGATGCCATTTGACTCTTATAAGTGTCTGGTGCACAGTGGTACCTGCGCATCACTGGGGAACCTTCCTAGGGTCTTGCACTCGAAAAAGCTTTTGGATTTTAGAGTGTTTCGGATAAGGTATACCCAACCTGTATTGGGTCCTGGATGTGATATACTCTTTGTTTTAGTTCTAGTCTTCTTAGATGGTTTTACCTTTTACCAGTGGTCTAAAGTGTGTGACCACCAATGATAACCAATGTGACTCGTAATTACCATAATCATCACTAAACAATATTTTTACTCTCTATTGTCCAACATATTCTGGCATATATGATACCCATGTGATTAGAAATTGCATCTTGTTAGCTTAACTGCATTTTACTTAAAAATTTTATGTTTTATTAATTATTTTACCCAAGTTTCATTGTCACGTTTCAGACCAATTTTCTAGCTGACTTATGGGAAGGTCATTGGCATACAGGTAGTTCTGCTATAACGCGATAATTGTGTTCTTGTAAAATATCGTGTTATAGAAAATCGCGTAATAGAAATAACAGGGCTTATGGAGAAAATAGGGTTAGGTGCAGATTACTCGAAATCGAAAAAATTTAGTAGTTAGCCTAACACAAAGGATAGCACAGTCTAAATAAATGTTACATTCATATCTAATAATGAAATCATACAGTAAATTTAACACTTTACCTTGAAAAAATATGAATGTAACTTGATGGGGGAGAAGGGTGATTTTGAGGTTGATAACATCAAGCTTCTCTTCAAGTGTTATATCCTTTCTTTTACGATAATCACCGGGAATTCTATCATCAGAATGCTTTTTGGAGATATTCTTCTTTACCATATTCACAGTTAATACCACAAAATTGGAGAAATAGTAAGCAAAAATCGCGTTATAGCAAACAAGCGATCGCGTTATACAAATATTGTTCCGAATTCATAAATCGCGTTAGAGCAAATTCGCGTTATCAAAACACGCGTTATAGCAGAACTCACTGTATCTAAGATTTTTCAAACCAAATTCAACCCCCTGACTAATATGCAAATTGACATTTATTCTTCTGTACACAGTGTTCCTGGCATATTCGGTATTTCCCACATTGTTTTTCTAGTGACTGACTCCAATACATTTCCAAGTCAGGAAATGGCAGAAACAAATTCTTCCCTTTTGTTAAATGAAAATTATACTCTTTTTTTTTTAACACCTAATGCACAATTTATATCCTCTTCCATTCCAGAATCTACACATAAGTTTCACCATTTTACTCTCTAATGTAAAAATAATATTTTTATTTTATTTTTTCAATAGCTCAAAGATCCATAGTGTGAATCGGTACTCTGGCCTAGAGTCATCTATTAGAGCACCTCCTCCGGGAGGATCTGGCAAATTGTATGGCATTGTTGCAGTTCCCCCCACATGTCCACCAGGTCAGTGATTCCTTACTGTTTCTAGTTGTTTAGGCTTGCTTAAGGATTTTTTTTTGTGGGGGGGGGGTGAAATAATTGTTCTGTTATTTACTGAAGAAGAAAATCTTGTGACAGCTTCCAATTATATAAAATAATTTATACAAATTGGACCCACAAAAAAATTATTGTTTTTTTCACATCTTGTTGTTCATAGCTGTTTGACTATCATAGGCAAGTGGAATGACAATAAGTTACTTTTACAGTCTGTTCATTGTCACATTTAATAAAAACACAAATAGAGTTTAAACAAAATTTCAGTACCGTATTCGAATAAATCTGCTTAATACAGTGGTCCCTCCAGTAACGAGCACGATTGGTTCCACAGAGTCACTCGTTAAGTGAATCTATTATTTCAATGGGATATTGGGTTATTGGTTCCAACTCACAGAATTCCCTTAACCCTCTCAGCCTCACGATGCCAATGTGGCGTCCCATGGGCTATATTTTCAAATAACTCAAAAACTATTCAGTGAAACTGACTGAACTTTGGAAGCCATTTGGCAGACGTCATTTTCTTTGTATGGGCTTTATCCTCTTCCCTAAGACGGTCTTGGTCATCGTGTGCTTGGCAGCCAGTGTGGCTCTGGCCATTAGAGCGAGAGGTTGGCCCTTTAATAGTTCCATGAGTTTTTGTGTTGTATTATTTTTCCTTTTACCACAATATTCTACATGCTTTCTTCTTTATTTTGGTATGTAATACATATCAATTAACACCATAATACAAGGAAAATGTGAATGAAAATCGAGATGTTACTAAACATTTTCCCACTTTTTTCAACTTGTACTAAAAAAAAGTGGCTTAAATTTCAAGAATTTTTAATTTTATATGGTTTCATGCAATTTTTCAGACAAGTTTACATTAGAAGAGATCCCATGAAAATTATTAAAACAAATTCATGGCAGTGAAATGAGCCCTAAAAGAAAAAAAAAAGAAAAAATCAAAGATTATTTTGCAAAAACCTCCGAGGCTGAACGTAAGTTTTCATGCACGTACAGTATATCTCTCAGGCTCCGGGGCTGAGAGGGTTAAAATTAATTAAAAAGTACTGTATACCGGTACAGTAGGTCGGGATATATCATGACTTTATATAACGATTTTTTATATATACAGTAGACTCGCAACTTACAATAGGGTTATGTTTCTGGGACCTCGTGTAAAATCAGAAACACTCCTAAATCGCCCTTAAATCGCTATACAATGAACCCTCACTTTACGCGGTCAATTGAACCCACGGAGGCCCGCGTAAAGCGAGAAACGCGTAAAGTGAACAACATAACATATGGGATTAAATGAAATAGAGACCGGCTGACCCCCAAACTCCACTTTTTCCGACACAATACCTATGTTCTAGTAAAAATAACATCTTAATTTTATGATGGTACATGCACACAATTAATACTTAAGAGAAATAGAGAAATACAGTCGCCAAGTTAATGTCCATTCAAATAATAGACTCAAATCCCTCCCCCTCTTCCCTCTCTGAGAAATGTTTGGGGGAAAACCACTAGATTTTAAGGTATAGTAATAAATAATACCTCAAACTAAAGTTAGGATAATATAATTGACATTGCTGGATTCCTTGTAAGACCAGGAATATTTTGAATATAAATGTCATATATTTTGCACAAAAGATAACATATTCACTCAGAGTAAACAAAATACTTGGAGTAGATCTAAAATTTGTATGTCTAATGCAAAATCTATGATGTTTATATTCAAAATGATCATCAAATTGTAAGAATTCCAGCAATGTAAATTATATTCTGGCTGGGTAATTTGTATGAATTTTATGAGCTAAAACAAATATCTTCAGTTAATAAAAAAAAATATATATTCTTCACGACACTATCTGTCAATCGAAGTACCCCACCTTGCCTCCCCCCCTCTTCCAACCTCGCCAGATGGTCAGTCGGTCCCTCCCTCCCCCCCACCCCCCACCAACCCTCCCTACCAGAGAATTGTGTGGGAGAAACCAGAATATTTACCTTTTTAGTAATAAATAATACCTCAGACTAAAGTTAGAATAATATAATTGACATTGCTGGATTCCTTGCAAGATCAGAAATATTTTGAATATACACGTCATATATTTTGCACAAAAGATAACATATTTGCTCTGAGTAAACAAAATACTTGCATTAGATCTAAAATTTGTATGTCTAATGCAAAATATATGATGTTTATATTCAAAATGATCATCAAATTGTAAGAATTCCAGCAATGTAAATTATATTCTGGCCGGATAATTTGTATGAATTTTATGAGCTAAATAAAAAAATTATACTTCACCCGTGTATATGAGTACAGTAGTACCCCGATTTACGCGGTCAATTGAACCCACAGGGTACCGCGGAAAGTGAAAACCTCGTAAAGTGAACAACAGAACATATGGGATTAATTCCAATAGAGACTGGCCCGACCCCCAAACTCCACTTTTTCCGACAAAATACCTATGTTGTAGTAAAAATAACATCTAAATTTTATGATGGTATGCTCACACAATTAATATTTAAGAGAAATACAGTCGGCAGGCTAATGTCCATTCAAATTATGGACTCAAATCCCCCCCCCTCTTCCCAGCTCACTGGTCCCTACCTCTCTGAGAAATGATTGGGTGAAACACTAGATTTTAACGTTTAGTAATAAATAATACCTCAGACTAAAGTTAGGATAATATAATTGACATTTCTGGATTCCTTGCAGGTCAGGGAATATTATGAATGTAAACTTCATATATTTTGCACAAAAGATGAAATACTTGCTTTGTGTAAACCAAATTATTACATTAGATCTAAAATTTGTATGTCTAATGCAAAATCCATGATGTTTACATTCAAAATGATCATCATATTGTAAGAATTCCAGCAATGTAAATTATATTCTGGCCGGGTAATTTGTATGAATTTTATGAGCTAAATAAAAAAATTATACTTCACCCGTGTATATGAGTAGATGCACCGCGTAAAGTGGGAATTACGGTTCTGGCAGGGTACCGCGTAAACCAGAACCACGTAAAGCGAGGTATTACTGTATATACGTACATATACAATAGAACTCATAAATCACTACTGTAATGTAATACAGGTGATTAATTTTTATATCTTGTGCAAAATATATGATGTTTATATTCAAATTATTCGCTGTCTTGCAAGGATTTCAGCAATGCAATTTATATTCTGCTAACTATAGACTACGCAATTTTATGTCAAGTTTAGTCACTTTTATTGGCCTCCAGAACCTAACCCTATTTTCCCCATTGATTACATGTAATTATATATCACAATTTAGTATAAAGTGAACATCGTTGGACCCTATCTCGCGATATATCCCAATCCTTAATAGAATTAACAAAACATTAAATATAAACAAAATACAGTACTGTTCAGTGTACAGTCAACCCACACTTTACGCGGTTAATTCAACCCACAGGGTACCGCGGAAAGTGAGAAACGCGTAAAGTGAACAACATAACATATGGGATTAATTGAAATAGAGACCAGGCCGACCCCCAAACTCCACTTTTTGACGACACACAACTATGTTGTAGTAAAAATATTATCTTAACTTTATGATGGTATGCACACACAATTTATATAGAAGAGGTTAGGTTAGGAAAAATAAAGGTTAGGTTAGGAAAACTAAAAGTTAGGTTTAACACTTACGTTAGTAGAAGAGATGGGTCGGCATACGGGGATGGAGGCTGGTTCCGAGGCAGAGGGCAGGCTACTGGCCCTCAGGTGAGTCACCATCACTGTCATCCACACTTGTCAGGGCCTCCCTGACAAATCCCTCAAAGTCATCATCACTGTCTCTACCTCTCTCACTATCACTGGCTTGGGCTGGCTGTGGTGGGTTGCGGGCGAAGAACTCTGTTATGCTTTGCTGATGGCTGGTGTTTATGTTGTCGTGATAAACCTTGAAGTAGGGCTCCATAGTCTGCAACAGCTGGGTAGTGAAGATTTCATACCTGTTAGCGTCAGGGTCGTCGGAAAGGAGGAGCTTGGCTTTCTCGATACACTCGATGGCACCCCTAACATTACTATGGGATAAGCGGTGTTCTTCTTGGGATGACGCACCACCTGCCTCTTCACTGACGTCATCATCATCTACCATCTCGTCGGTAGTCACATCAGGATCCCTTATCACCTCCAGGATGTCGTCGTTGGTGGTCTCGGAGAAGCCTGCAGCTTTAACACTCTGCGCAGCTTCTCTGGCAAGGTCCACTGCTACTGCAACAGTCTGAACCTCACCAGTCACAGATTGACTCTGCCTAACGGCCGGAATGCCTTGCAACACATGTCTCCATGCGTGATGAACAGTTGCTACAGACAGCTGATCCCATGCCTCCACCAAGAAGTCCACAGCTTTCTTGATGTTGAATATTCTCCAGAATTGTTTTAAAAGTACTTGTTGCTCTGTCAACTGTTGATCCTCGTCGTCTTCGCTCTTGCTATCGGTGGTGGTGTCACTCAGGTTACGCAACTCTTCCCTGGTGTTGGTGTAGTCGTTCAGGAGCTTGAATTTTTTCGTAGAGAATGCAGCTTTTACATTACAGATTAACTTTTGGTCCATGGGCTGTAATATAGACGTAGTGTTGGGAGGAAGGAAGACCACTTTTACGTTGGGGTGACGATATAACAGTAGGGGTGAGTGTCCTGGTGCGTTGTCCAGCAGCAACAAAATCTTGAATGGCACATACTGTTGCTCACAGAATTTCTTCACATCGGGAACGAAACAGTCATCAAACCAGGAGAGGGACAGTGTATATGCCTGAAAGGTATTATAATTAGCCACTTAATAAGCAGGATTAGAATGATAGTGGTGATGATACACAATCCTTGCATATACCTGTAGTTATGTATGAAGCTCATTATATCAATATTTTCTCCCGGGGCGGAGGGGGGTATCCCAGCCGTACTTAGGACTTAACCCATGCAAGTGAACCGCTCCTTAAGTGTGGTAAATTGATTATGGTCACTTCGGGCTTTGTTGATGTCTAACGGACTGAGTCCAGTATTATTCTGAATTCGGATATACTGTAATGGACTTTCGGCTTTAACAGACCGGCCTTCCTTCCAATTAGTCTATTATATCGGGGGTTTACTGTACATGTAATGAAACTATAAAAGTTGTGGAAAAAATTACAATACTCTAATGTGACAAACTATAAAATAATAAAAGCATGGTGTGTATTTGTAGGAAGTGAATGTGTGTGTGAAGGAGGTGGGCTATAGCTGTGTAGCGTATACACAGTACAACATGGCACGTCTGTGAATCAGCTGATTGACTGCCTGTTTGAACTGTGTGGTGTTGCTCAGAGGATGGTTGAGTTTGGAAGTGGCTTTTTTTTTTTATACATAAAATATCGTATGTGATATTATACGAGGGTCATTCAATAAGTAACAAGTCAAATGAATATAACTGCAGAAGCAATGATTTATTATTAATGGTCACATGACTATTTTTTCCACATAATCTCTCTCTACAGCTATGCACTTGTCCCATCTTTCTACTAGTTTTCTTATTCCTGTGGTGAAAATTTTTTGGGTGACTGTAACCAATTTTGGATTTCTTACCTCACCTTTTCATTATTCAAAAAATGCTTTTTACATAAAGCTGTGTATATTGTATACTGTACCACACTGGCATTGAAATCTGTAATAAGTTGTTCAATTGTAATGTGTCGGTTTCCCAAATTTTCTGCTCAATGTTCTGGTGCAATGTGAGTGTTGAAACTTCAACAGGTCGTCATCTACAATGCTTGTTCGACTATTCTTGAATTGTTCAAACCACTTGTAAATGCTCGCTCGACTTGTGCATATGCTTTCATATTTAAGTGACATTCTGCGATGAATGTCGCTTGGTTTTATCCCTTCCAAATTTAAAAAAAACAAAAAACAGATATAGTTGTTCATTCAAAGTACAACAATCAAGCAGGGCGCTCATCATTAATGCAACACTTAATTGAGACTAATTGAATGAACTGACTTATCAAATAGATGAAGATGTAGCTTATGCATGGCTAAACATGTTTTAGCATGATCGCTGCACTTGCCCCCCCCCCCCTTTTACTGTCTACATCAAAAAGTCTCATTACTTATTGAATGACCCTCGCATTTTATGATACACTATGTATTAATTTTATTGTTTATCATAACCGTAAATATGGCAGCTCATCCCCATTGCTTGTGATATTCAAACTTATGATTCTAGCTGGCTTTGGAAGAATTTTTATTTGTATTTTTATTTAATTTTGGTGCTGGTTAGTTGAATCTGCCAGTTACCAGGATACCTGATAACTGGGATTCTACTGTATTACTTGATGGGAGGAAATGAGGTACCTGTACTGTACACTAATGGTAAAACAGTGAAGAGATTCATAAACCTTGAGATATGTAGCTGTGTGTCTCACAAGTGATGCATACCTTGCTAACTGTTCAGCATTTCAACAGTGTCCAATGTGTGTGCAGTTAGTCATGGAGGATGTCCTACAACCCACTTGTGTCTCCCTAATGGTCGGGGGGGTCGCACTTGTGCTTGCAGTGACCTTGCTGTGCAGGATGAGGAAAACCCTTGTGTCGACTACAATTATTGAGTGCTCTAAGGTGACTGTAACTGTTTTGGTGAATTTTAATTGTTTAATTGAATGAATTAGCTAAGAAATATCGTGAAAATATAGATGACTTAAAATTAGGCATGACTAGACTTGCTAAAAACACTAAGTGGCCTTATTGATAAGTGCTATCATGTTGCCAAACATAACTATTCTTGTTAAACTAAACTGACAATTAGTGACTGACTAAAGCTGGTAACAACCACAAATGTATCTTGGCTAATGAAATGCTGGTTGACTTAAGCTGATGGCAATTTAAGGATGATGAAAACTTATGACAACCATGGATTTACTCCAGTTGGTAGTAACCATAAGTTGACTGAAACGAATAGGATTATTTATGCAGATGACAAAATTTATGTTACTTGTTCAACTTAGTTTATATTAGCTGTTGGTTGAGATTATTTTTACTCTTGGACAAACAATTTGGCTTCATGTACAGGATTTTTAACAAATATTTTATGATTAAACTGGCTATAAATTTTAGGTAACAAAAGGACTCATGTTCTAAGCTGCACATCAAATGAGCTGTGTTGCCTCAACTCAATAAACTGCCAATCAGGCTGCAAACTTTACTGACTAAAAACTGACCAAGAGCGATGTACCAGGGCATTATGTAAGCAAATCTTAACTACTGATACATGTTAAATTCCTTGATCAGTGGCCGTTGTTGGTGAAAAATGATTTTGGTCATAAATACATGAAGAGGTGTACAGTTGCAGTCAAAAGTAATCATCCACCCCTACCACTACCATACCTGCGAGCTCAAGGCCTTTCTACACGACAGGTCACAAGAGGGTGGGGGAGAGCTAGAGTTGATGGATCCGGGTAAGGTAGGAGGGCATAAGTCAACTGCCACAGACGTAGTGAGAGTTTATGTGGTCTTGTTATCCTTAACACCTGAAGAAGATGTTAAGGCTGGTGGCTGTAGCTTGATGTTGACGGTTTTAATGACCCTGGCAGCTGATAGGCCTAAAGCCCAACCAGCCAACCAGAGTTAAGTCCAAATAACACCTCCCCTTCACCATTTCGGATGGGTGGTGAAGGGGAGGTGTCATTTGGACTTAAATTTCCCTTAGTTATCTATGCCTTTATTTGACATTCTGGGGAAGAATGCACGTGAGGTTTTTGCAGGTAATGTGTCATTAGTGTTGACAAGACATCTGACTTCTGCAAGGAAAAACCTCTGATATGACAACATAAGAGAGAAGGGGGTGTGGCTTGCTCACCACCAGTAACACTAAACTAGGCTGTTATACTTGATCACTTCCACCTCTCGCCACTACTGTTCTTGAAAAAAAAATCACTAAAAAATTAAGAATGAATTGTTGGATAGATTGTGACTTGTCCACCCTGTAATACTCGTATGTTTGTTTGACCACACCCATTCCAAGATGGACGCTAAAGAATATTGACTGACTAGTTACAGGGAAATTATTGTTTTGCATGCGGCTGGCTACAACGTGTCAGAAACTGCAAGGGAGGTTGAGGTCACCAGGCAGACTGTGAGAACTTGGTTAACCCTCTGGGAGGGGTCTGGAAACTTGAGTATATTTTTACAGCTTGCTGTCATTTGATATACTGTAAGTCCTCACTTAACGTCGGGGTTATGTTCCTAAAAACACAACGTTATATGAAACAAGTTAAGCGGATCAATTTTCCCCATAAGAAATAGATAAAATACTGAAGTTACAATCTTGAGCCTCCCTTTGCCCCATGAAATACATGACAAATACAGAAAATCATTGCCATTTCTATAGAAAATAATGCAAACATATACAACTACTAAGTTTGTATTGGTACTCACCGATGGGCGGAGGTGGTAGAGCGAGTGTGTGGTGGGTAGTGAAGCAGAGGAGGTGGATGGCGGGAGGAGAGGAGTATGGTGGGAGTGGAGGAGGGCGGGAAAGGAGGAGGGTGGCGAGTCACTGAGACTCCGCGGCTGCCTCCTACTCCTACTGCTCTGACTGGAGTTCCTCCGCTGCTGTTTGCTCCTCCTCCGTTGTTGATTGCGCCGTAAAAAGTAGTCCGTGATGACGCAAAACAATTTTGTACCGAGTCATCGGGACGTTAAACAAATTTTTAGGTATCTAAAGATTATTGAAGTAGTACCTAAACAACATTAAATGGACCGACGTTATACAAGGACTTACTGTATAAAAATGACTAATTTTGGGTGCATAATGTTAACAAAACATGTTTGAAATTCTTAATTCATATAAATTATATTATTTTAGGCCAGGTAGACAAAGATTGACAGGTGAGGAGGACATTGGACTGGCTATTGAGATTCTGTGTGACCTGTGTTGTTAGATATTTAAAAAAATTGATTTCCACCCTTGTAATCAATATTCCTCCTCATATCAACGTTATTATAAATTTCTTATTACTGTTGTTTAAAACCTGAATAACAACCTGAAAAAATATAAATAAGGAAATGGATGACACATTATAATAATCATCAAATAAGGGTCCTCGTCTATTTCTCTTTCAAGCATGTAACTTAAGATAATATAGTGAAAAAATTACATCTATTCTTCCCTTCCTTTTTTGACGAATTTCCCTGCTTTCTTCAATGCCCTTCCTTTCTGATGAATAATTTGCATCTTATACCATCCTCCAATATCCCTCCCCACCCCTCCAACAAATGGCCCTCCCCTAAGTCAACCATTTTCCCTCTCCACCCCACGGGACTTAACATGCAGAAAGGACCCGGCCAGGTGCGGATTAGATAGTGAAGTGGATGATTACTTTTGACCTTGGCTGTACATTAGGTAAAATTTAGGTATAAAAGATTAAACAATGTGGTATATTCTATGTATTAAGAGTGTAATGCTTTTTGATATTTTTTTTTTATTAGTATTCACCTGTTTGTTTCTTAGTAAGGCAGCATTTCTAATACAGTATATATTCTGTATATATTTGATCTCGCCTCAGATTTCACTCGAGATTTGATAATTATTCTTTTGTTTACATCTCTCAACCACAGACTTTGGCAAGGAGGCAAATAGCCCACCACATACAGTATCTGTTTATGAAATTTCATTTCATTTATCAAGTTAAAAAAGAATTTGCACATCAAAATGAAATTTGTTATGCAGCTTCGTTTCATTAAGATATAAGCTGATTTTGATAATCATATGTATTGTAGGTCTTCCAGTAGAGGTATCTATCCCTGTTCATGTAACAGTCACAAGCTGTAACAGTTTAGTGATGGGTTTACTGGTTGACTCAACTGTTTAAGTCCACATCCATATCAAGGAAGTGTTTATTAATTGAACACAATATTTAAAATCAAAAGATAAGTTATTGGGCATTTTTGTGTGAAGTTATTGATTCAATTGAATAACTGAAATAAGTGTACTGTGACACCTTGAATATTAATGTTTATTTGTGTATAGCAGAATTAATAAATTATTTAAGAATTGTTCTTTCTTTTCAATAATATGAAGTGAGTTAGATTTGGTATATGCTGAAAAAATTTAAATTTTTATCATGACACTGTTCAAATTTGCTCGTCTTCATTGTGTAAGTACAGGTTGACAACCCTTTATCCAAAATTCCGAAAACCGAAAAAAATTTTGGAGCAGTTTTTTTTTTTTTTTTTTTTTTTTTTGTATTGAATGTCTAAAAGCATGTCACTTCAATCATTAACAGCCTAGTAGTGGCTAGTAATAATAATATAATAATATTGGTACAGGTAATAATAATTATAATAATAATGATAATACAGTAATAATAATAATTATTCTTAGTAAATAAAAATTTTAATAAAAAATTCACAAAAATAAAATAAGAATGATAACAATGATAATAATAACAATAATACTGTAATAATAAAATAATAATAATAATAATAAAAAAGAAATACAAGAATGAAAAAAGATCAAAAGTGAGAAACACGACCTAGACCTATGAATTATTATTATTATTGTTGTTATTATTATTATTATTATTATTATTATTATTATTATTATTATTATTATTATAATAATAATAATATTAATAATAATAATAGCCCCCAGGCCCCAATGTGGGTCAGTGACCTGTGCCCCGGTGGGCTGATCCCTGTGGGGTGGGGGGGGAATTCTGAACCGAAGATTCCAAAAACCGAAATGCATCTGGTTCCAAGGATTTCGGATAAGGGATTGTCAACCTGTACTGTATAGGGCCTTGTACATTATAAACCATAATAAATCCTAAAATAATATATGTTTTAATTGTTAGTCTTATAAGTATACAGTAGGCAGCTACAAAACAGGGAGGTACTATATGACTTTCAACAGTATTTACACACAATTGCAGGGTTTTAGCTGTTTCTTTTACTTTGACAACACAATATATATATATATATATATATATATATATATATATATATATATATATATATATATATATATATATATATATATATATATATATATATATATATATATATATATATATATATATATATATATATATATATATATATATATATATATATATATATATATATATATATATATATATATATATATATATATATATATATATATATATATATATATATATATATATATATATATATATATATATATAAACTCTCGCCAATAACGTCTAACAGGTGCCTGAAAAACATCGTTATTAACAAAAATGTTATTTGTGTGACATTAAAATACATGTAAAAAGGGTTTATTGGTGCTGCCACCCCAAGAATTTCACCCATTTTTTCCCCTTTGAAGCCCTGCCTAACACTTTTTGTGAGCTCAAATAAAAAGATTTGTTATTCAATCATCAGAATAAAGAATTTTAGTACAGTAATATAACACTTACCCGTAGCTTGGGGGAGTTTTTGAGGTGCTTGGTGTGATGATTGTTCCGAGGCTGGGGCATGGAGGCTACTGCGTCGAACCTCCGCCCACATCCCTGTCTCCGTCCCCGTCCACATGCTGGCCTCTCGCACCCGGTTCATCCACTTCCGCTAACACTTCATCAAACCCCGCAAAGTCAAAATCTTCAGGCATTTCCCCAATGTCATCAATGTCTTTATCAACTTCAACCTCTCTCTGTTGGTCTTCCTCGGCTGGCCGGCATTGTGAAAAAAAGTGAGTGATGAATGACTGCTGTCGGGCATTCACTCGCTCGTTGTACTGCTTCTGGTATTTTCTTGAAATAGATTCTACAAATCCAATCACTTGCTCCCTTTCACCTGATTCACTCTCAATGTCTTGGATCATCTCTTGAAGGCTGGTAAAAACACCCAATAAAAGTGACAGCTTCTGTGTCGTCACTTTCCTCTGCTCGGTCTCCCCTGCATCACTCGCTGCATCACCACTCTCACCACCTTCTTCATCCTGCAGGAGATCCTCGACGTCATTTGTGTTACCTTCTTGCATCGGTTTTTCCAAATCTTCCCGAGTCACTTCTTGAAATCCTGGGGCTGGGATACTGTGGACGGTTTCCAACACTTGGTTCATTAACTTGGTTCATCATCTCGGCAGACTTGAGTTGTGGCAGGAGTGCCGACCAGGCATACCTACAGTTCCTTTTTTAGTATTTCCCCCAGGCTTTTACAAAGAAATTGACTGCCTGTCGAATGTTATAATTTTTCCAGAAGGCAGTAACAGTCATTGTGGAGGTTGAAGGTACGCCAGGTGGAGCAGGGGTGGCAGGGGTTGCAGGTGAGCCAGGAGGAAGAGTGGAGGCGGAGGCTGTGAGTGAGCCAGGCAGAGCAGCGTGTTAGATATAAACTAGGTTCCCCATATTTATGTGAATATGTTCTATTATGTTTTGTGTTAGTTGTGGAATAAAGCGCCACTTTGCTGCGCATGATTCTCTTGAAAAATGGCATTTAGCTGCCCCACTACTGGACCTCCATACCTGCTGCATTAAGTAGAAGTGCTCTCTGCTGGCCATCTTCTAATTTCCCTGTTGCCTCCAAGTAGTACAAGAAGGCTCTCCTCCAAACCTCCCATCTTGGAGTAATTGAGAAACTTCCTCAGCAACCGAGAAAGCTGGAGGTGGTGGCACTTTCAGTGGCATGATGTATTGTCAGCCTCTTGAACTTCTCTGCTGTGAGTCTCCGACGTGCCGCCGTCGCCAATTTGTTATGTATGACCCAAGCCACATCACATACCTGCCAACAATGATTAATGTCACTTGTCACGACTCATACAGCTCTGCATTATGATCCCATTCTCATTGCCGACGTTCTGGTAGAGAATCAGGTACCCTGGATGACTTATACGTCCATGGTGTAGGTTTTCTTGTTTATTGCACACAGAATTAACTGCCAGAAGCAGCATCCAAAAGTTCTAAGCATAAATACAAACTTGTTTACTCATACAGGTAGTGTACAAGCGTCCAACAAA